TACCAGATGCTCATAATACTGCTCTGAGTGAACACTCTCACACTGTGCACGAAGACGCATTAGATAAATTGGATTTAATTGTCATCGAGCTGCGAATGTTACGTGAGGAGATGACTACAACAAGGTGTGAAATGGAGAAGCTAAATAATAACATCTCGCAACTTGCCACCAGGATCGAAACTTGCGAATGTCGGGTCGACCAACTGGATGAACGCATAGGAGCTCTGGAGAGACGCATTGAGAGTAAAAATACAGAGGGTGATAAAAGTGACTCGCTTTTGGCAACTATTGAGCAACTCAAACAAGACCTTAACGATCGTGATCAAGAGATGCTTACAAATGACGTCGAAATATCTAGTATTCCAGAGAATAAAGGTGAAAATGCAACACATGTAGTAATGACACTTTCAAAAAAACTAGGTGTCGTCCTCGAGGAGCAGGATATCGTGAGTGCTTTCCGTGTGGGGCGACCGGTGGAGGAAACTGAATCGCTGCCGCCAGCCCGGCCACGGATCTTAATAGTGAGGCTGACCCGTCGAGCGGTACGAGATCAGCTGCTGAAGGCTGCCCGTGTGCGTCGCGACGCTACTACGGAGGGCACTGGCATTGATGGCCCTCCGTGTCGTTTTTATGTCAACGAGCGACTAACCCGTGCAAACAGAATGGTGTTTCGCCGCGCTCGTGAGATGGCAGCGCAGTACAAGTGGCGGTATGTTTGGACCAAGGGCGGGCGAGTGTATGCACGACAGCATCAGAACGACAATGCACCGCGTCATCAATTGCGATCGGAAGCTGATGTACTTCGTGTTTTTGGTCTTGGTGCAGTTGGCTCATCTGAATCTTCGAGTGCATGCAAGTAACAACTCCAACTTGTATGTGCTATGTTATAATAAGATGCATTTCTCCTCTATGGTAACTTGTTATGGTTATACTATATTTATATCTTCTAATTTCAATGAAAATTGTAGTATTGTTTTTTTACTCATTACCTCTTTAAATTTGATTTTGAATATGCCGAATTACTATCTTATGTGGCTAGTATGTGCTATCTATAAAATAATTGTAATTGTTTTTATTTGTTGCAGTGTGATCATTTATTTCATATTGAATGTACATGAGTCTGAATGTTATATTTATTTGTTATTGTATTCGTATTTTGTATTTAACTTAAATGATTTTAATAATATGAACTTTTATTTGTTATTAAATGAGACGTATTGTTGCTGTTTTATGTGTTTAGGAACAATCCATGAAATAAAAGTTGTTTATTGCTGTGCTTATAATTTTGAAAGTATTAATTTAATTTTGAATGTACCACATTGCTATCATATGTGTTTGGTTTGTGCTATTGTAATATTATTAATAATTGCTTATATGCTTTGTCGTTCACTTTTATTTTTCGAGTTAAATGTTAATGTATGGCATTGCTTGTGTATTTATTCGCAATTGTATATGTATTCTATGCTTCAGTTATTCGCTTTTAATATTTATGCTTTTCATTTGATTCCAAATGTGCCGTATTACTCTGGCTCGCATGTATTTCTTTTTTATTTTGTGAGTGCTATTGATACTATAAATTATTGGCCTGAAGTAGTTGTCGGTATCCGATTAAGCATGGATGTGTCGTGCTACTCGTGGGTATGTCTGGCTGCCTTTGTTGTGAAAGTTCTACATCTAGAAATATCAACCTTAATTATTTTTGCATTTCTGTGGTATCTCGCATGCCTTCTATTGCCAATTCGTTCTTATGAATACCGTTGTCACAATGGTAGGCATAAAGAATAAATGTTTGAGATTGGGATTGTTGAATGCGAGATCTTTGAATACAGGTCAAGATGAATTTATTGTAATGTTATTGAAGCATGCACCTGACATTCTGGCGGTTAACGAAACGTGGTTGAAGGAAGGGCAGGAAGCACTTGCACCTAAGGTGCAAAATTATAGATTCATTCACAGGCCAAGAAGGAATAAGCGAGGCGGAGGAGTTGGTTTTTACATAAGAGAAGATCTAAAACTACATACGAAACAACACCCGAAATCCGATTTGGAACAAATTTGGTTGGAAGTTCAACTTCCAGGAACTGCGATGGTGATTGGCACAGCTTATAGACCTGAAACGGTAGAACCACAAGTACTGTATGACGACTTAAGTGAATGTTTAAGTATTTTTTCAGCGTATGATTATGCATTTATTTTGGGAGACTTTAATATCAATATGTGGAATGCTGCGACATCACAGTCTGAGGAATTCAAAGATTTTTGTGACCAGCATGGCCTTGATCAAATAGTGAAGGAACCGACCAGAGTAACTGACAAAACAGAAACTCTTATTGATGTTGTTTTGACGGATGCACCAAAGCGATGTAAAAAGGTAACTGTTGTCCACAATAGGAGTTTGAGTGATCATGCACTGGTGTTGGTAGATTTTAACATCAAGAAACCAAAACCCATAAAAAAAGTTAAAATGTCTAGATCTCTAATGGATATCGATTTGCCATTGTTCAAAGAAGACTTAGAAGCTATTGAATGGGAAAATATTATGGAGATGGAGGATGTAAATGCTATGGTACAAACCTTCAATAAAAATATCTTGGATTTGTTTGACAAACACTCTCCGGTGCAGAAAAAGATCATAAGACCAGAAGTTAAGCCGTGGATTACAAATATGGTCAAATATATGATGGATCTACGAGACAAAGCATTGATAAAGGCTCAAAAGAAAAAGACGACTGGCGCAAAGGAGTACTACAGAAGTCTTAGAAACCTTGTCAGTGCGTCGATAGAAAGAGAAAAAACAGCCTACTTTAATTACTTCATCAACAATAATGTGAAGAATTCCAGGAAACTTTGGAATCAAATAAAAAAAAGTACTCCAACACTAGAATCCAAGATATGTTCAATCCCAGACTTTTTAAATGACCCCAACAATATTAATAAACATTTCTTGGACCTACCAAATGGTGGAGATGTGGAAAATAAAGTTCTGCGGTATTTTAGAGAGAATTTGCACAGCGGCATGGGTAAGTTTTTTCTGAAACCTGTAACAGAAAGGGACATAGCAAGGACTTTAAACAGTATTAAAACGAAGGCATTGGGGTGTGATGAAATCAGTATAGACATGATTGATATGACGTCTTACGTAACACTTCCGGTTGTTACGAGGATTGTCAATAAATCGATTGAAACTAATGTTTTCCCTGATTGCTGGAAAAGAGCGTTGGTAAAGCCCTTGCCAAAATCCAGTGCAGTTGAAGGACTCAAAGATCTGCGGCCAATTTCTATACTACCAGTTTTGTCAAAGGTTTTGGAAAGGACTGTTCTCAGTCAGATGAACGAGTATTTGGAGAGTACGAATATAATGCCCAAGTTTCAGTCAGGATTCCGGAAGGGCTTTGGCACGGAAACTGCTTTATTGCATGTGTCTGATGATATCACGGAAGCTTCAGATAGTGGTCAAAGTAGCGTCATGGTGCTTCTTGATTACTCAAGGGCATTTGATTGTTTGCCTCATGATTTGCTTGTTGCTAAATTGCAATATTATGGTTTTTCTGCTGACGCTCTACAGTGGGTCAGGTCTTTTTTAGCCGATAGAGAACAAATGGTACTTGTGGAATCACCAAACGGTGAAAAACTAATGTCTTCTGTTTGTAAAGTACAGCGTGGTGTTCCACAGGGCTCGATTTTAAGTCCGCTATTGTTCTCAATATTTACGGCGGATCTCCCGGCACATATATTATCTTGTAAGTATCATCTTTATGCCGATGACACACAAATTTACCATTCATTCCAAAGGGGAGATACGAATGATGCCATCGAAAGAATCAACAACGATCTGCAACGCATTTGGGAGTGGTCACGACGGAACAACTTATTACTAAATCCAGAGAAGTCTAAAGCAATTGTTTTGGGAACCAAAGATCAGATCAGGCGAGTGTTGGAATGTAATAAAGTTGTTAAACTAAACAATACAGTTATTGAATTTGTTACAAATGCACGTAATCTGGGTATAATACTGGACGGGGAACAAAAATATGTACAACATGTTAATGGCAAAATTAGGGGAGCCTTCTTCAAATTGAAAGCACTTTACAGAATCAGGCGGTACATCACTGAAGAACTAAGAGTTCTATTAGTCGATTCGTTGATGTTGTCTCCTTTCAACTACTGCAGCACCGTCTACGGACCACGGCTGAATGTGAACACAGAGAGGGCTATACAACGAGTACAAAATGCCTGTATGCGATTCTGTTTTGATATCCCAAAGCGTGTTCACATTACTCCGTATCTAAATAAAAACCAGATCCTCAACATGAAAGCGCGCCGGGAGCTCCATTACGCATGCTTAATACAAAAAGTACTTTGGCGGAAAGATCCAGTATACCTATTTGAAAAATTGATCTTCTTCGGGGAATCTAATAGGAATCTTCGCTCTGCCACACAAAATCTGCTCAAGGTTGCTGCTCACAAATCTGCACGATATAGGGGATGTTTCAGGTTCAATGCAGCAAGGATTTGGAATGACCTACCTCCACCCCTTCGTTGTAAAATGAATACATCAAAATTCAAAAAATACTACAAAGCAGCTTTACTTCATAAACAACTTGCTGCGGAAAACCTGAAGCATCCTTATCATAGCCACTTGCCGCTCTTTTTTGTTTTGACTAAGGCCTAGCCAGTGACGCATGGAAGGTACGAGTAGGGCGAGTACATCTATAGCAAGTAGGAGAATACGTTTATGCACGAAACATGTTCCAATATTTATTATAATCAAATAATGGATAATTCGAGGCTCTATATACATATTATTAATTTTAAGTAAAATTTGTTAAGGGGTGGCTGAAAAACAGCGTTGGTTCAGGTCTACGCTTGACCAACATTGGCTGAGCCATTTCCTATTGTCTTATTTTTAACGAAATTTTATTATTTAAATATCTGTTAACATGTAAAAAAAAGACAATAAATTATTATTATTATTATTATTATTATTATTAACTAACATGGAGGAAATAATCACTCGCCTCCTCAAGAGATGGCGCTAGCGGCGCTGCGTTCACAACGTAAGGAAGCCTACTTCACGCAAGTAAAATTCGGTAGCCAACAGTTCAAATATACGATGCCCGACCAATATCAGTCGGGCTGCGGCCCCCGAGCTACCATCACCCAGCTCGGAGGAAGATCTTCCCCTTTGGCCTACCCACATGTATAGGTACAGCCGCCTCCAGTTCCTCACCTTTGTCCAGCGGTTCTTCAGCACCCACGGCAGCACCAACCACAGCCGTGAAGGCGAACGCGAGACTGTTGGCAGTAGGAACCGCCAGCGACAGTGGCGCCCTCTGCACCGCGGCCAAATACGACACCGAACCAGTCTGATTTACCAGCCACGGTAACACATACTGTCGATTGAAAAAAAAAACAAAATACTATATTTATATGATAGATAGATAAGATTTTATTCACACCAACATGCTCACATACAAAATTGACAAGACAAATTTTACAATTACATAAATCCTTTAAAACAGGCATCAAATTATATTTATACTAGAGATGGGCCGATTAGCCGCCGACTAGTCGGGAAAGACGACTATTCGGCATTAGTCGGCGATTAGTCGGCGACTATTCGGCATAACATGCCGATTATAATCGGCACATATCAATGAAATAAAACTGAAAACTTATACTTGTTTTGAATATTTAAACAGAAGGTAGAATATGTATTTAAAGTTACCTACAGTCTTGTGAAGTATTAAAAAAAATAAGGTAACATAATAGAATTAGGAACTTAGGAATCTGTCATTAATTCAGATGACTTAACACAATGAATATCGCACATAACAAAAGATCAAGGGAAAGTAAGTATGTATTAATTGAGTAAAATCTTAAGTGCTAGCGCGTCTTAAAGAGGTCCGCAGGTATTTTTTTTCCTTAGAGGCAAATTGTGATATTGCATCGTGTATATTTCGGCTTGATTTGGGAGACTCGAGTCGTGCGTGAGCAAGCCGAGTAGTGACGAAATATTCCGACCACCTTCCTATGATAGGTATTAGATTAGAATGATCGGCATTGCAGAATAGTCGGCCGACTAGTCGCCAATTCGAAAACCGATTAGTCGGCTAGTCGGCCCATCTCTAATAATTACATCTATACCATGGTATTTTCGTATTCGCGATGCGAATAAGCGAAAACTCAGCGGAACGTTTACTCAGAGAGTAAATCGCTAAATTTCAGTTCTGACCCATATACTGATAGGTACCATTAGGTACCAAAATGATTACATTTAATGCACAAAAAGACTCGTTTTATAATCTAACTAGCTGTGCCCCGCGGTGTTACCCGCGGTGTTACCCGCGGATTATTAGGGATATTTTCGCGCAGTAACACGTAGCCTATGTGTTAATCCAGTGTGTCAGCTAACTCCATACCAAAATTTTATTAAAATCGCTCCAGCCGTTTAGACGTGACGAAGTAACAAACATACACACTCACAAACTTTCTCCTTTATAATATTAGTGAAATTAGTATTTTTTTTTTATAAAAAGAATGATAAACAGGTTGGACTGATGGTAAATAAATAAATAATAAATATTTCCAATTAGCCTAGCCCAAAGTAAGCACTGTAAGGCTTGTGTTATGGGATGCTAGGGTAACGGATAGAATACATATACAGTACATATATAAGTATCTAATATATAAAATTCTCGTGTCGCGGTGTTTGTGGTTAAACTCCTCCGAAACGGCTCGACCGATTTTCGTGAAATTTTATATGTATATTCAGTAGGTCTGAGAATCGGACAACATCTATTTTTCATCCCCCTAAATGTTAAGGGTTAACCACCTTTAATTTTTTTTTGTACAATATTTTTTGTTTTTATTTATTTTTTTTGATACATCATACAAAAATAGATACAACCCTACATTTTCTCCCTTCTACCACCAACCCCTATTTTTTTATGGCGGTACGAAGTTCGCTGGGACAGCTAGTATTTATATAGAAATACATATTAAACATCCATGACTGGAGTGCACAAATGCTCGTGTTCATCACACAAACATCTGCACCCACCGGGATTTGAACCCGGGACCTCTCGAGTAGGCGACACCATTAAATCCGGCGTACAAACCACTCGGCCACGGAGGTCGTCAAAGATAAACTGCCACCTTTGCCCATAGACGCTTGCCATACCAGACAAAAACACAACACTATCAAATGTAGTTCTATTACAATACTAGTGGCCCGCCCTCGCTTCGCTTCGGTGTAGAGCTGTAAACTATAGTTTTTGTTCTCAGGCTTGTGCTATAAAGAATGACTTTATTTATATAATTACACGTGTTATTGTGAGTCAACCATAAAAGATAGACATATGCTGTTGCGGGATATTTTTTAGACAATTTTATGTAGAATATTTCCGTCATACATGATTTCTATGTAACTTTAACCATTAAGGCTGCACCCACGACGGAAGCTTAAAAAATGGAGTAACTTCTCCGTTTTCCCAACATTTCCCTTCACTACTCTGCTGCTATTGATTGTAGCGTGATGAAAAGTATACTATAACCTGCCCAGGAGTATGAAGAATAATTGTACCAAGTTTCCTTAAAATCCGTTGAGTAGTTTTTGTTTCTATAAGGAACATACACACAGACAGACAGACAGACAAAAATTTTACTGATTGCATTTTTGGCATCAGTATTGATCACTAATCACCCCCTGATAGTTATTTTAAAAATATATTTCATGTACAGAATTGACATCTCTACAGATTTATTATAAGTATAGATGGCCTTCTGTGTAGAAATTGTAATAAAGCAAACAATGTGCCATGCCCTAAGCTCCAGATATTACAAGCGCTGGGTTAAATTAAAAAGCTCTTCCAAGCACCCAATCATCGTGTTTATGCGGCCGAACATGTGCACGCTGACCCAAGGCTTGGCAACGAGATTATAGGCTCTTACTACCAGGATATAACTATAAACCCTAAGTGTCGCCGCACACGGGCCACCGACCACAACCACAAAACGCCGCCACCGGCATATTTCTTGCAGTTGTCATACATTTTATATGGACTCGAAACACACGGTACGCCGGTGGCCGTCACACGCTACAAATCGTCGTTGCTCGCTTCTTGTGGCCCGCACCGGCCACTTAATGCGCCGATACAAAACGCCGTCACACGTCACTCGCGCAATTCCCCACCCCTCTCTCCATTACCTTAGTCGGCCGCTGTCGCGCGCTTCAGCCACTTTAGTAGCCGCTTCTGCTTTTCGGCGTTTGTGGCTGTGGCGTGTGGCCCGTGTGCGGTGAAACTTAATCTATTAAGAAATGGAAACAATCTTCATATTCAGCACATACCCTCCAATTCCCAAGTAGGAAGCTGACTTCCGCCCAAGCCTGGCCTAGCCAAGTCTTGGCTTTGACATCGCGTAGGCCTTTAGTACCCTGACGTATGAAGGGATTGGTGCAGCCCCACAATGCCCCTGTCAACACCAGCAGACCTGAAATGAGGAGATGCTGATAATAAGTTTTTAAGGAATGTTATGGATGGAAGTTGACCTCAACACATGTTTGCAAGTTTGATGTCAACTTTCAATTTGACGACACTGTATGAAATGAAACAGGGAGAAAAAAAGCAGCCCTTGCTGAGTTTCTTGCCGGTTCTTCTCAGTACAAGGTCTCCCGCCGTAGTTTTGCGAACCGATGGCGTAGTTTTTGACTTTCACATGTGCTTGTAAAAGCCTAGCCTTTATAAATGACTTTTGAATTTTGAATTTATTTTTTATACGATTAATAATTCATAGTTATTCTTAGTTTTTATAGCACGGGTGGCATACAAGCACCCTGCCTTATCCGATAGTAAGCGGGTACCGAAATAAATCAATAAATATTTGTAAGCCCCAAAATAAGCTCTGTATACTAGGGTAACGGATAGAATACATGTACATATCTTTATATATATAATTCTTCTGTGAGTGTGTATGTCACTGAACTTCTCTTAAACGACTGGACCGATTTTGATGAAATTTTTTGTGTGTGTTCAAGGGGATCTGAGAATGGTTTAGATTCACAATTTTGTCCGCTGGACAATGTTTTTTTAATAAATTTTTGATTTATTTGTAGTTGTTGATTTTGGAATGTTTTACATTGGATCCGACAGACGGCGCTACCATCGCAGTGTCAAATTTTCAAATTAAAGACGTGTAGACAGGACAACGTCTGTCGGGTCCGCTAGTATAAGTATATTTATATAGAAATACATATTAAACATCCATGACTGAAGTGCAAATGCTCGTATTCATCACGCAACCATCTGCACCGGGATTCGAACCCAGGACCTCTTGAGTAGGCGACACCTTGAAACGTGGCGTACAAACCACTCGGCCACGGAAGTGGTCAAAAATCTTTAGACTTCTGCGAAACCAGACCATAATATATATCTTCTACCTCGTGGATCCCTGGAAATTTTAACCACCATCATAAACAGAAACACAGCACCACCAAAAGATATTGTTAGTTCACCGTCATCTTTTGTAAGGAGGAGGTTAAACAATGCTACTGTAACGTCCGTGACGTTGCAGCCTCCTTGTTTAGGTAAACTCTTTGCTTTTGCAATGCCTACGGTTGGCAGTTATATTAAAAAGTTAATGTCATGATTTTAAGATTTGAAATAAGGAATCGTCTGTCTTTTGATAGAAGGTTCCATTCAAGAGTAGATCTTCAGGCACCAAGAAAACCTCTCGTATTTAGATAAAATTCTTTATATTCGCCTGAATGATAATATAAAATAATAACCATCGTCAAGTTGTTTTAATGAAGAGCCACGTCCCCAGGTTCTATCCATTCTGGTATAGAGCTCCATACTACCTTCCTTCACTACATAGTATAAGTATAAAGCAGTCGCTTCCCGCTGTCTACCCCTATGTCCGTATGTCCCTATGTATGCTTAGATCTTTAAAACTACGCAGCGGATTTTTATGCGGTTTTTTTAATAGATAGAGTGATTCAAGAGGAAGGTTTATATGTATAATACATGCATAATATAGTAGAGAAACACTGATAATTTTAGAGGTTTTTCATGTAAGGTCGTAAATAAACACATTTTTTGCGCTTACATTTCAAACGCTGGCTAAACCTAGCTCTTATTTACGAAGCGATTTCCAACAAAATAACATTCATCCCTAACCAATTAAGAACCTTAAATAATAATAATAATAATAATAAATATTTCCGACACTCACACCAATTAGCCTAGCCCCAAAGTAAGCACTATAAGGCTTGTGTTATGGGATACTAGGGTAACGGATAGAATACATATACTGTACATATATAAGTATATTTATATAAATACATATTAAACATCCATGACTGGAGTACAAATGCACGTATTCATCACACAAACATCTGCCCCCACCGGGATTCGAACCCGGGACCTCTCGAGTCGGCGACAGCCATGAAACCCGGCGTACAAACCACTCGGCCACGGAGGTCGTCATGCGTGTGTAAATACATTGTGTATTTAATACAGATCAATTTGGCCCTTTAAAGCATGTTATTTAAATAAATATTTTCGAAGATATTAGAGGTTTTAAAATGCAGGGACATAGCTGTTCCGACGCTACCGGGCGGGGGGCCTGGTGGCGCGTGCCTATTGTAATTAGGTAAAAGAAGAATGTCATTGCGTATAATACAAGCCTGAGAACAAAAACTATAGTCTACACTTCAGCTCTACACCGAAGCGAAGCGAGGGCGGGCCACTAGTATTAAAATAAAGGCGCCTTCTTCACCGGATCGGCGCATTCTCGTTTCGTTTCCGATAACGTCCCGGAACTGAGCCGGTCAAGGAGTGGTGTGGTGCTCGGGTTTGTTTTATTTTCTGTAAAAAAAAGCACTGCCGGATTTAGGGGAGGGCAACCGGGGCGAAAGCCCCGGGGCCTCCACAAACGGGGGGCCCCTACAATAGAGACTTCGGAAAAAAAATCTTTCAAATTCCAACTAGTAAACATCTTTTCCTTTGATATTTTTTGTTTTTGCTCTTTTACCTTTACCCAGGGCCGAATTTAAGGCAGGGCAGGTGGGGCCGTGGCCCAGGGGCCTCCACAACAGCTTAAGAAATAACAACATTTCGATGGGTCAATAAGCATACAAATTCTAAGTGGCCCGGGGCCTCCACAATCCTAAATCCGGCCCTGAAAAAAAGGTACCTCCATATCGGTACAGAAACGACACGAGCACACGCCGATCCGCTGAGGAAGGCGCCGAACCCTGGCTGTCTCTTTGTTCAATCTTCCCGACTTAATGGCTGAACAATTTTTGAAGAATTTTAAATCAGTATACTTGACTTTGAAAACATAGGCTACCTTTTGTCTTTTAGCACACACACAACTAATTAAAATTGACAATGAGAAAGAAGAACATAGACTAGGTACATTTTGTCGGAACACAGCGAATAAAAATTATCGAACTCCTTATCCGGACCACATGACTCATGATGAGCAATGGCACCATTTCGCAGTATGGCCTTTACCTGACCTACAATTTACTGAGTAACTACGAGTCACTGATAAAAAAGCGAAACTGTTTAATTTTTATTTATAGTTTCGTTGATTTCATTTTTCTGTAATTACCAGACCAAAGGTTTAATTTGGTGCATCTTTATGGATAGATCCTTAATAATAATGGTAGCGGATAGCAGAGCGGTCTGGTTTATAATATCGACAGCCACTGTAAACGAAGGGTTAATGGATCGACAGTACCCCAAATCTATGATAGGCTGTATCGATAGTACCGCAAATCTATGATAGGCTACATCGATAGTACCCCAAATCTATGATAGGCTGTATCGATAGTACCGCAAATCTATGATAGGCTACATCGATAGTACCCCAGATCTATGATAGGCTGTATCGATAGTACCCCAAACCTATGATAGGCTGCATCGATAGTACCCCAAATCTATGATAGGCCGCATCAATAGTACCCCAAATCTATGATAGGCTGCATCGATAGTACCCCAAATCTATGATAGGCTACATCAACAGTAGCCTACAGTACCCCAAATAGATGGTACGCTACATACGGTGACTGTCGATATTTTGAGCGCCAGCAGAGCAAATGCTCTTTGATCGATGTTTGGGGAAGAAACCCAACTTTTGGTGGTGCTGTTTCTGTTGGTTCAAAGTTTCCGGGGCTCAATGGGAGGTCTAGAGCGGCACCTTGGCTGCCGCATCAGAAAAATATATATTTTATATTTCGCAACTGTAACTCCACTTAAACTTAACTGGGTGAAGTGGGGTACTTATTTTACTGCAAAGAATGCAATGGCTACACTCATTAGGAATGTAACAAAAGCAAGATTTTAAACAATATTCATGAGTCAACAATTTTATTTTTAATAATGATTGGTTGGGCTTGAAAGTCCTGCAGTGTACTCAATAAGAGAACATCATAAGTCACTCACAGAAAAACAACTGTACAAGATTTTAACTGTATTTTAAGATTTTAAAAGTATTTATACTGTATAACACAGCAATCAAAATCAAAATGCAGGTAAACAATTAATGTATATTTAATCATTATGTAATGAAAGGTGACTTCATGAACCATCTCTGAAGTCATTTTTCAATTTGACGACTCTGTAAATAATAAAATATGGAGAAAAAAACAGCCCTTGCTGAGTTTCTTGCCGGTTCTTCTCAGTACAAGGTCTCCCGCTAAATAATTGATTTGCTGATATGTATTCTGGCCATTTGGCAGATGTGAGGTGCCAATTTTTTTTTCATAATTATAAGGTATTCTGGTAAAGAAAACATGAGCTATTATGCAAAAATATATTCCTTTAATAAAAAATTATGTTTAATCTACTATATACTTAAAGACAATTATTATCCAATTATAATATTTATATTTTTTGGTATATATTCAGTTGTAAATAGCACAATTTTAACAGTGCTCATGCAAAATATTCATAAAAAAATCTTAACAAATTATCAAATTTTATTTGAGCCATAGAGAGATCATGAAAACAAATCTACACAAACTTGTACACATCTATTTTTCTAACCTAGGTATATCAGTGTAAACAATATTTTAAATGTTTTCAAGGTCTTTTAAAAATAAGATTAAAAATAAGCTTTGCTTGGAGATGTCTACACATCTGTCATTCATAATGCATTATGATCTTGTAATTTTATATAAAATATCTGTTGCTACAGTGAACCATACAGTGATATCAATTCCTATATAGTATTAATGAAACCTTTCTCATGCCGTTACTTTTTAAGATTACATAATCGTTATAAAGAAAAGCACTATTAAAAGATTGTTCACTCTTTTCTAAACAGTTGTAAAGCATATCTTATGTAAATTAATAACCATACAAAGTATTGGGATCAAATATAAAATAAACTATATGTAGAAAAAATAAAGCTTATAAAAATTTACTTGAAACTTTCACAGCCCTAAACGCACTCCAATAGTCATGGGTCTTATGTCTGCAAACTGAATGTAGTTACAATCAACCCACTCTACAAAGTCTTTTCCCAGAGCCACTGCACACTCTAAAGCCAATATGCAATCATTTTCTGCACGGTGAGCTTCTATCGCGGGACGATTCAACACTCTCTCATATATATATTTCAGTTTGTATGATTCATCTGGTTTCCGCCCTGACCATGGGAATCTTCGTTTTGCTTTACCCCTACAACTATGGGGTATCTTATTTATATGCGTCTTTCTGGGGGTTGTTTCATTTTTAGACTTCATGTCCAGGGTATTGTCTTGATTTAAAATAGATTGGGGACTTTCTTTCTTCACAGTTATTGTTGTATCAGTCTGATCCAAAGTGGAACTCACATTGGTTACACTATTGCTCACGGAATTCTTTCGAAATTCCAGTATATCATAGAAAGCATGATAGCAGTCAGCACACAAAAGATCAACAGAGAAACTGACGCCTAACTTTTCCAATTGTCTCCTTATGATGGGGAAATCAAAGCAAATGCCGTTTTGCGCTATCAAACACACAGGTTTTTGTAATATATCTAGAAAATTATTTAAGATATGAAATACTTTGAGATCAAACTGCGATTCGTGTTCTAACAGATCGTTACAGAGGCCAGTCACGTCGGTGCAATCGGGATGTATGAATCTTCCAGGGTTCAAGCACAATGTCACCTTGTTTTGCACGCGGGGCGACGCACCGGGACGTGTGTCCAAAAAGTGTTCGCGTTTCACAGCCACCATACTAATTTCGGTTATTTTCGTTTTGTTATGTTCTTCGGCTGGTAAACCGGTGGTCTCCAAATCTACGAATACGTATGTGAGGATACGAGACATTATCCAAACTTACCCAAAGCTTCCAGCATTATTATACTTCTAATCAGAGATTTAAGTCAACTTTCTCCGTAATATTGCCACAAATAGGAGCTATTTCCTATTAACTTTTAAAACTAAACACTATAAATAAGTTTGGAAAGTTGAATAAATAGAGACAGTCAAAATAGTAAAGTACTCAAATAAAAACAAGAAGCATGGGAGCAAAAGCACCCATGTAAGTTACAATTAGGGACACGAAAAAAGTATCGATACTTTGTGGTATCGAGTACTTTTCCTTTCGATACCGATACTTTTGTACTCGATACTTTGTATTCGATACTTTTACTAAATGAGTACTTTTTAGCAACGATACCTTTAAAAATTTGGATATTGATGGCAACGGCATCTTGTTAAATCGTAGCCAACTTACCTTCTAAAACGTTCCATAGGGTATTTGACAAGTTTTACGCAACGATCTCACGATATTGACTAATGTTTATGGAGTCCGTAAAAAGTGGATATTAATCATTCTGTCGTGTATTTCAGTAAAAATAACCAAATCAAAAACCCCATTTTCAAGTTGCCGCGAAAACGTTTCTCTGGACAATATGGCGTCTTACACTTGTGACGTCACACGACTGTTATTAAAACGTCAAACGATACAATGTAATGTCACTTTGACCGGAAGTTTACTTGCGTGTGACATCATTTTAGGCTCCGCCAATCCCAAACGTTTTGGATCACGTGACAATAGATAACAAATCTAATATCTTTTTCGTTATTTTGGCACTTTATTTTTAATACTGTCAAATGCTCTATTGCGTTGTTATAAAGTCAGTAACTGACATATTCAAGTTCTTTCCTATCTGTGACGTGTTTATTTTGCGCTTTGTTTTGTTTCATAGTTATTTATTTAGCGACCATATTGTTAGGAACTGTGATTGATTCGCCGTTTATTGTGCTTTTCGCTTAACTGTATTTGATTTATTCAAGTGTAACACTATTATTCTGTCTGTGCTGTGTATACCTATTACCTATTTGAAACCACCTGAAGACTGAAAGACGGACGTAGCCTCTTCTATAATTATAATCTTGAGTGAAACATGCCAATGGCAGCCGTTAACTACGTGTTAGATTCAAGTTAACATAAGTGGGTATAATGTTTTTTAATGATTAAAATTCAAGAAAAGTAAGTTTAATTTGAAACAAATCTGAAAAGTTTCATACTTTTAAATTGTTTAAGATTTCGATCTTTTTAATTAACATTTTAATTATGAATGTAATATTAATGAACACTTTTTTTAGTGTCAGAAATCACAGCTATTTTCTTTTCATTATATAATATAGCAATTTTGTGAATTTACATGTCCTTTTTTTATTTTTGATTATACGTACTATAATAAAATTTGTTTTTCTTTCAATTTTAACACGGGGGGGGGGGGGTTGCTCACCAGGCCACAGAGGCTCCGATAAGGCCCTATGAAATGTACTCGATACTTTGAAGTATCGATACTTTTGTTTCGATACTTTTACGAGTACGATACTTTTATACCGATACTACTCATGAGTACAGTATCGATACTTTCTATTCGATATCGTGTCCCTAGTTACAATGAAGTTAACAGTTAAATAAAGAGTATTTATGTCGAAACTTTAGTTTTGTATTATTTTTGATATGAATGAATGAATCATAAGAATGACATAATTAATGAATGATGCGATGATTGTGTGATGAATGAATGATTCAATTATCTTTTTTTTTTTTTTGTTGAAGTTCTCCCGTTTTAGGGAAGGCAAAGGGAACAATGCCCATACAGCCTAGTCTTTAACTAAATTTATCTTCTTTTTATTTTTACATTAGAATGTCGGTGTGACGCATTCTAATGTTTCTTGGAGTGTTTGGCACGAAATGTATCGAGTTGGCTTTTTCGATAAGCTTCTGTGAGGTAGTCAACACTACAATAAAATTCTCACGTCCACTTGACCGGAATAGCGTATATTTTAATGATTCCGCTAATTCTTCAGTTACGCAGACAGTTGTTACACAAAACCACACCAATTTTATTTCACAATATCCACTATGAGCGAATTTAAGAATAATTTAAATAAGACGCCAACCGCACTCGATGAAATCCCGCCAAAAAAGCCGATTCAATTATCGTGATTAATTGTTTGACATTATGTTTTTGTCATTCTCTTCTCTCTGTATAGGAAAGTAGAGGATACTAAGGTCATACAATCTTATCTTTAGAGTTTTCATTTGTTTTTTTTTTTTAAATTGGAATGAAGTTAGGTTTATGTAGTATCAATAGTCCGTTTTCTCGATAAGCTTCTGTGAGGTAGTCAGCAATACAAGTACAATAAAGTTCTCACGTCCATTTCTCATCTTTGACGACCTCCGTGGCCGAATGGTATAGACGCCGGGTTTCATGGCGTGCCTACTCGAGAGTGGGTTCAAACCCGGTGGGGGCAAATGTAACCTTAGTCATGGATGTATGTATATATATATATATATATATATATATATATTTAAAAAAAAAAACTTATAAAAGTCTCAGTATATGTATTCTATCCGTTACCCTAGCATCCCATAACACAAGCCTTATAGTGCTTACTTTGGGGCTAGGCTAATTATTCGTGCGAGTGTGGTAAATATTTATTTATTTATTATTATTTACTTCACCCATAGTTAAGGACTTACTTTAATACCTACTAATTCATTCACCACTTTAACATCACAGTAATCATTATGAATGCATCAGAGTTAGGGGCGTATTTTGAAGTTTGACGTCCCAGGAGGCCATTTTTCGATTTGCAACCCCTCCCCCCTTACCCAAAACTAACGAAAAAAAATGGGTGCGTGTACTTATGTAGGCGCGTGAGAAGTTATCCTTCTTTGGCATCGTTTAAAATTAGTTTTTAATTGCATGCAAATCATTAATTACAATAAATTAATAAAAAGTCTGGAAAAGGACACAGTCAATAAAGTTCAGTTTTAATTTAAAAAATAAATAAATAATCAAAATATTCAATTAAAATCGCTACTGAATATAATTTATTAGAACATATGTGATTTGCACTTGTATGAAACTCAAACACGTATTCCGAATATACAAACTAGAAACATGTGGATAAATATTATAAATATGAATACCTATAACTGTTACTTTATTACAAAAAATAACGATGTGGTTTTTGGTTCTACTACACCAATGGTCAAGAGATGGCGCTGTAGTCTCCTGAATCGCGCTTTGGTTCCGTTGTTCCAGATTAATAAATACTTTTGATAGGCCTTCACAATACAGTCGTTAGCACCCACAAAATAGAGATTCTATTTCTATTTTGTTGGTAGATTTTCTTAATGTGCGGTAAACCTAAACACAAAAGTAACTTTTTGTGTTACATTGATGCGCGCGCATCTTAAAATTTCACTCTCATCATTTTTTCATAACGCGCCTAAAGAAGTATAACTTCAAAAATAAACCAAAGCAAACTAGTTTAGTCGACCATGTAAGCGGCCACCGTAATAATTAGAATCATGACATAATGTGACACCGGCGCATTTATAGTTTATGGCACGCGTTACAGACCTAGTTCCTATTCTAAACCATCCCCATCCTACGGAACCTGTGTTACCGACAGACACACAAATCACCACTTAAGATTACTATTATTTTTATGTTATTTCACTGTAGTCCTTCTGTTAACAGGAGTTATTTCTGGGTTACTGGGCGCTCCAATTCGATTGGGAAACCGCTTTGCCTTCCTGTCTTAATAGATTTATTTAGATGTTAATAAAACACATGTACCGACGAGGATGAGAAGTTCGATGGCACAAGTGTTAGCGCGTTCGGTCTGCGAGCAAGGAAGTTGAGTACTTTTTACAATGGCCGGTCATCGGATGGGTGACCATAAATTTATTATCTCGTCCTCCTCGTCCTATGTCCTCCGTGCTTCGGATGGCACCTAAAGCCGATAGCGCCAGCTGCATCTGCAGTCGCAAGTACCCTTCAATGGGCTTATGTGGTGAGTCATGCCTGCCGCCTAGGACCACGGCCCTTATGGCTTCAGCGTAAATACGCTCCTGGCGTAACCTCTTTATTCCACCCATGTATAAGGCCTGTGCCCCAGCAGCAGTAACATTAATAGGCTGATAATGTACTCGGTGACTAATCTGTCATTGATACATACTCAATGATATATATTGCAGACGACATATGCCGCACCAGCTAGCCAGCTCTTCAACTTTCACTTTGCTATCATGTAGGATGGTTGGATAGTACTTCGCTTTTTTGGTTGTCGCCTGCAGTGCGTGTACTTTCGAAGTATGAGTAAGTACTTCAAACTCCGAAAGTTAAGCTTGGTATAGCTGGGTGGGAATTTAAGTGATCTATGTATACTCTACAGCAGGCTTATATATTTCTTGTAATTTGTATTCATTTTTCATTACAGTAATGTGTTATCTAATGTCGCTTTCTATGTACTAAAAAAGTAGAGGTAACTATAAAACTTATTGTAACTACATATCTATATTTTAAATGATGTAATGGAAGGTAACTGAAGTATTTCTCATTTTTCAACTTAGCGACTCTGTTTATGTAAAATGCATTTAATGTAATGTAATAGCTCTTGCTGGTTTTGTTGCCGGTTCTTCTCAACACAAGGCCTCCTCGGTAGTTTTATAAACCGATGGTGTAGCTTCAGTGGCGGCGCTAGGCGTCGGCGACGTCAGCCACCGCGGACGGCCTCGCGCCTGAGGGGGCCTCGCAATTTTTTTTTTATAAATTACATATTTATTTTTGTTTCTATTGGCCTGGCTTAGGAAGCCGACCCCGAACAATTCGGGGAAAAACCAAACAGATGATAATGACTTTTATTATTTTCGAACACGTGCGTGATGGAAGCGAGTAGTACTTTAGGGGTAATCAGAATCGTCTGTCTGGCAACACTATTTTTGTCATTAAATTTCTATGTTTGTAATTATTTACAAACATATTATTTACATCATTTGATTATCAACAATAAAACTCGTTTACTCATACGTTATTTTATAATTTGGCTCATTTAATTTAACGGTCTTTTACTGCGAAGTAAAATAGGCCTCGCGAACTTGATGTCGCCGACGTCCACATGTGGTCTAGCGCCGCCACTGCGTAGCTTCTCGACCTTCAAAAAGTGCTTGTGACATCCTAGACTGAATAAATGTTTTTTTCAGTTTTTAGTTTAGTAAAGCTATGGCAAACTCTTTATCACGGACCTTTTAATTCGAGGTGAAAATAACGATTGAAGCAGACGCGCCCCATAGGCAAGGAAAAAGGGAATTGTGCGACAGAGGAATACCTCAGTCCCTAAAATTCTTGCCGTATTTTAAGATTGAGATTACCGCCAAGCGTAGCGAGATTATTTCTCCAAGTTATCGCCATGAATAACTTCATGGTTACCGGCGGTAACTACCGTCCATAGAACCTTTGAACGGAACACAAACACAGCCATGGCAACGAAATTTGTTTATATACCTAACTACTACCTAGAAAGTGACGCGCCACTTGTTTTATTGAAAGCGTATTGTTGTCGTGTATAAAAATATAATGTATTTATATAATTTGTATATAATAGTGTTGTTGTGGTTTTAAATCAGTATTCTTATTTAAGTTAAATCTTTTTATCGATAGTAATTATTCTTGTGTAAATTTTTCATAAAACACTCATTTGAGAAGTAAACTGTGTATCAAAACTAAAAATCATCAAATTTTATTATAATTGTTTTAAGCAATTTATTAATTTGAATGATTGCAGTGTTTTGTTTTAATTTATTTTACAAAAAAATAGTTTAAAAATTAATCAATGTAACAGCTTGATTGAATTATGACCTCGTTACTTCGCTATTGAATTGACCTACTTTTTATAATGTTCAATTCGAGAATAACAATACCTCGTTCTAGAATACTCTATATAATGAAGCAGCATAAAATGGGGTCATGTAACTCAAGCAGTTGATCAAGGGGTAAGTTAAAATGAAATTTCACAATTTTCTATGATAGAGGATCATGATTGGATGGACCTGGATTGGGGATGAAAGATGATATGGATTGGACCTGGATTGGGGATGAAAGAAAGTCGAAGTTAACTAACTTTCGGAATGGCTTGTCGTCAGCTTATTATTGTCCCCACTGCTGGGTCACAGGCCTTCTCTACGGATGGAATGGCATTATGCAGCCGTGACCTACGGCTTAACATGCCTTCCGAAGCATGGAGGAGATCGAGATAGTAAATTTTTGATCACCCATCCATTGACCGACCATTGCGACAGTTACGATCGCAGCCGAACGCGCTTAACCACTTGCGCCATCAAGCTTCTCATACAGCCCTGAAGATATTATAAGTGATATTTTGTAATATGCCGTAGAACGATGGGTGGCGTGTTGAACAAACTGTCCGGCGACGTGCAAGCCGCGGGTTCGGTTCTCGACCGCGTCATATCGCAGCCGCACACGGAAGAACACACTGTTCTTTACAAATTGGCGGATTACAAAAAAGGTTAGTTTATACACATTCATGCTAATTGTCAATTAAAGATCCCCAGTTTTCGACTGTTGAAATTAGATATTTTTACCAGCACTGAAGCTTGAGGCTCAAGCACAAACCATGACATCTTCGTAATCGTATCGTCATCGTCATATTTTATAGATAGGTCCGACAAATGACTCCACCCTACCTGCTGTAAAGTGACGGTGAAGTACAGACTCGAAGATAGCTGATACAACAGTTCTACCTGCCACACCGGCCATCCTCCCCCTTGCCGGCATGCATGTTGCTTCTTCACGCCTCTTTTTAAAGGATCCCAGATTGTAAGAGAGAGGGATAGTGCGATAAGGAAATGAGTCACCAAATTTCTTTGTACGCGTTGGAATAGTAGCCACAGTTAATCGGTGGCAACGTAGGCCGGTGCGCGTGGTCCTCCGAAGGAAAGGGTACTTGCTGTACTCCCAGTGACTCTGACAATAAATAATAATATAGAAGGCATGTGCTTCAGTACTGATTGCGTCCTCTTCACAAAACACAGAAAAGAATGTTTAGTTAGCATTAAGTATTCAAAACTCCCAGTAATTTACACATTGCATATTTATGTATAGGAAAATTCCTATTGCAAAGCCAGCTGTGCTGTGCAGCTCCCCAGCTGGGTAGACAATGAGGGTTTCTAGGACCACTGCAAAATGAGGTCTTTTGTACTGCAATTTTTGGCGCGAATTAATCGAACGAGAATTTAAATCCAAAGGGATTTACACATTTCGACGACATTCGTGATTTGACGAATGAGTAGACTTTCCGGCTCAATACTGCCACCTGGCGCCCGTCATCCCAGGCTCATTAACAGTCTAATAATGATGGCCATGTTTATAGGTGGTCTTCTGTTGGAGACGTACGCTAAAGGCGGGATGATGGCGGCTGAGAAACTCATCAGGGAGGAGTTCGCGGCGTACATGTACGCGGGCGGCGCAGGGAGGGTCATCAACCGCGCTGAGTACTTGAGGTGGAAGTTCAGGGACCAGAAACAGGTCAGCTATTGCATAGTAGCAGACGCAAACTTTATAGACCTTAGCTTATTGGTAGTTTAGGATAGTGAAGTAACGCATCTTTGCCTACTTCCTAAAAGCAGACTTCAAACGATAATGATAAAAGCATTCGAACATCGAAGGCTACAGTGCGACCAAGATTTGATGGTGCATGGCCGAAATCAGAACTAATTTTAGGAAGGTATCAATAAGCCTTTTTTTATAGATAGGTCCGGCAAATGACTCCACCCCACCTGATGTTAAGTGAAGGTGAAGTCCAGACGCGAAGATAGCTGATACAGCAGTTCTACCTGCCACACCAGCCATCCTTACTCTGCCGGCCTGCATGTTGCTTCTTCACACCTCTTCTAAAGGATCCCAGGTTGTAAGAGGGATGTAAATGTTGTAAATGGAATGCTCAGCCCGCTCACGTGGGAACACGTGAGCGGGCTGAGCATTCCATTTACGGATAGTGCGACAAAGAAATGAGTCACCAAATTTCTTTGTATGCGTTGGAATTGTGGCCACAGTTAGACGGTGACAACGTAGGCCAGCGCGCGTGGTATTTATAGAAGAAGGTGTAAATAAGCCTTATATATTTTCTATTACCCGAGCTATTTTACGTACATTTACTTGGTAATCCATATTTAATCACTACAGTACCACCAGCAGCAGCGCCCTCCTGGCAATGTCATCTTCTAAGTACCACAAGATCTTGTTAGCACTGTATGTGTGTGATCGTCATACAGTTTTGTCGTGAAAAAACTGGGATGGGCTTAGCGTCAACGCCATCTATGAAAGTCTGGGTTCCAATATTTTGGACGTGATAACGTCATATAAATTATTTGTTTCTTAGGTTTTCACGCACATCACTCATTAAATAAAACTAGTTTTTACGGGTTAATGCACGAAACTTTATTTATTTATTGACGTTTCGCAGCCTTTTCAGGTCTGCATCGTCAGAATAATGATTTTATTTAAAATTGTCGAGCTTGTTTCATGTCAACATGCATTAGGGGGACCAAACCACTACATTAGATTTGATAGACCACAGATCCTTGCAGCTGAGCGGCGGTTCGTTCCTCGAATGATGCGCGAGGCTATTGAGATTAAAAAATATCCAAATTTCAATAGGGAAGATGGTTGGTATATACCACCAGCTTGGGAACCTATTATACAGGAGATAAAATCCCAACCCCGAGCACACACTGCAAGACCATCAGATACTATTAGTTCTTTTTGTTTGCATAATTTAACATAAGAAGGAGATAGAAAGCCTCTCTTGAGTTTGTTTCGCCGGTTCTTCTCAGGAAGGTCTCCCAATTTTGGAACCGGTGGTAGTTTACGGTAGTTAGGGTCAAATAAATAAACTCAAAATTACAAACAAGAATTTTAAATAAAATACTTCATTAAGTAAATTAAATAATAAATTCATACATAGACAATAAAAATTTTAAAAATCTTCCAATGAAATAACCGAACGCACAATATAATTCTTTCGAAGGTAGCTCGACAATTTTAAATAAAATCATTATTCTGACGATGCAGACCTGAAAAGGCTGCGAAACGTCAATAAATAAATAAAGTTTCGTGCATTAACCCGTAAAAACTAGTCATATAAATTGATGAACACCGGCTGCACGCACGAAAAAGTGTCACGTTCTGCCTGAGCCCGAGCGTGCAAGCGAGAGCGCGGAACAAGCGATAGAGACGCACGATGGGCCCAAGCGTCGGCTTGTACACATTTATCTCTCTTCTCGCGTGACGTCAGAGCTAGCAATTATGAATTTTTCTTCAATTTTTTTTATAACGTTATCACGTGAAGCTATCGTCCATAAACCGACTATACAGATAACCATTTTTTGTATCGTTTCGAGTGATGCGATGCCAAAATGTAACCTTGAAAATCTGGGGTAAAGAAAACAACTTTTCAGATTTACTTTTATTTTTAATCGATCAACTTTAGTTAAATTAAACCAAAATATTTTAATATCAAAATTTTAAAACATAATATAACAACTTAAATCAGAATGTTTTTTTTTTCCAAAACAAATTATGTTACTAAGTTTATTCTCCCCATATAGGTACAAATAAAAGAAGAGAGGGTACGTGACGATTTCTGGTCTGGGTTTGAGTGATGTGTGTATAAACTTAAATTATCCAATCATGAGTTAATTTTAACATAGTTAGGCCTAAATTTATTTATACATTAGGCTACGTGAGCTACGTTTGAATCTGTGGCGGCGACATCTACACGTCCCACATATAACTAACATAGAGGAAACAATCTTACGCCTCCTCAAGAGATGGCACTACCGGCGCTGCGTTCACAACGTAAGGAAGCCTACATCGCGCAAGTGAAATTCGGAAGCCAACAGTTCATATATACGATGCCCGACCAACATCGGTCGGGCCGCGGCCCCCGAGCTACCATCATCCAGCTCGGAGGAAGATCTTCCCATTTGGCCTTCCTACAAATCTATATAGTGTAACGCAATCTCGATCCTTTGCTTTATTGGAACGCCGGTCTGGGGAAGCATCCTGCTCCTTCTTCACGTATACCTTACAGAAGACACTGCAATGACCCTACCTCTGAGTGGTACTCCAAGTGAGTAATGTTTCAGGACTCCACGGCATTTGAAGATGACGTTGGGATAGACGAGGAGCTCGATGGCGCAGGTGGATAGTGCGTTCGGCCTGCGATCGTGGAAGTTAAGCAACTTTCGCAATGGTCGGTCATTGGATGGGTGACCGAAAACTTATTATCTCGATCTCATCCATGCTTCGGATGGCACGTGGAGCCGTTGGTCTTGGCTGCGTCTGCAGTCATTAGCACCCACCAATCCACACTAGGCCCGCATGGCCCAATATCCCTATTCCATCCATAGGGAAGTCCTGTTCCCCTACAGTGGGGAAATTCATAGGCTGGTGATGAAGATTAAGGTAGGCATTGCGCAATATCCATCATGGCAAACATGGATGCTATAGCGGTCAGTACCCTTAGTACGAGTTTGAGCTCACGAAAACTATCATAGTTTTCATAATTGTAAATTATGTTTCTATGTCCATTTTGGTGAAAAGTAACCAAATGTTCTTAAAATTTAGGAAGACGCAAACGATTTAATGATAAAATTTAAACACTGCTTATTTGTATTGAAACGAAAACAATAAAATCAGTACCCTTAGTACGAGTGCGAGCTCACGAAAACTATCACAGTGTTCGTAATGAGGGCTATCGCGTATGAATCCGCCGCTAGAGGCGCTAGTGTAGCGTGAGGTCTCCGAAATGTCAAATGTTATTGCTTGTTGGTTGACTACGCGGGTTTATTTCTAATTAAAATAATGTTGTGAATAATTGGTAACAATTCGGCTTAATTATGGCAAATATGAGTTATGTGGCAATGAATGTCAGTTATTAAAAATTTGAGCTTAGAAAAATGATTTTGTTCCCATTTTTTCCGAATAAAACGGAACTGCGCGTCACTGTGGCATGGCCTATTATGTTTAGGATATGGTTCTTTTGTGTTAAAATACGATCTAAATGTAACCTTTGATTTCATGTGCGTATTATTAAACTTTAAAAGTTACAATTTAGGACCTCACTCAACAGTGGCGCCATCTGGTGAGACAAAAAACGATAGCCCTCATTGTAAAACTCGTACTAAGGGTACAGTTGTTATTTTAGGTAGTTCTGCCTATAGAAGCGTCGCTGTCTCCCCATGACCCACTGGCGAAGTGGCGGGACCACACCGCCTGCTGGCAGATGTGTTACAGAGGAGCACTGGGAGAATCCTTGCTACACGTGCTCATTATATGCGACACTAAGGTAATCTATACTTATAATAAATCTGTAGAGATGTCAATTCTGTACATGAAATATATTTTTAAAAATAACTATCAGGGGGTGATTAGTGATCGATACTGATGCCAAAAATGCAATCAGTAAAATTTTTGTCTGTCTGCCTGTCTGTGTGTATGTTCCTTATAGAAACAAAAACTACTCAACGGATTTTAACGAAACTTGGTACAATTATTCTTCATACTCCCGGGCAGGTTATAGTATATTTTTTAAGCTTCCGTCGCGGGTGCAGCCTTAATGGTTAAAGTTACATAGAAATCATGTATGACGGAAATATTCTACATAAAATTGTCTAAAAAATATCCCGCAACAGCATATGTCTATCTTTTATGGTTGACTCACAATAACACGTGTAATTATATAATTAAAGTCATTCTTTATAGCACAAGCCTGAGAACAAAAACTATAGTACACTACAGCTCTACACCGAAGCGAAGCGAGGGCGGGCCACTAGTAATTTAATAAATATGTACCTACATTTTTAATTTTTTTAAGCATTTAACTGCTAGATGATTAAATCTAAATAAAGGTTTAACTAGAAAAAAATCCACGCGGACCAGACAGCGGAGGGGACTCGAACCCGCACCCTTCGCAATCCGGGCGAATGCACTGATCAATTATGCTACCACGGCCCTGATGGCCGCGTCGAAATTTTCCTAGCCTTAAGCTGCAAGGCAGCGCCATCTCTTCGCATTGTAGGTAACCCACAATGTCAAATATGTACTTAATACAACACAACAGTGAATGACTCAAAATTGGGCCAAATGCTTATGTTTTACTAGCTGTGCCCCGTGGTGTTACCCACGATTTATTAGGGATATTTTCCCGCAGTAAAACGTAGCCTATGTGTTAATCCAAGGGGTGAGCTAACTCCATACTAAATTTTATTTAAATCGCTCCAGCCGTTTAGACGTGAAAAGTAACAAACATACACACTCACTAACTTTCGCCATTATAATATTATTGTGTGTTATATTTTATAACTACGTAGTCGCACCGATATAATAAATAAGTTAATGTTTTGTACCATTAAGGCTTCTTCAATAAATCAACATCAACCTATCTACCTTAGCATCTCTTATCTATTAGACAAGTCCGTCCATCCGTCTGTGGTGCTGTTTCAGCGGCCAAACCGTAAGAGATAGATAAAGAGAATATTTAAGTTATAAGTTAAGAATAGTCTGATAAGACTACAAACCGGATTTGAGTAACGTAGCACTTCTGGTTTTCGAGAAATCACGAATTTCAAATGAAACCACACAAAATCTCCGAAGTTCTCAATAAAATGTATTAATTAAATACATTTTTTTTAGTTTATTATAACTTGCCGCCATCACCCAACATACCACACTTTAACTTTAACGTAACTTTTCCTTCGATCAAAACTTGCTCTCTTTAAAATATCTGCGGTGGTGTCATGTGAGGCGAGAGCGTAGCGATGGCTGGTTCATGCGTCATGCTCGGGTGGGGTCGAGTCTACATGCTTAATTTTCTCATTCGATTTTTAACATTTATGTAAGCACTACTATACTTAAGTGTCGCCGCACACGGGCCACGCGTCACAGCCACAAACGCCGCCACGAGAAGCTAGAAGCGGCCACTAAAGTGGCTGAAGCGCGCGACAGCGGCCGACTAAGGTAAGGGAGAGAAGGGTGGGGAATCGCGCGAGTGACGTGTGGCGGCGTTTTGTATCGGCGCATTAAGTAACCGGTGCAGGCCACAAGAAGCGAGCAACGACGATTTGTAGCGTGTGGCGGCCACCGGCGGCGTACCGTGTGTGAACAGTCCATATAAAATGTATGAAAACTACCAGAAATATGCCGGTGGCGGCGTTTTGTGGTTGTGGTCGGTGGCCCGTGTGCGGCGACACTTATAAAAGTATAGTAAAAATAGTAATAAATTAAGAAATGGTTTTAATAATTTTGCAGATCCATACGAGACTTGCCAGGACGCTGGTAAAATGTTTCCCGAAACTTTCTCTGGATGTCGTCGAAGGGGAGGAATATTTAGGTACACACGTATATAATATAAATATACAATAAAATGCACAAAATGGATTATGTTTACGATTTTTTTCCTACCTATTGTTATTTTTTTTTTGTTTTTTTTTATAGCCAGGTAGGCAAATGACTTTACTCCACCTGATGTTAAGTGGTGATTAAGTCCAAACGCGAAGATAGCTGGTACACAACCATCCTCAACTTGCCGGCCTGCAAAAATGCTTCTTCACGCCTCTCTTAAAGGTCCCCAGATTGTAGGAAGGAGGGAACACGTTGTGTGTAATGGTAAATTTAAACACATAAATCATTAAAAGTTGCTTGGTTTATTTAAGATTTAAAAACAACCAAACACTTACAAAATGCATGACAACCACAGACATAGTTAGTATGGCCGTTCGCGCCATATACAATTTAAATGCTAGAGAATCCCTTAGAGAAAAATTTAAAGAAATTAATATTTTAACACTGGAGTTGCAATACATTTATGAAAATTTAATATATGTAAGAAAAAACTATGATGAATTTGCAAAAAAAAGTCAAACCCATAACTTTAACACAAGATTTAAGAACAAGCTTGCCGTTCCATGTTTCAGACTCCAAAAATCAAGAGGTTCATTTCTGGGTTGTAGTATTGCATTGTTTAACAAAGTTCCCCTAGATCTGATTGAGCTTCCACTGACTAAATTTAAATCTCAGATCAAAAATACTCTTATGAATAAGGGCTATTATAAAGTTGATGATTATCTAAATGATCGTAATGCATGGACATAGTGTTTCTTATAATTTGTTATTAAATGGGTATTAGTAATTTTTCACAACAGTAATATTGTACCTATCTAATGCTGCTTCCTATATACTAAATACAATGTTTACTATAAAATTAATTGTAACTATATATTTATATTCTAAATGATGTAATGGAAAGTGACTTCAGACGTATTTCTGAAGTCATTTTTCAACTTGACGACACTGTATATAACAATACAGGGAGAAAAAAACAGCCCTTGCTGAGTTTCTTGCCGGTTCTTCTCAGTACAAGGACTCCCGCCGTAGTTTTGCGAACCGATGCCGTAGCTTCTTGACCTTCACAAGTGCTTGTAACAGCCTAGACTGAATAAATGACTTTTCATTTTCATTCATTTTTCATTTTCAATAGTCAATAATATTGCTTTTTTTTAAATTGTTTATAGCATTGGTGATACTTCACACGTTAAGTGAAGGCGGAGGTTAATGTTTTATCTCACAATGCCTAAATCCGCCTCTGTAGATATATCTCTTCTGTGTTATAATACAGAAGAGTGATGCCGAGTTGCAGAAGAAAGTATTAAGAATGATCCCAAGATCCGGGTGCTTCGTCATTTATTACAAATAAAAGCATGAGCCTCTTTTACCATTCAGTAGCTGAACGAGGTTTTAATGTATAAAATTTCCTGTCTAGGAGCAAGTTCGTTACATTTGGCGATAGCGTACAGCAACAATGAACTGGTACAAGATCTGGTGGAAGCTGGAGCAGATGTCAGCCAGAGAGCTATAGGTATGTTATTAAATAATTTAGTCATTGTATACGAATTAAGTGAGAGTCATCAAATCGAAAATTATATGGGAAAGAAAACATTAAAATACACAGAATATCTATATTAAGCTTATTTATTGTATATTGTTTTAAACTTTTTATGGTCACTAACATTATAGCTTTTAACGGGATTGTTACCATGTACCTTGTTTTTTGTGAGTCTCCGATACTTCGGCACTGTTGCAAGCGCCATGATCACGGAGTAACTGAAGTAATTGCGGGTAGATGATGGCAGACATATCGGTCTACCCTCTGACGTCGTGTTTTACTGCGTTCGATACCCATACCACTGGTCACATTCTCACTATTCACTCGCACCTGTTCCCCACACACAATACTCACAGTATTGATCATGGCGCTTGCAACAGTGCCGAAATATCGGAGACTCATAAAAAACAATGTACATGGTAACAATCCCATTAACAGCTATGAAGCTTATTTATTACCATGATTAGCCTGACTAATGCCCGATTCACATATTCCAGTCCAGTTACTGCATAATTGAACTGGAATATGCGAGTATGATCTAGTCCGACTTCGATTTCAAAGAATCATCATCATCCTCAGCCTATTAATGTCCCCACTGCTGGGCACTGCTGGGGCACAGGCCTTCCTTATGGATGGAATAGGGAGATTGGGCCATAACCCACCACACGGGCCCAGTGCGGATTGGCGGGTGCTAACGACTGCAGATGCAGTCGGGACCAACGGCTGAACGTGCCTTCCGAAACACGGAGGAACTCGAGATAGAAGATTTTTGGTCACCCATCCAATGACCGACCACTGCGAAAGTTGCTTAAATTCAACGATCGCAGCCGAACGCGCTAACCACTTGCGCCATCGAGCTCCTCATTTCAAAGAATAAGACATAGAAATTTTGATCAAATGTGTGGTAGTAAATCTGGGGCCCAATTTCAGAATTTCATTCATAGGGAAATAGGGTCTGACATAAATAGGCGAGCTGCCCCTGGCGTGGGCTGTCCATAAGATGATGATATTGCTTCGTCCACAATCTATTTGTATGATCAGGTAGCTTCTTCCTGTGGTGCGACAAGTAATGTGTACAAAACGCGCGTTTTTAGTCTACAGTTGGATAGGCAATCTATTGATTTCTGATTCTGTCCTTTCTATGGAGTTAGTGCCTGTCCACATCTCCAAGTCACGACGTCGTCAACGTGAAATGGTGCGGTAACGCTGCACGGTGCGGTGACACAACGTGCAAATTTACGTCCAGGTTTGCACGATATGTCAACGCACCGTGCGGTGTTACCGCATCGTTCCACGTTAACGAGGTCATAACGTGGAGATGTGGACAGGCACTTACCATTAGTGCTCGTCGAATATAAGCCGGATCTGATTCTGGTCGCAATTTCAGGCAGTTTCTTCCTGCCGCGTGACCAGCAGTGCGTTCCAAGCGCGCGTGTAACCAATTACGAGGGTCTGGCGTACCTGGGGGAATTACCGCTGGCGTGGGCGGCGTGCTGCGCCAACGAGGCGGTATACAACCTGCTGTTGGACTGCGGCGCCGACCCCGACGCGCACGATGGTTTCGGCAACATGATCCTGCACATGGTCGTCGTGTGCGACAAACTGGTAAGCGGAAATATTGGCCAATAATCATCACCACACATCACCATCAGCCTATTAATGTCCCCACTGCTGGGGCACAGGCCTTCCCTATGGATGGAATAGGGAGATTGGGCCATGACCCACCACGCGGGCCCAGTGCGGATTGGCGGGTGATAACGACTGCAGATGCAGCCGGGACCAACGGCTTAACGTGCCTTCCGAAGCACGGAGGAGCTCGAGACAGTAAATTTTTGGTCACCCATCCAATGACCGACCACTGCGAAAGTTGCATAACTTCAACGATCGCAGCCGAATTCGCTAACCACTTGCGCCATCGATCTCCTCACCAAAAATAGAGCACACAAAATAAACCTAGTTTTAATGCTACTCACGAAGGTATATTTACTACTCTGGTAATGCTAATTTCAATGCTACTCATAAAGTATACTACCACCTTTATGCTGGATCAGAAAAGAATTAGTTACCTATGTGCTGCTGCTAAAAATTTTAAGTAACACGTGTGTGATGTGAGCGAACCTAATTAGATAAAAAGTACAGAAAAACCAAACGAAGTCTAAATCTAAAGAAAATATAACTAGAAAAAATTCCACGCGGACCAGGCAGCAGACGGGACTCGAACCCGCACCCTTCGCAATCCGGGCGAATGCACTGACCAATTATGCTACCGCAGCCCTAACGGACCGCGTCGAAATTCTTCAAGCCATTCTTAAACTGCAAGGCAGCGCCATCTCTTCGCATTATAGGTAACCTACAATCGAAGTCTTCTTACCCTTCGACTACACTGTTTATTTCTCGCGCTTGTTTTCGGAATCTGAATCTGAATCTGAGTGCACTCTGGCCGTACCCTTATACCCGCCATACACACTACGAGAAATCGTTACGATCAGACTGTACAGTTCGAACGGTACAGTTTATACGATTTCGTTTAGTATAGGAAACTGTGCAGTTTTATAACATACACGCTACGATTTATCGGTACCGTTCGGACTGTACAGTCTAATCGTAACGATTTATCGTAGTGTGTATGGGTGCGGCCAGAGTGCACTCAGATTCAGAGTCAGATTCAGATTCTGAAAACAAGCGCGAGAAATAAACAGTGTAGTCGAAGGGTACGGCCAGAGTGCACTCCTGATTCAGGTTCAGATTCAGACTCAGAAAACAAAGCGCGAGAAAAAGCAGGCAACCTGCTTAGACTACACTGTTTATTTCTCGCGCTTGTTTTCGAAATCTGAATCTGAATCTGAGTGCACTCTGGCCGCACCCTATGGCGGGTATTACACAAGTATCCGGTCGCAGGACATGTTCGGATACGCGCTCCGTCACCCGCGCGTGCCGGCCAGCAACGGGCGCATGAACCGCGCCGGGTTCACGCCGCTAACGCTGGCGTGCCAGCTGGGCCGCGCCTGCGTGTTCCGCGAGATGCTGGAGCTGTCGGCGCGCGAATTCTGGCGCTACTCCAACATCACCTGCTCCGCCTACCCGCTCAACGCGCTCGACACGCTGCTGCCCGACGGGAAGACTAGTGAGCATGCCGCACCGATCATCGCTCGTTATACGATCATACTAGAGGTGGTGTTAAGGGTTGAAAGAAAAAAATATATGTGTGAAATAAAAGTAAATATTTTTAAATCTAAAAAAAAGTTTACTAGATAGAAAACCACACGGATCAGCCAGCGAACGGGATTCGAACCCGCACCCTTCGCAATCCGGACGAATGCACTGACCGTTATGCTACCACGGCCCTATTCGCCGCGTCGAAATTTTCCTAGCCTTAAGCTGCAAGGCAGCGCCATCTCTTCGCATTGTAGGTAACCCACAATTTTTTCTAGTAAACTTTTCTTTAGCTTTAAACATCTAGCAGTTAAATGCTTAAAAATAAATAAAAACATAAATGTTTTTATCAGACGGTTACATTTAACTATACGAATTAATATTACTGTCGCGTTAAAAGCATCATGAATTTAATGAATATTTTTATTCGATTTGTTTGGAAATATTAATCAAATGTATGTTACATTTTTGTTTCTTGTTTAATTTTACGGTTGATAAATACATACAATATATTCAACAACACTAACTCATACGCTGTCCACTGCTAAGAATTCAAAATAATGTATGTGTATCAAAAAAGTGAGAATGAGTAAGATATAACATCACGTTGGGAGCTATAAGGGTCAATTCATAACGTACCACAACCACACCACAGCCACAACCACACCACAACGACGCCATGTGGTCGGGCGTATATTTTGTATTGAAAATTAATATTACAATTTACACGTACCACATTTTGCCGTTGTTATCGACCACCTGTGTAATACGACCACATCGCGACGGCAACGCCACCACCGGTATACGCTGATGTTGTCGTCTTCTTCTTATTAATAAAAAGCCATAACAAGGATAGTAACAACTATCTTTCCTCCATGACTACGTTCAGTCAAGCCGTATTTCCTCTACGAAAGCCGGAGTATAACTGCACATGATCACGTGGTTACCTCATCGCCACGACAGCGACAACGCAACCACATCGACATTTTGTCGGTACCAGAACGCAACTGCAAAAAGCCGCTGCGACACTATTCACACGTAACCACAGCTTGACCACATTTTGTCGCTGCGACGTGGTGTGGTTGTGGTACGTGTGAATTGACCCTAATGCTTATAATATATAGTTGCATGAGCGACCAAGACATTTGTCTTCCATGTTTTAAAAGGCACGTTAAACCATATATACTACCGGCTACTTCAGTCAATGTTCAGGAAATCAATTAGTTCTACAAAACTTTGAGAATGACATGGAACTCGCCATAATAACCTAACCATCGTGGAAAAAATGAAAATTAAAAGTAATGGTTTCTTTCAGATTGGAACTCCGCACTGTTTATAATTCTGAATGGGACCAAACAAGAACATCTAAACATGTTGGATGGAGGCATCATACAAAGGCTGTTAGAAGAAAAATGGAAAACTTTCGCGAGGGTTAGTAATACTATCTTTAATCTATATATATAACTCAAAGGTGACTGACTGAAATAGTGATCTATCAACGCACAGCCAAACCACTCAGGATCGGGCTGAAATTTGGCATGCAGGTAGATGTTATGTCGTAGGCATCCGCTAAGAAAGGATTTTGATCAATTCTACCCCAAGGGGATAAAATAGGGAATGAAAGTTTGTATGAAACTTATTCAATTTTAAACCGATCGGGCTGAGACTTTGCATGCAGGTATAAGAAGAATAATAGATGAATGTCATCGTGTATAATACAAGCCTGAAAACTAAAACTGTAGTCTACACTTCAGCTCTACACCGAATAGAAGAGAGGGCGGGCCGCTAGTACAAAATAAGGCCCAACATGCTGCCTTGAGGTACACCTTATTGGGTTATAACGAGTTTAAGATTCGTCAAAGTCAACTTTGACTTTAGCCATTATAAAAGTTTGCGTAATTTAATAACGATTGGAATTTCATTTTAAATTAATAGTTGATTAAAACTCATTTTGCTTCATCAAAGGCTTTGGAGAAATCAACGATCTTCATTCATTTTCCGTGGAAGTATTTTGTAATGATTACACATTACGCATATTTTCAAAAAAATAATCTTGTAGAAATATGCCACAAGACGGTCGAATCCTTGGTTCTGATCTAAGAGCCTTACCTTAAGTGTCTTCAGCTTATTTTTTTTATAACGACTTTTAAAGTTTCACTTTCGTCGCGGTTTCATAATAATATTTTTTTGTGAAATAAACAATCAAGTATTAACAAAATCGAGTTCCGTCTGCTGCCTGGACTGCATGGATTTTTTTAGTTAAATTTTCTTTAGATTTAAACATCTAGCAATTAAATGCTTAAAAAATAAAAAATATGGCAATTAAGTATTGTTATTTTATTTATTGTTATCCACCGACTGCCATATTATCTGTGATTCTGTATTAAATACATTTCTATGTAGAAGTAGCAGTAGTTTATCCGATTATTTATCGTTCAGCGACAATATCGTAGCAGAGACGTGACTTATTAAATATATATTAATTATAATTAATCCTTATAAAGTCAATAAGGATTAATTTAAAAAAAAGATTAAAAAACAATTATATTTCCTAGAAAAAGTTCCTCAAACGCCTCATGATTTTGATGCTGCATCTCATGCTGCTCTCCGTCTCCGTATATCTGCGTCACAGCGGCGCGGAGGCAGCGGCGGCGCCGGGCTGGGCACTGACAGTGACAGACGCTAGAACTGGAGTACGACTCGCCTGTGAATTGGGAACTGTGGCCAGTACGCTAGCGTATATCGTGCTGCAGCAGGGCGATGAGATCAAGAACCAGGGGCTGGTGGCCTACTTCAAGACCCTGGTGAGTTTGAGAGGACACCATATGGCTGCGACCTGGACACCGTCGCCAGTACGGTAGCCTATATCTATAGGTAAAGTGCTGCAGCAAGGAGATGAAATCAAGAACCAGGGGCTGGTCGCCTACTTTGAGCCTGGTGATTGTGACATCCTATCCGACTTTCTACGTATAATGTTATTAATGTGAAAGTTTGTATGAATGTTTGTTATTCTTTTACAATAAAACGACTTCACGGATTTGGATGAAAATTGGCATTAATGTAGTTAGCTGGTGACATACTTCAAGACCCTGATGAGTGAAATATCGCCTGTGAACTGGGCACTGTAGCCAATACACTGGCCTTTATAGTGCTACAGCAGGGGATGAGATCAAGAAGCAGGAGCTGGTGGCTTACTTCAAGACGCTGGTGAGTGTGAGCCAAAGAAATATTATTTATCCGGTATGAGCAGACTCCGTATGGCGTGACAAAATCAAGAACCAGGGCCTACTTCGAGACGTTGATGAGTGTAACATTCACCATAATGGCGTGGGTCTTGCCGTGAATTGGATGCCGTGCCTATTAAGGTAACTCTGAATGCAACACTAGTATAGAAAGTGTCAATAGGCTATAGCGGCGCCTACCATAAAAAAATTTATGGTATACAAAATATGATGTGCTGTACAGAATTAAAAAACAATACAATGCTTACATATTTTCTAAAAATAAACCTAAATAATAACGAAATAAAAATTTGAGATACAAGATAAAAATCTATAGGTGTACACTTTAAATAGTATAAGAGATACACGTTGGGCGCCAATTTTAAAAATCGTTGATTGTTACCAAATGTTGTTTCTTCACAGATTCACGAGCCTGCTCAGTTCATATTTCTATCGTCGAACATCCTGCTGCTTGCCTGCATACCGTTCCGTCTGATGCAGCAGACGATGCTGGAGGAAGCTCTGCTCATTTTCCTGCTGCCAGGTGTTTGGTTCCTACTCATGTTTTTTGCGGGGTAAGTATAGAATAAAGAATAGAATAAAGATAATACATTCTGTGACAGAAATAAATCCTAATTAATGCTACCTATTGTGTTTATTATTATAGTAAAATTATATTTGTATTGAAACATTTAAATAACTAAAAAACTTAAAACTACTACCTCTTATTACCAACTTTGGCCTCAAAGCTTATGTCGATAAGCTCTTAGGAGTCTCAGGCCCACTGGGACCAAAGTTCTTAAATCAAAAAGAACTTTAAGTAAGTTAACTTTATTTAAAAATGTTAGTGCAATTGGCCCTTAGTCTAATTACGATATTTCTTGATCCATAGGGCGGTGCGTCTGACGGGTCCATTCGTAACAATGATTTACAGTATGATCACTGGAGACATGTTTACTTTCGGTATTATATACTGCATCATTCTGTTCGGCTTCTCGCAGTCCTTCTACTTTTTGTACAAAGGTAACTATTAAGAACTATTTCTATGTCCAACAAGCGTTGGCGACTTTGAAGACAGCAATAGGCACTCATTGATATTTTGTCAGAGACAGTAATATAAATATCTAATATACATTTCAAATCTGTTGCTATTAATTACAAACAAATTGCAGACGAAAACTTGGGATTTGATTACAGACTACATACCTAGACAACAATTGTCAGACGAGGATATAGTTGGTTTTAGCAAGTTAATATTTCTGCCACTCATACTTTCTCTACCTCCATAGGAATACGATATCTACCTTGTAACATATTCCAGGGTACCCCAACGTGCAGTCAACCTTGTATTCCAGCTACCCCAGTACGTGGATGGCATTATTCCAGATAACTTTGGGAGATTACAGCGTATGTATAATTTTAAAAACCAAAAAATTTAGCTAGTACTAAAACTACTAATTTATATATTCGAAGACTAGTCATGCTTGATTAAATTTTACTTCGAAATAATTTAAACGTGTGTCTTTGTTTGAGATTTGGAATGTGAAAAAACTGAAGGTGATAGGTGATGAATGAATATTTCTCACACTATATATCAGTTATAAATTTCATTTAGTTTTTTTTTATTATGATTATTTACATTACAATACAATAGATGTCACCCACAGAGCGACAGAATACTATTTCCGATATTTGTGATGTCACCATTAAAGGAATTTTGCTAGACAGTAAGTACTTTGTCTTCATTTCCTCAGGTTGCAGAGGTCAGTCGACAAAGTAATGCTGTGGCGTCACTGCGGTGTTTACAGTGGAAAGAAATTCCGACCAAACTCTCTTGCTCAATTTGTTTTCTTCTGTTGCTTTTGTTAGTGTTCCTACTTTTTCTTCTTCTTATCTTCTGTATAGCGTCCCGCTAATTGGGTTGTATGGATTGGTTGTTGATTTTTGTGCAAGTGTATTAGATTTGTCTGTTGTATTATGATCTGTGTCGTCATGTGCAATAAGAAGTTGTTCTGTCAAATTTATCACAAAATTCAATGGAATTAACAGGTTTGATCAATATTTACTTTGAACTATATTGAATATCTATTAGAAAACGTAATTGACATTTACATGTCGCAACATTCGTAGACAACTAAAGAATCATAACATCTAGTAAACAACTAGACACTGTCGCTGTAAAGATATTATTTATACACAATTCTTTCACATTCTTTATATACTTTGTTCTATGATGAATGTTCTACATCAAAACATAATAGTAATTTCATTCAAAGTCTATTGCAGTTCACTTCTGGAACTGGAAATCTTCCAGGTTCCTAATAATAATGCGTACCATATTTGCCAAATGTTTTTCATTTGATTAAACTGCAAAAACGCTTTATTGAAAACAATTATAGTCTTTTACCTGGATGATTTTCTGCGTAGTACTCGGATCTGGGAATGACCACGTACCCGAATCTGACGAAGACAGTGTTCGCTGTGTTCATGGTGTTCGTGCCAATCTTACTGCTGAACATGCTGATCGCCATGATGGGCAATACGTACGCGCACGTCATAGAACAATCGGAGAAGGAGTGGGTCAAACAGGTAACTTTGTAGATCAACAAAAGAGCAAAATTTTAGATGGATTAAGTATAGGTATGATTAAATATTTAGGGATAGAATTTAAGAATGGCTTTAGGTTGAAAAAAGTAGGAGTGTCTTTGTATGTTATAACATATAAATGCAAATCTTTTAAAGTGGATGAGTAGTCATGTGTGTTTTTATATGTATAAACTTAAAATACGTGAGAAACTGCAGCGCTAGGCACCCACAACTTGCCAGGCGGATCCTTGCCTATCCTGACCCCTACTCCGTGGAGTCCTGGAACCCTACTCATCGTCAGAAACGTCCTTCGATATACTTCAATTTGATCAGCGAAATCCGTTGTATCCGTTATGCCTTACCTTTCTTAGCCTAACAAGGTATTTTTTTCTAGTGAAAATTTCTAAAGTCTTAAATATTGTCTACTATTCCGTTCAGTGGGTCAAAACAAGACAAGTAGTAACCCCCTGGAGTGGTAGGTACGACAAAAGGAATCGCACCTCTACTTTCAAGAGCACTCGATCGAATATCAAAAAGCACTGGTTTAAATCCAGCCGGACATCTAAAGTTTTTTGCAGTAAAGTTTGTTTGAACTTACTTACTGTCCGGTTGTATTGTTGTCAGCTTTGGACTTACATACTTACGTATTGTTGTTTCGATCAGTGGGCGAAGATAGTGGTCTCCCTGGAGCGGTCAGTGGGGCAGCAGGAAGCACACCGCTACTTGCAGGAGTATTCCATCGGGTTGGGCGCGTCGGACGACCCGCGCTACGAGCAACGCGCGGTGATGGTTATCAAGAGCAAGGCGAAAACACGCGCCAAGCAGAGGAAGGGCGCGCTCACTAACTGGAAGGTGATGAACCGACTGATGGAAGGAAGATACACCTTGTTGTCTATAAACCTAAATTTACAAAAAAAAAATAAGAATAAAAAAGATATTGGAATTATGTTTATTTTTTAAGTATCTAACTGGTAAATGTTTAAAAATCTAAAGAAAATTTTGAAAGAAAAAATTCTACGCACACCAGGCAGTAGACGGCACTCGAACCCTAAAAATCACTTATAAGCCCCGAATAATAATAACTATAATTGCTTTTTCTTCTTTCAAATGTTAAATACTTGTAAATGTATTATTATTCATTTGACATTGTGGGTTACCTACAATGCGAAGAGATGGCGCTGCCTTGCAGCCTAAGAAAGGTTAGAGAAAATTCGACATGGCCATCAGGGCCGCAGTGGCATAATGGTCAGTGCATTCGCCCGGATAGCGGAGGGTGTTGGTTCAAGTCCCGTCTTTTGCCTGGTCCGCGTGGATTTTTTTCTGACATAATTTTCTTTAGATTTCGAGATATTGGAAGTATAATTTTAACAATAAAAATAATCTGTCTATTTATATACATTAGTATAAAACAGAAGTCACTCCCGCTGACTGTACGCTTAGATCTTTTGAACTTTGCATCGGATTTTATGCAGTTTTCAAAAATATTGATTCAAGAGGGATGTTTAAAAGTATGAAATACATGCCCAAAACAAAAACTGTACCTTCCCCAAAGCGAAGTGAGAGCGGCACACTATAAAAATAGAAATATTATAAAAACGAATCCTTATTCCTATGATCTCGCCGCCATAACTTCATCGACTTCAGATGCAACCATCTTTATTTTCACTTATCGTGAGATATTTACAAAGCACATAATGCTATTAAATAATTAGGTATGTTTCATGCAGCGGGTAGGTAAAGTGACAATAAGCGAGTTGCGTCGTCGCGGAGTAAGCGGGGAGGAGCTGCGCCGCCTCATGTGGGGCCGCGTCTCTATATCCACTCCTACTAAGGCACCCAGGTAAGTTTAATTTGTTTACTACTTGTCTTTGTCATTGTCAACTTTTTCTACATGGAAAAAATATTTCATACAAATCTCTCATCCCCTATAGCCGGCTCCAGGGTCTTATCTATGTCTATGCCAAAATTCAATATAATCGACTTGGGCGTTACAGCTTAACAAACCAAAATTCGTTGTTGTAACAGACTAACATAGAAGCTCACTTTCGCACAAGATGGACAGATCACCTTATAGCCTGCATATAATATTGCAAGTAATTTATTAAATGTTGGGTGATTAAATAAGAAAACAGAGGAGACACATTAACGGGTAACTAATAGAGATTGGAAGGTTCTTGAATTTCGGATTTGACGAAAGTGTTTGACACGCTAGTTTTCTTGACGATATGAAATGAAATGAAATGAAATGTCATTTATTCAGTCTAGGCTGTTACAAGCACTTGTGAAGGTCAAGAAGCTACGCCATCGGTTCGCAAAACTACGGCGGGAGACCTTGTACTGAGAAGAACCGGCAAGAAACTCAGCAAGGGCTGTTTTTTTCTCCCTGTATTATATGTTATATACAGTGTCGTCAATTTGAAAAATTACTTCAGAAATACGTCTGAAGTCACTTTCCATTACATCATCTAGAATATAAATAGTTACAATTAATTTTATAGTTAACATTTTAAGTAGTATATAGGAAGCGGCATTAGATAGGTACAATATTACTGTTATGAAAAATGAGTAATACCCATTTAATATCAAATTATAAGAAACACTATGTCCATGCATTACGATCATTTAGATAATCATCAACTTTATAATAGCCCTTATTCATAAGAGTATTTTTGATCTGAGATTTAAATTTAGTCAGTGGAAGCTCAATCAGATCTTGGGGAACTTTGTTAAACAATGCAATACTACAACCCAGAAATGAACCTCTTGATTTTTGGAGTCTGAAACATGGAACGGCAAGCTTGTTCTTAAATCTCGTGTTAAAGTTATGGGTTTGACTTTTTTTTGCAAATTCATCATAGTTTTTTCTTACATATATTAAATTTTCATAAATGTATTGCGACGCCAGTGTTAAAATATTAATTTCTTTAAATTTTTCTCTAAGGGATTCTCTTGCCTTTAAATTGTATATGGCGCGAACAGCTCTCTTTTGCAGTATGAAAATGCTTTCGATATTAGCGGCTGAGCCCCACAACAAAAGGCCATATTGCATATACTTTTGTTAAAGGGATAACACAAATATTGGTATCGATTCTGGCATGACTCTCTAAACTTAGAACTAAATTTAGCATTAGTTTTTCCATTTCATTCTGCTTGGAGAATGACAAGGATACCCTGTAGTCAAATTTAAGTTTAGGTTAAGAGAATTATTATGACAAAATCGACACAATTATCTTCCACTGTTAAACAGTTACTTACATTTAGTTTTATTTTATTAAACATAAAAAAGGGTTTTTATTAGTTTGTAAATTTTGGAATACCACAAGGTAGTGCTATAGATCTATCCTTTTACTTACAAACGACGCGTAGTGGCACCTTTTGAAAGATGATCCTTGTCTCTGATATGGTTACTTAAGCTATAATTGATAGCAAGACTTCAGACTTCAGCAAATAGATTGAACAACAATAAATAATTTTTGATGTGTAACGTATTTCCTCTCGCTTTCCTGCAATTTATGGGCGTGACTTCGTGAAATGGGACGGAAGTGTGTAACAGGAAGTCGCGAAAGCGCGCACGATTTGATATGATTTTAGAACATAATGTTCAAATGGCTTATTTATTTTGTAGTAGGTTTTATTTCTTTTTTTTCTAATATAAGGTGAGGTTTCAAATGTTACACATCATACGCGACTACTGTAAGGCTCGCTCGTTTTTTTTCTAACACACACACCAATAAGCCTAGCCCTAAAGTAAGCACTGCAAGACCTGTGTGACGGGATACTAGTGTTGCGGATAGAGAACATATATAAGTATATTTTTTTTTCATTTAGAAACACATACAAATATCCAAAAAGATTTGGGTACAAATGCTCGTATTTATCACATAAACCTTTGCGTCCGCGTCACCGGGGATCGAGCCCGGGACCTCCGAGTAAGCGACACTTTGAATACCGGCGAACAAAGGTACCACGGAGCCACGGAGGTCGTCATAAGAAAGTCTCGTTGTTGATAAAATGTAAAGTGTCCGTGATGCTAGAGTACTCACGATCAAATACTTTTACTGTTAGAGGCACTATTTGACACACTATTTATAGCATTGATAACGAGAAAAGTTCATTTTCTATGAAAACTATTATGGGTACGCCAGGTTGACGCGCCAGCTAAGAATGTTTAGTTCAATATCTTTGGTCCTTTAAGAGTATTGATTATGAAATTTTGTAAAGCCAGGGCACTATTTGCGAACTATTTTTGTGTGTCAATCTAGTTGCTTAAATATATGCCGTTCTTGGGGACGGCCATGGGTACGCTATCTTGACGTCATGCTAGCGTACACAGTAAAAATGGTCCTTATAAATTCAAGAGGCACTATTTTTTTTATTTTTTACACTAATTTGGCACTATTTACGCAGTATTTAATGGCATAACGAAAAAGCGTATATTGATCGTGTGTACGCTAGCATCACGGACACAATGTTGACGTGGTATATTTGTGTCATCAGACGCGGCGCAGCGGCGGCGCCGGCTGGGGGGGTGGTAGAGGGTGGCGGCGCGGGGGAGGGGGTGGCGCCCGCGCTCTCCTCCGCGCTCAACCTCATGGCCTTCACCGACCTCGACCTCACCATCACTGGAGGTCAGGCATTGACTCGGCATAATACTCTCAAATAATCATGATACAACTCTATATTTTTGAGGAGCTCGTTGGCGCCAGTGGTTAGCGCATTTGTCCTGCGATCGTGAAAGATATGCACCTTTCGCAATGATTGGTCAGTGGATGGGTGGCCAAAAACTTATTATCTCAAGTTCCTCCGTGCTTCAAAGGCACGTTAAGCCGTTGGTCCCGGCTGCATCTGCAGTCGTTGGCACCCACCAATCCGCACTGGGCTCACTAGGTGGGTTGCGGCCCAATCTCCCTATTCCGTCCATAGGGAAGGCCTGCAGTGGGGACATTAATAGGCTGATAGTGAAGATGATACTACTCTCATTGCTCTACAATCTGTTTAATACCCACGATTTATCTCAATGTTTGTCTAGGAAGTTTGATTAAGTTACAAACTGCAGATTTACCTAAGGAATTGCTTTCCGGCAGAAAGACGACTCCACTATACAACTATACTAACATAATGCTCGACAGTATTCATTAAACTCGAGGAGCTCGATGGCGCAGGTGGTTAGCGCGTTTGGCTGCGATCGTTGAAGTTAAGCAACTTTCGCAATGGACCGACCATTGGATGGGTGACCAAAAACATCTATCTCGAGTTCCTCCGTGCTTCGGAAGGCAGCTGTTGGTCCCGACTGCATCTGCAGTCGTTAGCACCCGCCAATCCGCACTGGGCCCGCGTGGTGGGTCATGGCAAAATCTCTCTATTCCATCCATAGGGAAGGCCTGTGCCCCAGCAGTGGGGACATTAATTGGCTGATGATGATGATTCACTAAACTAAACATTGAGTCGTGGGGTCGCCGCACACGGGCCACTGGCCACAACCACAAAACGCCGCCACCGGCATATTTCCTACAGTTTTCATACATTTTATATATACTCGCCGCACACGGTTAACGCCGGTGGCCGCCACACGCCACAAATCGTCGTTGCTCGCTTCTTGTGGCTCGCACCAGCCACGAATGCGCCGATACAAAACGCCGCCACACGCCACTCGCGCAATTCCCCACCTTCAAACCTTCTTCGTCAGAGTCTATTATGATACTGCACGCTTGTGTTAAAAAAAGTAGCAGCCACCGACGCTAAGTGTCGACCACCGGCCACAAGTGGCTGTCGCGCGCTTCAGCTCCCTTTGTAGCCGCTTCTAGCTTCTCCTGGCGGCGTTTGTGGCTGTGGCGTGTGGCCCGTGTGCGGCGACACTTATATAGAACATTTTGCATTACTCTTAAACCTAACCAAGAGAAGCAAAGACCTAGGCTTCCTTATTTTTATTACATAATTTACCTACTTATTTAATGCCTACCGTTTGTCTTTCAACATGCATTACCTTGCTGTCAAAGCATAATGACCTAATTTCTAATAGAAGCATTTATAATGCGATTCAACTAAGAATAGGACCGACTGGGCGCCATATTTTGACGCCATAGCTGTCAATTCAAACCAAATAGGTAGAGTGAGCAAAAAAATGTTGCTATTTAATAAAACTTATTTACTAAGATTAAATGAGACAAAACATAAGATTTTTTAAGAAAATTAATTTACTAAGGTTGGACAAGAACGCAACCGTTTTTTAATAGTATTTCTTTATTAAGACTGTGTGAAAATAAAACATTATCAGAATCTAGCTCTTCAATTTCGCTCATCTCTGCATTACCGTCGGAGAAGTTATGAATAATCATGCAGGTCACATACGAACATGCATCCTATATGTAAACGAATTTTAAATCGAGTTTCTGAACGCATCATAAAGTGACATTTGGTTGACGATTTAGGTTATCAACCATTCATAGCCAAAGCTCAATAAATGAAAAAAAATACAACTAATATTAATTATCAACATTTGTTATTGTTTGTTTAAAAATGATTGTTTTTTATTCTAGAATCAGCTGAGTGCTAAAAAAATGTTCCGAGTTTTTTTTGCAAACCGTACTTTTTAAGCGACATTTGACAGATGGAGGTCATTGGCTTTCCTATTCTTATTTGAATCGCATTATATTCTTGCATAGAAATACAGCCAATAAAGTATTTTTTATTACCTATATTTCCTTCTTCTCACACTAAAAAGTTTCTATTTTTCTCAGACACGGCACAATTAAAACAACCAACACCAGATCTTCTAGTCAATGGAAAAGGTCCACAGGCATTCGCACCCGGTTTAACTCAGAATCCAGTCGTATCGTCACCAAACCCAGTACCAGTTCCCTCAACCTTGTCGCCATCGATACCACAGGTGCCTGGTGTGACGAAGACAACACTAGAGACAAGGACGGGGATAACAGGGGCATCTACATTAATACAAACAGGCCAAAAACCTGCTCAAATGGGGCAAATGCAAGGACAAATTCAGGGACAAATTGCTCAAGCACAGGTGCCAACGGGGCTTGCACAAACCCCATCTGGACATTTCCAGGTGGGACCTAGCAAGACGGGAGTCGAAGCAAAACCACTAAATGCAATAAATATGCCTAGACAGAAAACTGTGACAGCGGCATCGAAGACTACAGTAGCAACAGGAGATGGGTCGCTGACACCTAGTCTCTCATCAGCGGGGCCAGCACCAAGTAAGAATTGTCTTGTTCAATGAGTTTCTGCTTACTTGTTTATACTTTTAGCATATCTAACATCAGATTTCTAATTCTCATTCCTCATCTGTGTGTGTACTTAATTAAAGAGAAAACTGCATATCCATTGATGCTTTCCAGAACAAGTGTCTTAGTAGCGTTATAATAAAACAGTAGTGGACCACTAAATAACTCGGTCCATCTCCCAAAAGCAATTAGCGATGATGCCCACAGGTCAGTGGTAGAATAATTGCAAGGGCGGATCCAGGGCGGGGGTCTTGGGAGTCGTTTAACCCCCCCCCCCCCCCCCCTGGGCTGGGTCCATCTGTACCCACAATCTGTACTTCACAGTCTGTACCCACTGTGACTTGACCACGACTATATAAAAAAAGGTCCATAAACCAATAAATAATGTGTGTAACTTAAATCTCGTTTTGTCCTTTATTCTCAGTCGCAAAATGAATTCTTATTTAACAAAAAACCAGTCGCCCCGGCGGGGATTGCCACTGGAGGCAAATGGGAATAAAAAACTGAAGTGGGAGCAATGACTTCGTTCCCATTTGCCTCCGGTGGCAATCCCCTCGGGGGCGACTGGGAATAAAGTGGTTTTGTTAAATCAGAATTGATATTCCATAAGATCCGCCTGTACCGGAGGAGGTATACCAAGACTATTTGTTCGAGTTGATATCCGTCGCGGAGACCGCGGGCGCCGATGACACTCGTGTGAGACAACTGGCGACACTCGCGGCTGACCTGGGACATGTGCCCGTCATAGACCTCAGCATCAGCGTAAGTCAACACATCATCATTATCAGCCTATTAATGTCCCCACTGCTCGGGAACAGGCCTTTCCTATGAATGGATCAGGGAGATTGGGTCAAGATCCACTACAGAGGCCCAGTGCGGATGGGTAGGTGCTAAAGACTGCAGATACAGCTGGGACCAACAGCCTAACGTGCCGTCCGAGAGAAAGATAGTAAATGTTTGGTCACCCATCCAATGACCGACCACTGCGAAAGTTGTTCAACTTCAACGATCGCTCGATGTTATCCTCATAAAGTTGTTAGATGTAGCGTCGTTCTATTTTCCAACTATTACTACAAACTTCTATTGTTATCTATGCCATGAACCAATAATTTAGCATTTTCGGAGCAATACGGCCCGAAACCTTCAAAAAATAGAGCGTACTCCTTCCTTTAAGGCCGGCATCGTATTTGTGGTACTCGTGTTGCAGGTGTCTATAGGCGACGCGACGGTGCCTTACCCCTAGCTGTCAGCACGTATGCCCCTATAATATTAAAAAAATATATCATGTCTTTCTAATTGCATTTATAAAAACGTAGTGTTGCTATTTTTGATCAGACGGCGGCTAAGTCAGCACGCAAGGTAGTAGCAGGCGCGGTGTCGGGCCTATTCGGCGTCGCGGCCGACGCGCCCTCCGCCGACGCCGGGTGGCGCCGACAGCGGCACGAGCACAGCGACAGCGACCCCGCGCCCGGTGAGTACCTCCCTCATAGCACGCGAGGTGGGAGCGGGCGCGGGGTCGGGGCTGCTCGGGTGGCGCCGACAGCGGCACGAGCACAGCGACAGCGACCCCGCGCCCGGTGAGTACCTCCCTCATAGCACGCGAGGTGGGAGCGGGCGCGGGGTCGGGGCTGCTCGGGTGGCGCCGACAGCGGCACGAGCACAGCGACAGCGACCCCGCGCCCGGTGAGTACCTCCCTCATAGCACGCGAGGTGGGAGCGGGCGCGGGGTCGGGGCTGCTCGGGTGGCGCCGACAGCGGCACGAGCACAGCGACAGCGACCCCGCGCCCGGTGAGTACCTCCCTCATAGCACGCGAGGTGGGAGCGGGCGCGGGGTCGGGGCTGCTCGGGTGGCGCCGACAGCGGCACGAGCACAGCGACAGCGACCCCGCGCCCGGTGAGTACCTCCTTCATACTTTATCATCAGCCTATAAATGTACTGCTGTTGCACGTGTCTTCACATAGGAAGAGGGTAGTTTATGTCTTACAAGCCAGGTCATAATAAATAAATAAATATTTTCAGCACTCACATCAATTAGGATAGTCCCAAAGTAAGCACTGTAGGCTTGTGTTATGGGATATTAGGGTAACGGATAGAATGCTTATACTGATAATTATATATAAGTATATTTATATAGAAATACATATTAAACATCCATGACTGGAGTTCAAATGATCGTATTCATCACACAAACATCTACCCCCACCGGGATTCGAACTCGGGCGGGACCTCTCGAGTTGGTGACACCTTGAAATCCGGCCACGGGGGTCTTCAAACTATATGCATATCAAATTTCATCCGAATCTGTTTCGTAGTTTTTGTGTGATTGAAGGAACATAGAAACTTTGATATTTATAATCAACGATACTAAATACCCTAGATACACCAACACGAACAAAATCGTGCCCGAAACCTGTCCAAAAGGTACATTGAACGATCCACGGAGCTCCGTAAGATGATCACGTAGTCAAAATCAATAAAGGCATTATTTAAATATTGAAAGTAACCTTTAATACGTACTGTATAAGGTCTCAAGGACTTCTGACAGTTCGAAATGCAAGCTCGTCGTATTTACGGCTTATTGCTATATGTGGAATTATTTGGACCTTAGTTCTTTGACTCTACGCGCAATTCTGAACGCGCTGTTAGCAATATAGCAGGCACGGACCGCGAGGAAAAGAGACGGCTATATGGCGACGTATAACCGACCATGCATTTGAATAGGTATCACAAATATTTTATATTAAATCAGTTTATACATAGTAAGTATTAGATCAAATTTTGTTTCAAATGCGTTAAATTAACGAGCATTGACCATGATGATGATGAGATACATGTTCTGACGATGCAGACCTGAAAAGGCTGCGAAACGTCAATAAATAAATAAAGTTTCGTGCATTAACCCGTAAAAACTAGTTTTATTTAATGAGTGATGTGCGTGAAAACCTAAGAAACAAATATGAGATACATGTCGAAAAAACGACACTTTTCGTACTCTAAGTACTATTTTCGCGGAGCTCTGTGGCATCTTGACTTTGTAACGGTCCGCGCGTGACTGTGAAGCACTTCTTGATTGGGACACATTTTGAGCGTTCGTGGTGTATCTAGGGTATTTAATATCGTTGTTTATAATGAATGTTATAAGTAGGATGGTTTGCCCAGAATCGGTCCTGCTGGGGCGCGCGTCCCGCAGCCGGCGCGCGCGCTCCGCCGCCCGTCGCGCCGCGCCGCCCCCGCCACACCTCTACGTGCCCGCCAGGTCTACTACTCATTCCTTTATCTATACAAGTCGCCACCCGTACTTTATTATAAAATACTGTACGTTATTTCGGGGAATTGTACTCTATACTTTATGCCAACAATAAAGTACGCGAAAATACTTTATTTAATGTGATTTGATAACCTACTTGGGGATTAATTTTACATAAAACATACAAAAAGAGGATAAGAAGAATTTTTGCGTAAAACGGAACAACAGTATGTATAAGTCACCCTTAGCTCATTCCTGCAACATTGTAGCGGCTATATGGATTTGTGCAATGGCCTTTCCCATTGCGGATAAGAACTAGAGATTTTTAGTAGCCACAAATTATTCATTAAAAGTTGCTATACGCAACGTAAAATATATTTTTAAGCTTACTAATAAAGTGGAATAAAAAGTAGGTACTTTATTTTGGACACAATGTACTTTTTTTCTACCTTTAATCTCCAATGTACTTTATTTGGACATAGACAAGGTGGCAACCCTAGTCGCGGCACGCAACTTTAGCGCTGAACAAAACGCCAGTGTTACCAACCCTTACCAAACTTTTCCCCTAAATCTTTTTTAAATTCCCCTAAAATCCCCTAAATATACATTTTTTAAATACCTACTTATTACCCAAATACTTTCGTTGCTCATAAATAAAAACGTTACATATTTAGTTACAGTAAATTATTTTATTGAATAAATACAGTTTCCAAAAGCACAATCAAACGAAAATGAGCTAACAGGCTGTTAAATCTTATTTACCTGTTTTTGTAACTTTAGTCCATACAGCCTTAGAAAACAACCCGCCACACAGTCAGATCAGTCGTTTCATATCGAGGTGCGTTCCATTCTACGCACAAAACTGAAAGAAAACACGCTTAAAAGAACCCCCAAAAAATTCCAGCCCCTAAAAAAAGTCCGTTTTAACACTTCTAGCCCCTAAATCTGGGGGCAAAACCCCTAAGTTGGTAACCGTGCAAAACGCATCCGGGATAGCTGCGCATGGGTACGACTGGAGAGACAATCGGCGCAGGGCATGACCACCCGCGCACCTCGTTTCCCCTCAAGACATCATAATTTTTACTTCTGCGCAATAACGGTCAGCGCTAGAGTTTCATGCCGCGACTTATGCTTATAGTCTCTTTTTAAGTACACAGGCTATACTCTCGAAATAGAAATTTTGTACTAAACTTTCAAAGAACGCTGATAAAGTTGTCTGTTTCGTTTCTTATTTTAAAACTCTAACTTCTATCATCATCATCAACCGATGGACTTCCACTCCTTTCCAGGGAAATACCTTGAGGAAGCCTATGTTCTTGAAAAGCACCTTGAGACCCCAACATCCATCGGTTTATCATTATCTTTCATTATTATCACGTTAATAATAAATAAGCCTTCTAAGGTCGCGTATTCATCAGGCAACATTTGTGTATAAATAGTGTTTCACGATGTTGCATAATCTCTGTATACAGTTTATAAACATAAGATAAAACATAGTTTCAGATACATGTTGCCGTGTTCCCCACTTGGAATGAAGATCAAGACTAAGTCTATAAACAAAAGTTGACAGGTGTAGACATGTGTTTCGGGATGTTTATACTTTATTTGTCCAACGACCACATTTCTCCTCATACAGCTTTTTGGTTACGCACTCGTAATGTCATGAATTACTACGCTGAGCAACACTACCTCATCGGGCGACATCCTAGCAACAACTGAGAAATGTGGACGGCCGTCAGCCATGTTTCAGAAACAGTGTTTACGGTAAACTATTTTTAAACAAGGGGATGAACTTCATTAATTGTTTATCTACAAATGTTGCCCAATGAATATGCGGTATTTCGGATGTTAAAAAAAGCCTATACAAATCTAAAGAAAAGTTTACTAGAAAAAAAATCCACGCGGACCAGGCAGCGGACGGGACTCGAACCGGCACCCTTCGCAATCCGGGCGAATGCACTGACCATTGTGCTACCACGGCCCTATTAGCCGCGTCGAAATTTTTTCCTAGCCTTAAGCTGCAAGGCAGCGCCATCTCTTCGCATTGTAGGTAACCCACAATATCAAATGAATACTTTTTCAAGTATTAAAAATTTGAAAGAAGAAATAGCAATTATAGTTATGTTTTTATTTATTTTTAAGCATTTAACTGCTTGATGTTTAAATCTAAAGAAAAGTTTACTAGAAAAAACTAAACTTTTCTTTAGATTTAAACATCTAGCAGTTAAATGCTTAAAAATAAATAAAAACATAAGCCTATACAACTTTAAAATCATTTCAGAAACAATGTTAAGTTTAACTGGACGGTTGCCGCCCTAGGAAAAATATAGCCAGTAACAAAGATTTCGAGACGCGGAGATGCTGCTGTAGATTAGATACCTAATGAATTTTTGATAACTTTCTTAACTGAAATATCACGGTTTTAAGAGGCATACATATGACATCTCGACTGTGATTTTTGCGCAAATTGGCATTCTTGATCTTAGAAACAAATATACATTAACAATTTTGACCTATTGAATAGTGCAGAATAACTATTGGCCTAGTTCGTAGCGGCCTCGCTTTTTGTAAATTTTGCTTAACTTTTTAATTAAACCCAAAATTGCAGAGAAAGATTTTCATAATTTGCGCGAAGGCACTTTTTTGAGCTCCTGGATTGAACTACTGTTCTCATATGACTGTTCTAAGCAAATTAATTAAGAAAATGAGAATGTTATCTCCTATATAGGCGATAAGTTCGTAGCGGCCTTAGAATTTTGAAATATCTTGTCTTGGCTACATTAAAAGAGACCATACTTATTCGATAAACCCCACTATGAGCACCGTTTTAAAATTTTCTCATTTATTATATTATACAGGTCCATGTATTTGGTTGCATCGGAGAGCAGTGCCTTGGAAAGTGACGCCCCGAACGAAGAACGACCCAGCTCTGGCAACAGTTCGTAAGTACTTAGCTTATATGTATATATTTATATTGAATGTGATCTTCTCAGTATTAAGAACTGGCTGGTGACTGCAACTTTCATCCCCATATTTCACTTTACCCCCAGCAAGTTTTATTTTAGCGACAATCAGTTGTCTATGTCTGAATGCAAAGATCTCTATAACTTTTTACTAACATTCATCAAATTAGGTCTGTTCATTAGTTTTGACCTGAAATTGAATATGATATTCAACAGACATACAGACTGGTAGAGTAAATTTCACATAATTATATAACGTAAGTATATGTGGATACCATAGTCAAATGCAGATAAATCTGGAGCCTTTAATAATTTATTGCATTCGGACAACAGCCAACATGTAAATGAAAATATTTTATTTAAAAAAATATTATGTATAAACGGTTTATATATATCTAATATATAAAATTCTCGTGTCGCGGTGTTTGTGGTTAAACTCCTCCGAAACGGCTTTCCCGATTCTCATGAAATTTTGTGTGCATATTGGGTAGGTCTGAGAATCGGACATCTATTTTTCATCCCCCCTAAATGTTAAGGGTAATCCACCCCTAATTTTTTTTTTCAATTTCAGATATATATTTTTTTTATGATACATCATACAAAAATACACCCTAAATTTTTACCCTTCTACCACCAACCCCTATTTTTTGTGGCGGTACGAAGTTCGCTGGGTCAGCTAGTATATCTTTATATATATAATTCTTCTGTGAGTGTGTATGTCACTGAATTTCTCTTAAACGACTGGACCGATTTTGATGAAATTTTTTGTGTGTGTTCAAGGGGATCTGAGAATGGTTTAGATTCACAATTTTGTCCGCTGGACAATGTTTTTTTACAGGACAACGTCTGTCGGGTCCGCTAGTATATATATATATATATTAATTATTAAGTATAATGGCAAAGCCACATGCGATTCTGACTTTCAGATTGTACTTACCTACTTAGTTGTTAAATTAATAACTAATAACAAAAAGACATGAAATCAGCATACTTAATTTTAATCTTTAAAACTACCTATCTATAAACTTTAAACCATTCAATTAGTGATAATATAATTATGGTCAGACCGTCACGTCTGCTCAACTTCTGCCAAATCCGTGTTAGCGGTCAAATTGCTCTTCAGTCCATGGTACAACACTTTATTTATCAAGAGTTCGGCCTGGCACCGCTGCTCGCTGTTCATTCTTTTCAGTTTGCACACAACATTAGCGGCGACGGCCTTCAGTTCCATATCACTTATGTCATCTATGTTAATGTATTCTTTGTGTTCCCTCTTCGGCTTCTTGTGTTTCGGTGGGTCGTTCATAGGCGTGGAATAGCGTTTTTGATAAGTTATTGATTCTTCTTTAGAGGATAAATTGTCTTCTTCCAGAACGTCGCAGGTTTCATCTAACTAAAAAAGGAATTCGTTTGATAATAATAGGAAGAACACATCCTTATGGTCAGTTAACACCAAGAGGCGTCACAAAGCCTATCCTGGTGTCTATTTTGTCAGTGCCATGTATAATGAATGATAGATCCGAGTTGCCATTTACTGCCTGGGTTAGCATATGCCAATGCCATATTGACTCTAAATGCTATTTTACTTTTAATGTACATAAAAAAGAATATGCATAATTTATTACATGTTGGTAGAGGTTTTGGTTTAATGAAGTGGGTTTTAATTTTTTTGTTTACGAGTTTTTATTTTTCACTTTTTATAAGCCAGAGCAACATCTGATCAACTTACTGAATAATGATGTCGAACCTGCGATCTCTCTTTCATATTTCGTAAAATAACCAAACACGACATGTATACTGTTCGTATTTAAGGAGTTCCGTTATTTATCTCCGAAAGTATTTATCAGATCCAATTAATATGGGACCATCTCGATGGCAAACTCTTCCAAGCAAAAAAGAGTCATCAAAATCGGTTGGCGAGATATTGAGTTATAGTCGTCCATTTGTCGCGCACATCTTCATCATCATCATCATCAGACACAGGCCTTCCCTATGGATGGAATAGGGAGATTGGGCCATGACACATCACGCGGGCTCAGTGCGGATTGGTGGGTGCTAACGACTGCAGATGCAGCCGGGACCAACAGCTAAACGTGCCTTCCAAAGTATGGAGGAGCTCAAGATACTAAATTTTTGGTCACCCATCCAATGACCGACCACTGCGAAAGTTGCTTTACTTCAACGATCGCAGCCGAACTCGCTAACCACTTGCGCCATTGAACACCTCTGTGTCTGTCACGTACATACTTAATGTAAATTTAATATTTAAATGGTTTTTTCATGGATGCCATTGACAGAACTGAACCAAATTGAAATGGGACCACACAGAAAGTACAAGCATTTAATTAAAAAAATATGGGTACGTGTACTTAAGTACGCGCGTGAGAAGTTATACTTCTTTTTGGAATTATTAAAAAATAGTTTTTAATTGCACGCAGATAATTAATTACAATAAGATAATAAAAGGATTGGAAAAGGATAGTCAACGCAGTCAATAAAGTTCAGTTTTAATTTGAAGATTTAATAAATAATCAAAATATTCAATTTAAATCACTACTGAATAAAATTTATTAGCACATATAAATTTTGCATTTGTATAACATTATAACACGTATAACACGTGTTAATAATATAGAAACTAGAAACATGTGGATAAATATTATAAATATGAAAACAGTGATCAGAGGCGACGAGCGTCCCAACATGTGCGACTAAGAGATCCTATTACTATTTTGTTGGAAGCTTTTTTTCGAGACTTACGAGTAATGTGCGGTTTAGCGGCCGACTTCATGATGTTACTTTTCTGTTACAGTGTTGCGCGCGCATCTTAAAATTTCACTCTCATCATTTTCTCATAACGCGCCCGCGGCTAACTTCATTATGTTACTTTTGTGTTACAGTGATGCGCGCGCATCTTAAAATTTCACTCTCATAATTTTTTCATAACGCGGCTAAAGAAGTATAACTTCAAAAAGAAATATCAAAATCTCTGAGGTAACAAACATAAATAAAAGAAGTCGGATCGGAATCGGAATTGAGAACCTCCTCCATTTTGAAGTTGGTTGAAAAGTAGGTACAAATAATGGTATTGAATCACGCAGAAACGGTTGAGTAGTTATTAACTGGATCGAGACATAACATGGTAGGAATTTTTTTATCCTAGTTTAATTTCTAGTTCCTGTGTGGGATTCTCAAAAACTTATTTTACTGCGGAGTCGCGGGGCGGCACCTAGTTGGTCATTATTTGAACACACGATCCCTTGAACCCGTTACGCATAAATTATGTGACTTGGCAACACCAAATCAAAAGGTCATGCATGTTTGATTTAGGGCCTAGAATTTCGCTAAGTAGGTACAATTTTACTAGTTTGAATGTGATAAATATTGACAAATTGTAAATTACACAATAAGAAACTAAGTAATCGAATCCATACCCCTCCCCTTTGTAACTTTTTGCGAACCCTTTTTTTTAGATATGTAAATACCTACTTCAATGAGGATCCGTAAAGATTTTAGTTGAGAATTCAAATTTATAGAGCTAAGGATTCCATAAAATGCAGTGGTTAAATTTTTGTTCTTTGGAACCGATTTCGATGAATTAAAAACGCATTAATCATAATACTGTTGATTTTGAATTGATTAGTTGACCTAGTAGTGATGATCCTCATTCACCGACTAGATCTTTTAAAGTCTCAATGAAAGTTCCTTGATAGGTAGGTACGTCCGTGTATGAATGAAGGCTGTATGTATGTATGTACATACTTTTTACCGACGAACACAGACTGACTGACATTTCTCAAAACAAACATAAAACGGCGGGACATAACATATGTCATTTTGACAATAGTACCAACATAATCAACATATTTTTTACCATAGACAACGAGAAACATGTTATTTCTGCATGAAAAAATGGCAGCACTGATCAAAATGGCTGTCAAAATTGACTAACCTACAAAAATATTAATTTTCAATTTTTTTTTTCTTGAGTTCTATTCGTTTCCGAATAAAAAGATTTCGTGTGTGTGTTCCTAATAATTAATACTTTCCGTGACAAAAATCTTAGCTCGCTACTCAACCACAACTAATGGAAAGCTGAGCCGGTAGGTATGATAAAATCATAAAATGCAAGCCCAACCAAATTACTTTACTTACATTGTCAAAGTCTACTTCTTCTTCGTAGGCAACTTCTTCTTGTTTTACATTCTCTAGTTCGACCTCACCACCCAAAAAACGTAATGCATAAAATTTCCAATTTGATGGCACAAAAGCATAGTATTCTTCGCCGTTAGAACCTATTCGTTTTGACGCCAAATGCTTTTTTAATTCTTTTCTATAGTTAGACCTCAAGCAGTTAATTTTTTTTCTTACATGGTACATTGTCATTTCAGGATCATATTTTTTTATTATTGCCAACATTTGTTCAAGCCCTTCATATCTGACATATTTATTGTTGTAATCGCGATGATTAACATCCCACAAGGCGGGTAATGATTCGTATTTGTTTATAAATGCAGTGTCAACAGCCTTTAATTCCTTAATTTTTGATAGAGATAAGACGGAGTTTGCATTATTATGTCCATCTGCGGTCAATTTGAGAGTGATTACATTATCGCTCTCGTCATTCGTCAGCGGGTCCGTCATTATTGAAAACACGGAATGACGTTTATTGAAAACACAGTTTTGAGAGCAACACAAAATTGAAGAACACTCAATAATCTAAAAATAGACTGACGCCATATTGATGGTGACGGGGCGGAACTGCGCTGCGTGCCATGCCAGTGTTGCCACCTTGCAGGAAAATATTCCACTAGTTTGAGTCTACTTAGATATCATAGGTATTTAACAAAAAAAAAACACGTAGAATTTATTAAAAAAAATCAAAATGGATAGGAACAATAGTATTTTAATTGTGATAATAATTAAATGGAAAAAACCAACATTTATGTATCAATACAGAATATGTTATAATAACATATAAAAAAAAAACAGCATCAAAGACTTCTGCCCCCCCCCCCCCCCCCCCCTGCAAGTAACAAATGCCTACAAATGGCTTCTGCTTCCCTTCCCAGTTTGCCACCACGGGCCATGGCCTTTACGTCTTCGTCTATATTTAGAAAACAGTCGATTACCAAGTTATTTACTAAAATTCAAACAATTATCACCTCATACAAACTTTACTTTGTCGAAAAATCCCCTCTAGCCACGTCCAATTACGTGTTTGTTGTATGAGAAAAGGATAGTGCTATGTACATACAAAGTCAGAATCCTCCGAATGAGGGTTGCCATTATATATAGGCATTTTTCAAATTCTGCAAGATTTCACAAAAATAAAAAACGAGCGAGCCTTACAGTTGTCGCGTATGATGTGTAACATTTGAAACCTTACCTTATGTTAGTAAAAAAAGAAATAAAACCTACTACAAAAGGAATCAGCCATTTGAACATTATATTCTAAAATCAAATCAAATAGCGCGCGCTTTCGCGACTTCCTGTCACACACTTCCATCCCATTTCACGAAGTCACGCCCACAAATTGCAGGAAAACGAGAGGAAAGATGAGGACACATCAATAAATATTATATTTTAGTGACTTTTTTGAAAATCACCGTCGTACTACAAAACCTCCAAATATAGTGGAAAGATTACTAAAGTGGTACACTGTGCCGTACTCTGTTGACTGACATTGACACAGCATACGTTGCCAGCTATAGTACAATGTTGCTATTACAAAATACAAAAAATGTCAATAATCAAGAATATACTTCTCAATTAAAATAATACTCAAGTAATCCAACAGCATATACTTTCCTTTCAAGTGTCCTAAATATTGTTGATGTGGTTACCGTACACGTAATCATAACTGAGATTTAAATAAAGCAGGATATTTCTTAAAATATTATGTTAAGCAATATTTTAATACAAAATTAAACTAAAAATTATCTGCTTAAAAATGCATCAATAATTTCCATTTTATAATGAGTTCGACCGAGATATTTATCATGCATAAGTTTTTGAGCGTTCCGACCGAGGGCCCATTTACTAGTGCTTATTTATTTTGTACTGGTAGAACTTATTATCTTCGTACTCACAGTGTAAAATTTTGACAACTTCTGCTAAATTTTAAAGCTTACCAAATAAAAATTACCTAGCTTTAACTACTGTAACATTAGAGTAAACTTTCAACAAACTCAGGGCCCATTTACTAATTGGATTTTCTTTACTTGTAGAGCTAGAAATATTTGCTTTTTTCCCTTTCCAATGTTAATATTTGTAAAGGTATTAAGTTGTCATTGTGGGTTCCCTACAATGCGAAGAGGTGGCGCTGCCTTATTGCCTAAGAAACACTAGAGCAAACTTAGTTAGGGCCACGGTAACATAATGGTCAGTGCGTCCGCCCAAATAGCCGAGGGTGCGGGTTCGAGTCGTCAGCTGCCTGGTCCGCGTGGATTTTTTCTCTAGTAATATTTTTCTTTACACTATGAATTAGTTAGTTGCTTTTACGTTACTGATTTTGAAGTGAAACTTCTTTATCGGCGTTGGAAAAAAATTTACCGTCACATTTTTATTCGGTTACGCGTCATGTTTTTTGGTTACGCGCCATCTTTTTTTTAAAAGAGCACTATGTAACTCATCCGAACAATTGCTTCTTCTGTCAACTTTAAAAAAAAAGTATCGACAGCAAATATTCGTGTTTCACACAAGGTAAGGTAAGGTGTAGTTATACCCCTTTAGTGGGTGAGTTTTTGAAAAATCTTAGCGCACGCCTATATATATATTTCTGGAAAGTTGCATGTAGATCATTTTTCGAAAAAAATAAGGCCATAAAGAAGTTTCACTTCTTACGTGTGTACACTAGTACACGCACACATTTTTTTTTAAGTTAGGGAACAATATTTTTAAATACCTACATTTCTTTACAGGGCAATTGGACGAAGACACGAGGAGGACCGTTTAAAGGCAGCGAGACCCCTTTGCATACAACAAGCTACAGGGTATCCTCACACAGAAGAACACTCTTTGTATGTAGTTGGTAAGTAGCAACGAAGAACGTCACGTCAATTATGTTGCTTATCATTCAGTTATTGACTAAGCAGGACCAGCAGACATACATACACCTAAGCATTTAAGGGCAATTTTGATGCCCTAATTGTGTGTGGACCACCGATGTATGATAACTGGGAATATTTTTTAGCAGTCCGTGATATCACCGCGTTATACAGTTTCCATGCCAGTAAGTTTATTTTGTACTCACATGGTACCACGAACAAAGTTGGTACAATATTCTAATGCAATGTATAGTGATGAAGTTAGGCCTTTTTATATAATTAAGTTAGAATTTTACTACTTTGAGGAATTCCTGAATTCATTAAAAGATTAAACCAACAGAATATTCTTAGCTCTTAGACGATTTGCCTGTCATGTACTTTCTGTAACTTGCTGACCACTGATCCTAAATAAATTAAAGACTGAATTAGAGATTTGAGAACTGAATGTTCGCGGGACGATCGCTATGCTGTCGGCATAACTTTTTATCCAAAATATACCCGAAAATACTAACCTCCGCCAATATACCTTCAAAAACAAATACCTATTAAATCTGGTCACACTGCACTTCACTAATCATGTTTGTTTTTGTCATTTTGACAGCAGGTTGTGCTTTTTTTTCTCTTTTTTGTGGAGGTTGTCCTTATCACACTCTATAGAGAATGAAAGGGAGAGACTGTTGTTATCTCTGCAAATACCAAGAATACCAAACACGAACAGTCAAGTGCATAAGAGATTTAAGGCGATGGCTCTACCAGCTACATTGGCATGACCTTCTTTTACTACGGCGGGATTAACTTCTAATATGTTTGCCTTATCAGTTGCTGCTAATTTTCATGATACAATATTCAGGTAGAGGTAGCGGGGCCGATGTGGAAAGTGCTCCGCCTGATTCAGCCCCACCACCTAAACACGAAAAGAGAGCTCGTCCAAAGACTGCTCGGCCACGACGAAATAGGTGAGTGATATTAGGTTGTAACTTTTTATAGACCAGGTATGAATGTAGCCCTATGGGAGAGGGTAGTTCGCCAACTAGCATGTTTCGCGCCCCTTGCCGCCACCCGTAAGTTCTTCAATTGGCTATCCCGTGACCCACTGGTGGACACCAATTTAATAAAAAAACAGATGTGTGCAATGCAAGAATACAAAAATCCATGGCATCGAGTTGAACAATTTTAGCATAAGTCGGGGCCGGCGTAGTACGCAGAAAGTAAGTTTATTCCCAGTTGCACCCGTGGGAATGAAATCCTATGATTATATTTTGGCCTCCGGTGGCAATCCCCCACTTCAGTTTTTTTTAATCAAATTTGCCTACGGCGGCAGTCCACACGAGGGAGACTTGAAATATACAATAAGTAGATGCTCACGGGGTTTACTTTACATTAAACTTAAAAAATCTGTGCATAGTGAAGTTAGCGCTCTTTGCTAAATCCACAACCATCCATTAAATCTGTATCGCACTGTATGAAGGAAACCACAAGTCCCTGTTACGCATTCACGGATATGTTCCAGAGTATCGCCAGTCCTGGAGGCGAGCAGTCCGCTGCAGCCGTGGGCGACCGCTCCGCTGTCGAGGCTGTCCAGAATGATCCGCTCCGAGAGCGTTTCCACAGCCTCCCTTACCTCTCAAACATCCACAGAACACTCGCCAACGAGATATTAACCTTTTTACCACAAATATCTGCCCTAAAATTCTAGTGTTGAAAAATCTCGATACGCGTCAAATGTCAAGTTTTGTATGGAAGATTTTTAATTCTCGTACCGTCCGTTGTGGCGCTGTTCAGATTTCCATACAAATGCAAAACTCCTTGACTTTTGACGTGTATCGAGATCTAATTCGATATTGGTTCGTGCCAAGGTCAGGCGACGCCTCACACGCTGCAAAAAGGAATAGATATCGAGTGAAACAATCACTTAAGTCTTAAGCCATGCGAAGACTTGCAAAACTCATACCCCCTTATTAATAAACGAAGACTAAGCTCAGATACGGAGTTTGATGGCGCGGGTCGTTAGCGCATTCGGCTGCGATCGTTGATGTTAAGCAAATTTCAGTCATTGGATGGGTGACCAATAATCTTCCATCTCGAGTTCCTCCTTCATCTTCATCCGTAGGCAAGGTAATGGGGAGGGTTAAGCTAAGAGTCTTTCAGGTTTTATTCGTCATCAGGGACGATTTAAAAGCAGCGCAGGCGGCCCAAGGGCCCTCACGACACAATTCAAAAAATAATTGCAACAGGTCACCAAACAAAGACCAGTAGGCCTATTCGCTAACTGCTTTTGACAGATGGAAGTGATAATAACCGAGCTATTTATTGCTTTATTATAACGCCACTAAAATAACTTGTTCTGAAAAGCATCGATGGAATTGCAATCTTTAGTTACACATTGTAAATGTCAAATAAGTTTGCGAATAGGCCGGTTGAGGAGGCCAGGGGGCCATTCGCCTAAAGGAAATGCTTTGGAAAACGCTAACGCTTACGATTTCATTTTGTTATTTCTAGCCGCCTGAGGTTTTCGAATGCCTCGCGCTCTTTTTTTTTCTTTTGCATTGGTAATAACAATATTTAAAAAAATGAGCGTGAGGTATCGGAAAACCTTCGGCGGTCAGAATTAAAGAAATGAAATCGAAAGCGTTAGCGTTTTCCAAAGCATTTCCCTTAGGCGTATGGCACCCTGGGGTAGAGGGCACCTCTAAATCCGGCCCTGTTCCGTTGTCATGAAATGGACGGTAGAATAATGAAAACGCTCAGCTCGTTTAAGTCTGTTCCCGAGCATTACAGTCATGCTCGAGAACAAACTTATTTATGAAGAATACCTACACACAATTAAACAGCCACGACAACGCGAATTCAAAAGCTTTATTTTAACCGTTGTGATCGAGTAACAGATGATGTTATTCTACAAGAAGAGATGCGCAAGTTTTTGAAGTTATACTTCTTTAGGCGCGTTATGAAAAAATGATGAGAGTGAAATTTTAAGATGCGCGCGCATCACTGTAACACAAAATTTTAACAGCATGAAGTTGATCGCTTTAGCGACCAACTTCATGCGTTACTTTTGTGTTTACCGCACATTAAGAAAATCTACCAAGAAAATAGAAATAGAATCTCTATTTAGTGGGTGCTAACGACTGCATTGTGAAGGCCTGACAAAAGTATTTATTAATCTGGAACAACGGAACCAAAGCGCGATTCAGGAGACTACAGCGCCATCTCTTGACCATTGGTGTAGTAGAACCAAAAACCACATCTTTATTTTTTGTAATAAAGTAACAGTTATAGGTATTCATATTTATAATACATATTTATCCACATGTTTCTAGTTTGTATATTCGGAATACGTGTTTGAGTTTCATACAAGTGCAAATCACATAATAATATGTTCTAATAAATTATATTCAGTAGCGATTTTAATTGAATATTTTGATTATTTATTTATTTTTTCAAATTAAAACTGAACTTTATTGACTGTGTCCTTTTCCAGACTTTTTATTAATTTATTGTAATTACTTATTTGCATGCAATTAAAAACTAATTTTAAACGATGCCAAAGAAGGATAACTTCTCACGCGCCTACATAAGTACACGCACCCATTTTTTATATCATCCATCACTTTATGCAAGCACCAATCATCTTATCAACATTAGATAAACTAAACGATAAATGTACAAATAATGACACTGACACCAAGAAATAAGAAAACTGACTGGAACGATACCTAAGAAAATGACGCTATACCTAATAAAAATATTCATTCTAGTAGCCATTCTTTAAATTGTATAGCAGCAATGATTTTATATAAATTTTAATTGTTTATTTTAGTAACAGGACCCAGTGCAGTCTTTAACCTATTGGAGGCCCTGGGCATATTAGGATAATGGGGCCCCTATTACTTTGATGTGGATTATGACTTGAAATGGAGCGAGTCATACTGATGAGTGTACTACTGATGATTTTTCTTTGAATGTGTATGTGCTTAGTATACCATAAAATGTATATTTAAATTCTAAGCATGATGAAGTCGAAATGCCTAATTTTTGGGCGAGAGTCGAATAGCTTCGCTTATGTAAAAGCTAGTAAGTTGGTATTGTAGTCAGTAATTTAGGTTCGGTTACATAAGTTTTTTGGTAATAAATATTGGTTATCGTTTGGTGATCTGACAGGAACTAGGAACTTTGTATTTGATCTGAGGGAGGCCCCTATCGATCGCGGGGCCCTGGGTACTTGCCCAAAGTGCCCCACTGGAAAAGAGGGGGTCTGACAGGACCATGTAGAAATAAAACAATATGGGCTAACTGCAGATGATTTATTTCACCGACGTAGGAATGTTCATCTATGAAAAAGTGGTGATTCAAATAATCAGTACTAAAAAAATGTCCAAAGTAAAAAAAATAACAGGTCAACCAAAAAATAGGTAAAGCACTAAGGTAGTATTCATCAATCATTTATGTGTAAATATTGTATCAAAACCATAAAAAAAATAATACAAATAGGTACTGAAAAATAATAAGTACATACATAGACATACATCCTAAACCCAATCATTATTACCTATCACATTAAAAATTGGTTGGTAATGACATCGTTAATATATAAAATTATTGTAAATAATTATGTTATCATGTGTTAGAATATAAACTTGTTATTATAATCAATACTCGTAATTTATTTTTTGCAAAATACACCCTCCCCTTATTTAATGTCCCACACAAGTAGTAGGTACCGAAAAAATAGCCATATTTTTTCTTTCTTTTTGCTGCCCTATCGTATGAAAATAAGCAAAATTAATTGAAAGCCTGTACTAAAAATTGTACCATTAAGATGAAAGCTATCGGTACCCTATTTCCAGTACTCTATTTCACCAAGTAGACACATGTGACAGTATGAACGCAAAATCAGTGATATCAAAGGAGAAATTTATTTATTCTTTATAAATTCTCTTGTATAATAACTCGATCTTTTCAAGCTTTCGCGGTGAGCCATTTTGTAACTAACAACAGTACGAAAACCACTACAAGTAACGCAAATCTGACACAGCCCTGATTATATGAATTACTGACAATACAACATTATTGTCGTTGAAGTATGATAACAATAACACAATAAGATACAACTGTAACAAAATGTTACAAGTCGACTTGGTAAAATAGGGCCCAGAAGGTCTATTCGCTAACTACTTTTGACAGATGAAAGTGAAAATCACTAAGCTATTTAGTGATCCACTACTGCTTCTTTATGACGCCATTAAGATACTTTTTCTGAAAAGCATCGATAGATTTGCATTTTTTCCCGTTTAGTTATAAACTGTAAATGTCAAAAAAGTTAGCGAATAGGCCGGCTGAGGGGGCCTGGTGTGGAGGACACCTCTAAATCCGGCCCTGTTGTTTGTTGGTTGGTATCTAAGATGGCCCCTCAAGTACGCCTGTTTGTAAAAGGCTACCATTGAATATTCCATTCTGAGCTTTGTTCACAGTAATATACAGTTTAGAATCGTCTTTCCATGAATAATGCAGTTCATATTCAGAGCAATTTTGATTTTTAATACTTACCAAATGTACCACCACCATCCAAACATAGTCAGCCGTCTCCAACTTTATCCGAGGGGGGTTTAAGTTACGTTTGTCTATCATTACTAGCAATTATCTCGTCTCCCACCTTTAACAGACTCACAACAATGATGCAGTGATGTAATCACAAGATGATAGATAATGAGACATAGCAACACATTCAAAGATCAAATATATCAAAAAATAGGCATCAGAAATCAGTACATGTATACAGGTACACATCTAATAGGTAAATTCCGGGTAAAATCAGATATATAAGAACATTGGACATTAATTAAGAAATAAACGTATCGTTATATAGCACGATGCGGCCTGCGATTGCGTCCAACCGCGCCATTTTGTATCTGGGGGTGACTGACTGTTCACTGTGAAAGGCACATTGTAAAAATGCAAAACATACCGTTTACAAGTCACATAAATGCATCAAGTTACTACTGATAAATCCTATAAATTAAATAAAAACCTACAGTCACAAGAAATATAAATTGGAAATAAAACATGACACCGTATACACAGCATGAAGTATCAAAATAAATAATAATTTTCTTTATTGCACACAATAAAGGACACAAGACATAAACTTATAAAATGAAGAAGAGTATACAATAGGCGACCTTATTGCTAAACAGCAATCTCTTCCAGGCAACCTATGGTAGAAAAGGAATAATAATAGAGACATATAAATCTCTTATGCGAAGATGGAAGTGGTCAATACTATACTATATAGACAAATCGTAAGCACGTGTCAAGGCTGCAGCACGGTTTAACCATAGGATTACTTACCCCGGGGACTGTGGAGAGAAATCATCATTAGAAATAAAATGAACACACAATAGTGAATCAACATACACTTTATATCTTAAAAGTTAATACAAGACGGGCTCGCCCGTGGTGCGACCTCCGGTGACGACTCGCAAGTAATTGAACAATATCCGAGGAATGCGGCTCCGCTTACATCGATCGTCCTCTTTCCGTTTTACGCTTACATAAAAAGAGTTTCGTAGATGAATCTAATTGAAAAATATACATAAATTCAACTGAGACGTTTACAACCTAGCGAGCTGAAATAGCGTCGTTCAGTTTCAATAATTTTACACCTAACCTTAACACTTAGAACATAATTAATTAAATCTCGGTACGAAACGTTCGGTTTCACGTCAGGATACACTGTTACATATTAATACTATAAAAAAAAAGCTTTTTGTTATGAAACGATACATTCCATCAGATCCGTGGTTACACATGGATAAATCATTGTCTGTGTGTGTGTGTTTGTCAAACGTTCGTACGTACAGTGCAGTTACCTCGAGTCCTCGCGGCGCGAAGTACCTCACTCATTTCGACATTGTTTCTCTACAGCTCCGTGGTACCCGGATTCTGTTATATCTTTAAAGGCAGTGTGGCATTTACTTTTAACCTGGACAGACTGACACGTCAACATTTGATACATAAAGGCGATATTACCATAACATAATACAAAAACATTTTCAATACACAAATCGGGATATCAGTAAATACAAATAGACCACAGAGCCGTGAAATTATGCGAGTAAATGTAGTTATTTCTAATTTCTAAGTAAGTGGTACCTGACTGGCGACCCACAAGAAATAACTTGCTAATACACGAAAATGGAAGAACGTACCGCATGTCGATCTATCTAATTGAATTTTATTGAAAGCTTTCATTTTACTTATCAAGTTAATTTTCTTTTACGAGATTATTTATTGTGGGTGTTGGAAAATCACGATTGCACGAATGTGTTACTTAATTACAAAGTTCTACAATCTATTGGGAAGTCGTCGCGCTCCGCACTGACTCGTCCGCGGGAATTCTGCAATCAGAACAAACGGAACATGGCAAACAGGCGGAAATATGTACGCAATTCGTTGATTTTTGTTTTGTTTGGTAATTTTTGTGATGTCGATAGCAGGCAACCCCGACACTGGCCTACATCTGCAACACTACACACACTAAACATGGTCAAAACAATGACAGCCATTTCAATATATAAATAAATAATTATAAATGTAGATGTGACAATTTTTATAATTATCATCGCTGAAGAGTAAGAATTTTATTAAAAACAACATTTGTTTTGAAAGCATAAAGTACAATATTTACTATACAAAAACCGTATCTAGTCTTTTAACTTAAAATACTCAAAATCAAATTCTATTACTAGATAGCAAGTAAATTTATTTTTTAATGTTAGATGTCACATTTACATTGTACTGTATTCCACTACAAAAACAACCTATAAGCTACTGCAATTAATAAAACATTTGATAAACAGGATAATACGTAAAACCGTAACATACGCCCTGTCATGCAAACTGAAAAGAACTGTATACATGCATCAGATTAACTGATAAATGAAATATGTGGACATTATCGAAACGTCTGAAATAAAAAAAAATACAACCTAGAATATAATTATATGCCAGATACGCGCCAATAAACCAAATTAGAAAAATATTATTGTAATTTTTAAATTAAGCTCGTTTTAATAAGAAACAAATCTATTATATATATTATTTTTTTAGTAAAAACTACACTTTTAATATATATTTTATAAATATATGTAAAGTACATTTAATTATTAAATAAAGCCCTAATCTAGTAACTAAAATAACTTGCAATTTGATTTATTACACAAATTCTAGAAAATCTATAAACATTTTTGAATTTCAGTATCAAAATATAATGCAGAAATGGATAAATTTATCTTTTTGTAAATTATATTGATTATGTTATAATATAGTTATATTATAAGGTTAGGATACTAAATACTATACGCCACATGAAGCAATAACAGTTCTAAATATTCATTGCATCTAAAAGGCATTATATTTCCCCTTCCATTATTTTTTAAACACAGTAACATTCAAAATATTGTCAACAATCCGATGCAACACCTTATATTTATATCAAAAGCATTATAAATTACCAAATTTTACACTGTATGGTTAAAAACAAGTGTAATTTTTAATATAAAAAAATTATGTGCATGCATATTAGGTGAGTAAAAGCCATTCTACATTTGAGTATTTTTCCATAAACTTAATGTATTGCTTCCTTAACCAATTTATTATAAATCTTAGACTTTCATAGCAAAGGAAAGTACTATAAAGCAATAATAGGGTCAATGCAACAGGGAGGAGATGCGATAACACAACACCAACCATTTTGGTATAATATAACAAGAAACTTTATATGTAGTAATTCAGAGATGGCAATATTTTACTTTTAAGTTTGATTACTTACAATAGGGTATTTGACAAGTTTTAGAAAACGATCTCACGTTATTGACTAATGTTTATGGAGTCCGTAAAATAACCAAATCAAAAACTCCATTTTCAAGTTGCCGCGAAAACGTTTCTCTAGACAATATGGCGTCTTACTAGTGTGTGACGTCACACGACTGTTATTAAAACGTCAAACGATACAATGTAATGTCACTTTAACTGGAAGTTTACTTGCGTGTGATGTCATTTCAGGCTCCGCCAATCCCAAGCGTTTTGAGTCACGTGACAATAGATAAGAAAACTATTATCTTTTTCGTGGGTTTTTAGTAAAATTATGAATATATTTTATGTAAAAATAGTAAAAACCCCTGCCATTATGCATTCTAAACACAGATGCTAACTAACAATTGGCACTTTATTTTTAATACTGTCAAATACCCTATTGTTGGTATGGGCTTTGTTGTAAGTTTATCTAATAACAATAACTCTTGTAAAGTTGGTTATTAACATTATTTGCAAAGTGTGGCAAATTGAAATGGTAAGTGCTGTACTCAATAGGCAACTCAAAATCGAGCTCTAGAGCTCAAAAAAAATATTAGTCTTGAGAGCCGAGTTCCAATATAATGTAGTTTAGAATACTTTTTGAAAGAAAGCTAGAAAACTGAATGCTTGTTGACACGAGCCAGTATATTTGTTCACTAAATAGTTTTCTGAGATTTGGCTGGACTTTGAATCGCTTTTTACAGGAATTAAGCTACCTAACCAATTATTTTAGTTACTCCATCCAACCAAAATGTAGTATTGCATGTAAACTAGTTTAGTTGCCTACTTATTGTATGTCAAGATTATGAAATGGAAGTACACCAATGGCAAATTTTGATATATTTTATTTCAAGTCACTGCAAAACAAGCTTTTTTGTAGCTAATGTGTATGTCTAGTTTTTTTATTTATTTATTTCGGCTATTTATTTAAATGATCCTCAATAAACGACCACCTAAAAACACAATTACATAACCTGAAGTGTAGGTTAGGTTGCCAATTATTGTATTTTTTAATGATCAATTACTATGTTTTGTGATCATTGAAATATGAGCCTTTTTGTTTAAATCATGCATGTGTGTAGTATTGTTAACTAATTGTTTTTGTTTTATTGGTAACTTAACTCATAACTCTTTTAATGCAATCCATAATGTTAATACAGGTGTTCAAAATATTTACAAATAGATTATAGACCCTGTCAGACACAGGAAATAAGAATTATTACAATAATGCGCATAAGTCTAACGAATCAATATGAATCTTAATCAAAACAAATTTGGAATCAGACTTTATGATGATAATCTTATACATTAAATTTATTATTAGATATATTCTATTGTTTTTTTTTTTCAAATACTTGTGTGTTTATTGATGTGTGTAATGTAGTGCAAGTTATGGTGTCGATTCTAGGTATGATTCTCTAAACTTAAAACTAAATTTAATATCAGGGGCATTCCACGCGAAGCGGACAGGTAAAAAAACTCGATGTTTCCGATTTTAGTAATATTTGAGTATGTTCTATTTATACTTACTATTGATACGTGTACCAAATATTTTTGTGATATAATGACTAGTTAAAGAGTAATGGGACTTTGAAGTTTTCGACAACCGGTTGGCATGCAGTACTTCAAAGCCGATTATGGAGTCATAAAATTATATATTAAAATAACTAAACCACTGGATTTCTTACTTTATTTACTGGGCTTTTTAACTGTGTTTTTGGAAAAGCAAAAAAAAAATTTTTTTCGTAAAAAAAAAACAATTAAAGTTTTTTTCCTTGATTTTCACTAAGTTAGACCATTTAGTTTTTTTTTTATTTTTTTTATATAAATTGCTAATATTGTATAGAACATTAGTGCCATTTTTTATAATGGGCGTGGAAGTGGATTAGGAGCTAGACTGAAAATACTACCGTAGGGTGGCGTCCAGCGCCGCGACGCGGCGACGTCGCACTGGCGCGCCTGACGGCGCCACTTGTGAGTAAGCAGATTAATGCATCTAACCCGTAAAATTTGTTTTATTCAGATTACTTTTTTTCTTTAGTAGTTTGATATTTTAAATAAAACAAATTATCTTCTATGATTAATTACTTTATTTACAAATTTTTGCAATTTTAAATGCTTCACTGTTACTCGTGCGTTTAATCATAATACCTTCAGTAGTGGGAATAAAGGCATGATATTTTTTTGTGCCTGGTATTGTCGCTGCCGATTCAAATCTGCTCTTTAAAAACAATCGGTTTTGTTGAATGTCCTCTTTTGGAGCATATAAAACGTGCGTTTGGGGCATTGATGTTTTCGCCCATTGGTACAAACGCTCGGGTGTAGTGATCGCTTTGTCTGACGCCGACTGTAGACTAGCTCGAGTTGCCAAACGTTTCAAGTTGCCCCCAAGTCCATCACATGGCCCTTTGCCATGAGAAGTAGCATGAAAATGAAACTCTGCCTCTGTACCGAAATCCTGTTTAAAATAAAACAGGTTGATAAAATTAAACCTGTTTTTGAAGTGCTGGGGTGCACCATCAGTTACGTAAATATATTTATTGGTTGATATATCCTTTTCTTGTAAATGTTGATGTAAAATTTTTTGGAAGGTATAAAACGTTGCAGTGTCATGTTTTAGGTCATCCGATATCATTACAATACTTCCGTGTTTTAACTCTTGCTCCTTTTTGTAATAATACACAGATGTGAGGAGAGTAGCCTGGTCGTTACTCCAGTGAAATGCCTGGACAGCGTCTTGAACTACGAAGCTGTAGTTTTCAGCAAAATCGCACTGAATGATTATGTCACCCTCCAAAATCGACTCTTTTAATAATTTAAAATACCGAGTTTGCTGATCTGATATGTAGGCGTGAGGTTTTAAAGCGTCTAATCCTGAGCAAAGACTGTCGACAAATTCATCAGAAGGAAGAACTTGAGTGGCGATTGTGAATCGGTCTGTACCAACCCATGTATTAAACTGCACACTAGTCACTTGATTTGCGTCAAATATATTTCGTAAGTGTTCCCGAATTCCGACAAGGCCAGGGCAACTTTGGCATTGTTCGTCCAGTGACGATTTTCTTGTCATTAAATTGCAAGTTGGTGTCGGATCTGGACACATCATCTTTTGCAAGCAATCCTTGTACGATACTAGGGGGATAGCAGACTCAGAAGTAAGTGATGCAATATCCCCCCCGATTAGCATCAATTTAACATTTTGATGGTAAATACACACGCAGACTATATGAGTACCCGAATCACCAGCAAGAATGCACTGCTTAGGACGTAATGAAAAAAATTTTGAAAGACCTACTTTTGTGTCAGGGTATTCCAATTTGAACTGTTGATATAATTCATTGATGTTACACAATAATAGCTGTTTTTGTAATTGGACTCTTTGGCCATCATGTAGCTTAACAGACACAAAGTCTTTTTTCCCAGGCATTATTCTAGTGTTATCTTCTCTAAGATAAAATTCAGAAACTAAATCTACAACTTCTGATGTTAACTTGCGGCCCTCTCGTGGATTAGGCGATGATAAAATACCGTTCTGCTCAACTAGTTCCTTGGCTTTTTTTGCTTGCCGTCTAGAGGTATTGAATTCATCAGCAAGTTTATTTTCGCTCCATGATTTAGGTGCTAAGGTAAGAATCATCGTTTTCTCAGAAACAGATGTAGAAGGATCATTAAATTTCTCTTTCAATTGTAAAAGTATTTCGTTGTCAATGGATTTTATGTCGTTTGTCTGTGTTGACTTCGTAAGCGTATTTCCTTCCGGAACATAACACGAGACTTGTGAATTTTGGAGTGATGATTGGCTTGCTTGACTATTTAGGATCACATCATCAATAATTAAGGGTTCTTCACTAGCAAGACGGTCTCTACACTGCTTACACACATAATAATTAACGTTTTTATTTGTAATTGACCACTTTTCTGCTAGCACTTGTGATAACTTCCTCAATCCTTTAGTTTTTCTATGTACAGGTAAATTAAACGGATTATAACATCGATCCCCGTAAGGAGTCATGATATTCAAATATTTTTAATAGCGATATAATCTCACAGAACTAACAAAGTCACTCTCACGCGTCACAAAATTACGCGGTAAAATTGTCAAACATGGCGCCATAATTAACTTTTTTTTAATATAATGGCCTGGATACAAGCCCTTTAGGCCTTATTTCATACACATATTATGGAGAATAAAAAAATGTATATTTATAATTAAAAGTGTAGTTGTAACGTATTTTAGTACTTAATAGGCATTAAAAATGTATTGGTTTTCTTAAAAATCTACAAAACATTCCGTCAAAAGTGATTTTATTTGATTGACGGTTTGATGACTAATCGCGCACAAGCGGCGGTCAACAGGCGCGGCGCTGGACGCCACCCTTCGGCAGTATTTTCAGTCTAGCTCTTAATCCACTTCCACGCCCATTATAAAAGTTGGCACTAATGTTCTATACAATATTAGCAATTTATATAAAAAAAATAAAAAAAAACTAAATGGTCTAACTTTGTGAAAATCAAGAAAAAAAACTTAAATTGGTTTTTTTTTACGAAAAAAAAAATTTTTTCTCTATTCCAAAAACACAGTTAAAAAGCCCAGTAAATAAAGTAAGAAATCCAGTGGTTAAGTTATTTTAATATATAATTTTATGAGTCCATAATCGGCTTTGAAGTACTGCATGCCAACCGGTTGTCGAAAACTTCAAAGTCCCATTACTCTTTAACTAGTCATTATATCACAAAAATATTTGGTACACGTATCAATAATAAGTATAAGTAGAACATACTCAAATATTACTGAAATCGGAAACATCGAGTTTTTTTACCTGTCCGCTTCACGTGGAATGCCCCATCAGTCTCTCCTTTTTATTCTGTATAGACAATGACACGGATACACTGTTGTCAAATTTAAGTTTAAGTTTAGAGAATCATGCCAGAATCAACACTTATACAGGGTTAATTTTAAAACACCAACAACCTCTTAGGGCGTGATTCTACCCATCAACAGGAACAACATTTACTATGTGACCAACTCTGAAATCGCGAAAAAAAAATCAGCTGTACCCCTAGTACGAACCAATATTGAATTGATATCGTTTGCGAGTCCGAAATGTCATTGCCAAGTGTGTACTGATTTTTAGTTCTCGTCACGTACTTTATGCCGCTGCTGTTCAAGTTTCCATACAAATTTTGACATTGACATTTCGGTTTGCAAACTATTCGAATTCGATAATGGTTCGTGCTTGGGGTACTGTTTCATACATTTCAGTCGTTTAGCTGATGCACTTTTGTATGAAACAGCCGGTTTTCTTTTCGCGATTTCAGCGTAAGTCCCATAATAAAAGTTTTTCTTGTTGATGGGTACAATCACCCCCTGTACGGGGAGACCATAACATAACAACTGATAAATCTGATAAAATTATAAAACAGTAAATAATTTTGAAACTGAAGTATATTTGGTAACTATAAACTGACTAAACTACGAGAACGCGCGGTATGCTTAATGACGGAATGCAAACTGAACTGAAATAGATTATGAATTATAGGTAAATTTGGTCAATAAATAAATCGCACGCTTTAAAGAAATACTGACCTATTAGTACTTAAGACATACAGACAAAAAGTTGTCCTAAAGCCATCTATATTATTCTATTCACATAGCTTCATACATATCGCTGTCATTAACACCTTACTTTAAAAATCAGACTCATACCTAGTAAACAAAAAAAATGTGCAAACACCTCAATACTGTACATTATTCAACGTTGAACTAAGTACTAATAGGTATTCCTTTAAGCGTGCGAAATGCTGCTAAGAGGTTATCGGTGTTTTAAAATTAACCCTGTATATATATGTAGGGTTTTTTAAGTGTATTGGCTCAATGATATATAGATATGTAGTAGTCGGTAGGGTGTTATATATGTGATGTAGCTCACCACCGCTCACCGCTCACTGCTGATGGTCCGGCTGGCTAGGCTGCGCGGGCGGGTAGCCGGGGTAGTTGTACCCGGGGTACACTCCGCCCGGGTACACGGGGTACTGGTACTGGCCCTGCCCGCCCGCCCCGGGCCCGGCCGGCGGGGTCGGCGCCAGCGGGGCTTGCTGCGAGGCCGCTTGTTGCTGGGGGGGGGGGGGGGGGGGGGTTAGGTTAGGTCTTTAGTGCCCAGAGCGTAGCGCCCGCCAGCTCGTGTCTACAGTACAACTTTACGAGGCATAGCTGAATGGACACACACGCATAGATAAAGTTATCATGTGATGTTTTTTATGGTTATTTAGTGTTTGTTTTTGTTTTTTTTTTTGTCATTTGTTATGTTATATCCAATCCTAATTTAATGTTATGTTAGTAAATTATATGATTTTTAAACTATTTTTAAAATTTAATGTGATATTGATCTAAAGTAACGCAGTAAGTATCTAATGTGTACATAATAAGTTTCTGTAATTGGCCTTAGATATTATATTGTATTACATCTACAAAAATAGCTGAATAAAATTTGTTAAAAGATAAATAAATAAATTAAGATTTAAACATCTTAACAGTTAAATGTTAAAAAAAATCAATAGGCTATTTAACAGTATGAACAGTAAAATACGTTGTTGGTCTGTCTGTATATCCGTATTTAATATGAATATTAGCAGCAATTTGACTATGATTTTTTTTGTTCTTTGATTCAGCAGACGGGACTCGAATCCGCGCCCTTTGCTATCCAGGCGAATACACTGACCATTATGCTACCGCGGCCCTTATGGCCATGTCAAATTTTACTTCTTAAGCTGCAAGGCAGCATCATCCCTTCGCATTGTTGGTCCGCATGTATTTTCTTCTGCTAAATTTTTCTTTAGATTTGAACATCTACTTTAATTGCTAATTCTTTTTTCAAATTAATATTTGGAAAGGTACTCATATGACATTGTGGGTTAGCTTAAGAAACATTAGTGAAAACTCGACGTTCGAGACGGGTCTGAGCCCCGTCTGTAGCCTGAATCTCGTGGGTCTTTCTCTAGTAAACTTTTGCTTAAATTAAAGTACCTTCATCTTGATCTGCGCCTCGATGGCCTCCGCCTCCTTGAGTTTCCCGATGCTGCGGTAGTACTCGGCCCACTGCGCGCTGTAGTCGGCCCCGCCGCCCGCCCCCGCGCCCGGGCCCGCCCCCGCCCCCGCCCCGGGGCCCGCCCCTGGCCCGGCCCCGCCGCCTGACGGGGGCGCGGGGGTGCTGGAGCCTCCGCCTCCGCCCCCTGTACGACCAAAAGTATCATTCTCAAACATGCTCGGACATTTGAGCGTTATTTTGACACTTTAAAAAAAACAAGTGTGCTTTGTGCCACACCAGTGAAGTTCGACTTGTTTAGCTCAAATGATGATGAAAATCATAAACTTAACCTAAAGATTTGTTGATAGAAAAAAACCACCAATCCGCGATGGGTCCGTTATTCCAAAGTTAATTTTATTAAAATGTTGGATACCCTTCTGACATAAAAACTCTTTGCTAACATTTAAAAAAGTATCGTTCGTTTTTAGACGGAACATAATAAGCCGTGCGTTCAACTTTACATTACCGCACGCGTGTGTAATGTGATAGATTATGATATTGAAATTGGTGCAATAAGAGACACTTTACGAGCAAATGTGTTATAAAATAAGATTTATCTGCTAAAGAATCACCCTTTACCGAATTTCCTGATGCATATCCCAAATAGTTATTTTCCTTTTACGACCTAATTTATGTGTGGTATACAAGTGTCCTCACCCTGCATGCCTTGCTGCTGCTGCTTGGCCTGCTGCTCTATAGCCTCGGCCTCCTGGTTGAAGCCCAGCGAGCGGTAGTAGTCGATCCATTGCTGCGAGTAGTCGGGCTGACCGGTCGCAGGGTTTATGGCCACCTGTTGCTGTAACACAAGAAATATATTATTAATAAATAATGATTTTTAACACTCACAATAAGCCTTGGGGGCTAATCGCCTAGCGGGATTGCTTTCGCTTACGATTTCATTTTGTTATTTTTGACCGCCGAAGGTTTCCAGATTTAAAAAATATTGTTAGGAATTATTTATTATTAAAAAAATATTGAAAAACCAGCCAGGTGCAGTCTCCAAAAAGGGTTCCGTACTATTATTTATAGAACAGTGGTGTCGTGTGTACATAGACCCTTCATCCATGATTTATTTCATTGTTTACGCTTATTGTTATTAAATGTGAAGATGCCATGACTTCCGAGATGACATAACACCTTTATTAAAGAAAAAAAAACAAATATTAAAAAAGGCGACAACATTTTCATAGACAAGTCTTCAATTGAATTTCCCACCAGTTTTTCGCACTTTCTCTATAATTAATTTCTTGCTCAAAGAGAAATATAATTAAAAAATGTAGAACGAGGGATTATTCAAAAGTAAACGTTTATATGTCTAAATAATGTGAGCGTTATTTGAATGACGCACACATTTCCTCGACGACTTCCGTGGCCGAGTGGTTTGTACGCCGGGTTGCATGGTGTCGCCGACTCGAGAGGTCCCCGGGTTCGAATCCCGGTGGGGGCAGATGTTTGTGTGATGAATACGAGCATTTGTACTCCAGTCATGGATGTTAAATATGTATTTCTATAAAATTATACTTATATTATGTACTGTATATGTATTCTATCCGTTACCCTAGTATCCCATAACGCAAGCCTTACAGTGCTTACTTTGGGGCTAGGCTAATTGGTGTGAGTGTTGGAAATATTTATTTCCCATATGAGTGAGTCACCTGTTGCGGTTGTGGTTGGGGCTGGTTGTGCCAGTGCGGGTTGTACCCCCAGGCGGGCGGGCCCCCGTAGAAGTCTCCTCCCCCGCCGCCACCCCCACCGGCGCCCCCTCCGGGAGCTCCGCCCCCGCCCCCGCCTCCGGGAGGACCCCCCGCGCCGTTCGCGCCGTCTTGGATGAAGTTTATAGGCTAGGAGAAAACTTATCATTAGTTATCTAGCGTCTATCAATACTGGTACAGAGAAGTGTTCTTTATACAGGTTCTAGACGAAATCAAAATTAAAAATCATTTATTCAGCCCAGGCTTTTACAAGCACTTGTAAAGGTTGAGAAGCTTCGCCATCGGTTCGCAAAACTACGGCGGGCGACCTTGTACTGAGAAGTACGGGCAAGAAACTCAGCAAGGGCTATATATATATATTTTTCTGTTTTCAACAAGGGCTGTTTTTTGTTAAAATCAAATGAAATTTAATACCTATTTTAATTTATAGTAGATAGATATAATATAAATTCTGAATTTTAAAAGTCAGTTATAGTAGTTATTAGCATAGGTGTTACTCTCCCTCTATAATTAATTGATTGTTGTGCCTGACGGAGTAGATAATTGTGCATATTTTTTTATAACATCTTGTATAACTTACGGCACACAATAAAACATTGAGTATACCACATTATTGTTATGAAAAATGTCTGCATATAAATTACTAATATGAAGCTATCCTGTTTATAACATTAGAGCGCCCACGATACAGGTTTCTCTTAGGGTGGGCCGTGGGAGCCACAGTAAATGCTACAGTATTGTTATGTCAAGTCTTAAATAAAAATAATTAAAAATTACACATTTTATTAGCTCTGTTACATATCTACGATTGTTTGAAATTTTGTAGAATTTAACTAATCAATGTGTTCATGATGTAACTAACTACTTATTCGAAATAAAATTATTATTATTATTATAATCAAATTGGCAGAATTTTAAAAAATTGAGTATTTTTAATGTTCTTTTAATATTACTGGTAATTATTTACTATGATTTTGGTGTTTATTTTAAGTAATTTGTGTTTTTAGCTATATTACAATCGCTGTAATATTTCGCAATGTATTATTGTAACAATAAGGATGATGACTTTTTTTTCTTCGTTTATCAGGTAGATTATCAAAAAGTATTGGAGTATTTTTTCTTTTTTCACATAATATAAACATTGCATAGATATATTGATTTGAAAAGTCGCATGACGTCACGTTTTGGTACACTTTTAAGTGAAAATTCACTAAAAAGTGACTTCACGAGCCCCTACTCCCAAACTTTGACGCGCTATAACTTTGTCATTTTTTGGTTGATTGCCTAAAGAAAAAATACGTGTCCATTATTTTTTGATCATCTAACTGACGGACTAAATAGAATTTCGTTTACTGTACCCCGTCATCACACCTATTGCTGGTAAACCAAATAGATAAAATAAAATAAATAAATATAATAATAATTTCAGTATTAATTTTTACATGTGACTTAGATCTAAGATAAAACACAAAAGCTAAAGAAAAATACATAGCCTGAACTAGGTATATCCTGTGTTTCAGACAAAAAGATCTTAACTACTTTAAATAATCAATCGCACAATAAAAATAATAATAAAAACAAAAATACTAAATCTACATAAAATTATTCAGTAGGTATGTACATGCTTTGCGTCATCGCAGAGTTGTAAACTGGGTCAATACTGCTCATTTATTCTTTACGCTTATTGATGTGTAATATCTTTCCTCTCACTTTCCTGCAATTTGTGTGAGTGATTTCGTGAAATGGAACGGAAGTGTGTAACGGGAAGTCGCGAAAGTGCGCGCTATTATTTGATTTGATTTTAGAACAAAATGTTAAAACGGCTTATTCCTTTTGTAGTAGGTTTTATTTATTTTTTTACTAATGTAAGGTGAGTATTTGTTTCTTAGGTTTTCACGCACATCACTCATTAAATAAAACTAGTTTTAACGGGTTAATGCACGAAACTTTATTTATTTATTGACATTTGGCAGCTTTTTCAGGTCTGCATCGTCAGAATACTGATTTTTTATTTAATTTTGTCGAGCTTCCTTCGAAAGACTTATTACTTGCCTTTTACGACGACCTCCGTGGCCGAGTGGTTTGTACGCCGGGTTTCATGGCGTCGCCGACTCGAGAGGTCCCGGGTTCGAATCCCGGTGGGAGCAGATGTTTGTGTGATGAACACGAGCATTTGTACTCCAGTCATGGATGTTTAATATGTATTTCTATATAAATATACTTATATAAGTAAAGTATATGTATTCTATCCGTTACCCTAGTATCCCATAACACAAGCCTTATAGTGCTTACTTTGGGGCTAGGCTAATTGGTGTGAATGTTGGAAATATTTATTTATTATTTATTGAGCGTTCGGTTATTTCATTGAAATATTTTTTACTATGTATGAATTTATTAGTTAATTTAGTTAATAAAGTACTTTATTCAACATTCTTTTTTGTAATTTTGAGTTTATTTATTTGACACTAACTACCGTAAACTACCACCGGTTCCAAAATTGGGAGACCTTTCTGAGAAGAACTGGCGAAACAACTCATTTAATGTAAGTTGAGGTTTCAAATGTTACACATACGCGACTAATGTAAGACTCGCTCGTTTTTTCGTATTTCTTTGACATACATATTGGCGTCCCTATTATCTAAGGTTTAATTTACACACTAAAAGTCATACTAAAAGTTCTCACCATGCCGACTTTCTCCATGATGATCCGTTTGCAGTGATCGACGGCGTCGGGATGGCCCCTGATATAGAAAGTCCTATTGTTGCGGTCCGCGCCGGTCGCTCGCCGGTCCACCTCGCAGTGGGCGCCCGACTGGGCGTTAATCTGCTTTATTACTTCACCCCCTGGATGTGAGGTGACATTGTTATAGCAAGGAGCATTAGGTAATCAAGGCTATACAGGGTGTAAAAAAACTTATGACTAAGACTTAAACTACGCATTCTATACACCCAATATGAAAAAATTTGGGAAATATGGGAAATTTTTGTATTTTTAAGTTAAAAAAAATATTTTTTTTTTCCAGTACGCAATGTATAGCGCCGCGCGCTACTGTGGCGCTACGCAAAGAATGTGCCTGTGTGTATGAGTGTGCGTGTGTGTAAGTGCGTCGATAAGAAAGTTTGTAAATAACATTTTGAAAATATTAATGTATAAATCATGAAAAAAATATTTTGACTTTGACCTTCAATATCTCCATAACCATAAATTTCCCAAGTATGGTCCAGAAGAAAAAAATGGTGGAAAATACGTGGCCTTCGACTTCGTTATAGGTTTTTTTACACCCTGTATAAAAACATGCTTTAATAGAGGGACAGATGTTTGTATGATGAATCAGCAGCGGCACAAAGAAAGTAACGAGAACTAAAAATCAGTACATATGTCACAATGACATTTCGGACTCGCAAACGATACGAATTCGATATTGGTTCGTGCTAGGGGTACAGTTCATTTGCCCGGATAGCGAATCCGTAGCGTGAATTTTTTTCTGGTAAATTGTTTGTTAAGATTTAAACATCTAGTAGTTAAATGTATAAAAACTAAAATTATAATGTATAGTGTAGGTGTGTTGGTTAGTACAGTAGAATCCGTTTATTATGACTCCGCCTATAATGACAAACCTCTTATTATGAAGTTTGATTTTCATGTATAATTCCTAATAACAAAATCGGATATAATGACTTTGCTGTGACATGTCGCTTATTATGACCCCTTTTTTAATAAATTGTATATATTATTATATATATATATATAATTGTATATTATTGTGACCAACATGATTCAATACCTTCGGCAGTATCAGAGATAGTCCGTCACGTGATATCCGACGTTCGAAGAGTGCACGGCCTTTTTTTGGAGTTTACTCCTTAATAGAGGTGGGTCGTCGACGTATTTTTCGTCGACGAAAAGAAACCGTCCACTACCGTCCATCGACTAGTCGATCAACTAGTTGAATTCTTCGACTAGTTGACGTGATAACGGCAGGCTTTAAAGGGTTCATATCAACCACGCGGTAGCTGGTCTACGGGCGCGACGCAACGACGACGACGGGGTCTTTATTTAGTATTCGCATTACATTATAGTCAATTAAATGTTTACAAAATAAATAACAAATTAAACTCATAACATAAACATTCAATTCAAACAAACTTTGCACTAAATTCGCATTTACGTGCCCCTTGACCTTGACCTCGCGACACACTAATTTCAAATTTCAATAAACAAAACTGCAACTTCTTGAGGAAAACCATTATTATAAACCCGTTCATCCTGCACTGCATCGTTTAGCCAGATCCATCGACGTACTCTTTCACGCAATATCAAAATACTCTTACCTTTTCACTCTAAAAACTCTAGTTAAAAAATGAACAAATATCAACTTCCACGCCATATACTTAAGTTTCAAATTGCTTTATTTCAACGAATGAACGAACGTATGGACTTGTAACGGGTAAACCGGATACGTTTACGCGTCGTCGACGCTTTGTCAGTAGATATGAACGCTGTGGATTCTCAGTTTAGCCGACTTAGCCGTCTATGAATTCAACTAGTTAACGAATTAACTGTAGACCGTCGAAGCGTCGATTGGACGTAGACCGTCTATTTAAACCGTTCGTTAATTCAACGCCCATCGCTACTCCTTAAGAATCGATTTGCATATATAAGGGGCCCGGTATGAGAAAAATGTGAGGAGTAAAATCTATCGATGAATGACCTCGTTACGTTTTTGTTGCGCATCCTTTGTCGCGCAACTTTGACAAACAAAGATGACGGATTGACATTAATAAAAATTTTAAAATCTGAACTGAATTTAGATATTGTTTCTGATAGAGCAATGGGGACAACGAGGTATGGTACAACCATTGATGCGGTATTTTCAAGATTCGTGAACCACGTATCTACGAACGTCCATGTGTCTTATTTTAGTTACCATAAACCACTTGTCACTATAATTAATAATGCAGACAATGTTGATTTAATTAATATTTAAAAAAAAATGATAATAGTCTGATAATAATAATTACATAATTTATCAACATTCCTAATGATATATTTATGCACATCTGAAATTGACTATTGTAATTTGTTAATTTACCCTTTCATACAGTATCAATCTTTTTTAAGTTAAATAAACTCTTTTTGCGTCTGGTTAGACTATTGAACTTAAGGAGTAAACTCCAGTCGTGCGTCGGAGCTGACACACACAATTTTGTTTATAGGTCTCATGAGGTAATTGTTAGTGTAGGGTCGCGCATTGTTTGTAAGTGATTTAACATCAACCAATTTAATAAAACAGAACATTGGTTATATTTTCTACAAAACACTTTGTATGACGTGTTTGTCATTCCCTTCGATGTCATTATAAATGGATTCCACTGTATTTATTTATTTATTTAATTCTAGACTAAAATCCACAGCATTTTCTTAATATAATAAAGGTTTTACAATATAGTTTATCTTAATGCCAATTACGGATTCTCATTTTTTAGTTATAGCATAATAGTTTAGAAAACCCTCTACCAAACCATGGCGAGATGTGTGCAATGCGCGCGCGCCATTGTATATGTGGGTATGTGTGTGTGTGTGTGTTTGTGTGTATATATGTATACATTTGAAGTGTTTCGTTTTTGTACGTATATTACCAATCAACCAACAGCCCTAAAAGTTGTTTTTTAAAAGATGTTTTACTTTTGCATGCAAATATGTCAACAGCCGTGAAATTTAGCGTACAGTGTTCTATGATTACCTCTTCCGATGATCAGGCCACACTTGGCGTTGGACATGGTGAAGGTGACCCGTATCTCGTGGTCCTGCCACTGCGGGTAGTCCCCGCGGTCCCCGTTGCGCTGCCCCCCGCGGCCCCCGACGCCCCCCGGCCCGCCGCCCGGGCCCCCGGGGCCGCCCGGCCCGCCCCCGCCCCCGCCCCCGCCCCCGCGCATCGGGCCCGACCGCAACTCCTGTTCCCGCCTCTGCCGCATCAATATACATTCATCTTTACGAGTGAGCCCTACGTGGGAGCTAACAAACTTTCGCAATGGCCGGTCATCGCATGGGTGACCATATATTTATTAGGACTTGAAAATTAAAGAAAAAAAGAAAAATAAAACATCGAAACACTTTTAGTGTGGAAATCTTTTATTTATTTATTTTGTGCCCACCAGGTTCCCTAAACAAAAGTATTATTCGACTGACTATATACTTATTAGGACTTGGAAATAAAAAAAAACATCCGAGACTTTTAGTGTCGTTTAGTTGGAAATCTTTTGTGCCCCCCTGGTTCCCTAAACAAAAGTATTTATTCGACTTGTTCCCGCCTCTGCCGCGTCTATACATTCATATTTACGAGTGAGCCCTAAGTGGGAGCTAGGAATCTTTCGCAATCGCCGGTCATCGGATGGGTGACCAAATATTTATTAGGACTTGGAATTTGAACAAAAGTAGAAAAATAAAACGTCGAAAGATTTTTACTGTAGTACTTTTTTGCATCTACCACCAGGTTCCTTTAGCAAAGGTGTATTATTCGACTTTAATAAATAGCAAATTTCGCAATAGCCGGTTATAAGATGGATGGGTAACCAAAATTATATTATCTCGGCTCTTCCCTGCTTCGGAAGGCACGTTAAGCCGTTGGTCCCGGCTGCATCTGCAGTCGTTAGCACCGACCAATCCGCACTGGGCCCGCATGGTGAGTCACTTTGCCTAATCTCCCTATCCCATCCATGAGGAAGGACTGTGCCCCAGCAGTGGGGACATTGAATAGGCTGATGATGATGATGACGAAATGTAATTTAAAATATATTTACTATATGGAATTAGTAAACATGAAGATTTCTAAACTATGTTTTCCATTTTAAAGATTTTCGCATAGAAGGGACCACACACATGTTGATAAAATAATATGGTTAAATTTATTACGAACTAACTTCCGCCCGCGACTTCGAACATTATTTATAGTAGGTTTCTCGAGAATGCCACAGAAAGCTAACATTTTTCCAGGATCCACGACATACGACACTTTCATTTAAATCCATTCAGTCGTTTTTTCGTGATTAAGTAACAAACTTTCATATATACATATATAACATTAGTAGGTGTAAAAAATTCACCAAACATTTAAGTATTAAATTTTAATTCAATTCAACTTGTAATACTTATGTATTAAAATAGGAATACTCACATTTACACTGGATATTAAATCTTCAATCATTTGCCTTGCTTGATCTACTTGGTGTGGTTTTCCTTGGAGGTAACATCTAAAATAACATTGTACTTAATAAAATTACACCAAGGAGGGAACTCCAATACAAAGTACTCGATTGTAGAAGTAAAGCACTTTCCGCAAATTCAGGGGGCCAATCGCCTAACGGGATTGCTATGGCTATCGCTATCACTTACGGTATCATTTTGTAAATTCTAACCGCCGAAGGTTATCAAATGCCTCACGCTCGTTTTTTCTTTTGCATTGGTAATAAAAATATTAAAGAAAATGAGCGTGAGGTATTTGAATACCTTCGATGGTCAGAAATAAAAAATATGAAATCGTAAACGTAGTGTGGGACGCCCTGAGACAAGATGGGATGATGACATTCGTAGGCTGGCTGGCGTGAGCTGGATGAGAGTGGCAGAAAATCGAGAGCAGTGGCGTGCATTAGGGGAGACCTATGTCCAGCAGTGGACGAGCATGGGTCGATGATGATGATGATGATGATGGTCAGAAATAAAAAAATGAAATCGATAGCGATAGCTATATCAATTTCGTTCAATTGACCCCCTGGTCAGAGAATAGGTGAGCATAGTTTTTTACATCGAGCCCCTCAGTTAGTCAGAGAGCATGTTAAAATCATTGCTCCAGGCTGCATTCTCAAGTCGTTAACACCCATTAATCCGCAATGGGGCTGTCAAAAAGATCAGTCTTCATCCTATACTCTATTCACAAAAACTAGCTAATACCGATGAAAACTAAGCTTTCCGTCATTGGCCGGTTTATACTGATGATGTTACTTCAGCCAATGACAACCCCTATCTCGTGTGACACAGTCTTCCATCTTTGTCTTTTGTAGGCAATTTTGTGAAAGAAAAGCTCTCCATTAGCTCCTTTCGGTGAATAGAGTACAATTCTGTATCTGGGCTTCAAACATGAGACAGTGGGGATATTAAAACAGACTGGAATGGGATGATTATTTTCCTGAAATGTTGTCTTATAGATTACCTCTTATCTCCCGGTCCATCATCTCTTTCTTGGTGGAACTGTACCCTGCAGCCCGTCTCCGCTTGGATCTTCTTGATCATGTCACCGCCTCTTCCTATGACTACCCCGACTGCTATTTTAGGCACTAATACCTATGAAATAAATAATTTTATATTTAAACGAGAAGTACTGAGTCGGCCATACAAATTATCTTCGCCAATTTAAAAAAAATTAAGACAAGATTTAATTTCCAGTATCATTTCAAATACAAAAAATTGAGGTCTAACAAAAAGAGAAAAAGGCTTTTATTGTAGACATTCAAAAAATTTTCTGGGCTCGATACTTATCTTGGAATGATGAATGATGTGAAAAATTCAACCTTTCACCGAGGAATCCTAAAAATTACAAGACAATCCCCTCCCAATATACATCCATGGCGTGATTCTTGTGTCTGCTGTAATCTCAAATATTTTTAACTACTGAACCCTTAAAAAATTACAAAGAAATCTATCCTTTTTCATTATCTCTGTGGATTTATGCCCAATCAGTGTGCTACTTTCATGTAAAGAAATCTAAAAATTACAAAATATTTTGCTTCTGCTGTAATCTTGAAATACTTTTGACTGCAGATCCCTAAAAACTAACTACACATACCTCTGTGGAGTTATAATCGTGTCTGGGAGATGATCGGAGATAAGTCTGCCCTAACTTCCTTGATATTGAAGATGTTAATGTTTAGTACACTTAATATAAAAAACACTATTTCTTTTTATACTGTATGACTCAGCAATTAGAATGCAGGTAAACAATTAATGTATATTTTAATCATTATGTAATGAAAGGTGACTTCATGAACCATCTTTGAAGGCATTTACAACTTGACGACTCTGTGAATAATAAAAGGGAGAAAAAAACAGACCTTACTGTAGTGTCTTGCTGGTTCTTCTCAGTACAAGGTCTCCCGCCCCAGATTAACAAACCGATGGCGTAGCTTCTAGACATTCATGAATGCTTGTAACAGCCTAAACTGAATAAATGATTACGATTATGTTCCGTGTGATCTTACCTGCAGTCGTCGTATGGTTCCGCGGGCATCTCCTATCTGGGTACGTGTGACTATGGAACTTATTAAGGTCCGCTTGCAGCAATTCTACTAAATCTCAATTTACCTGAAACTATATTCTGCCCATACAATAACTTCAAATTGTCATTTTTCTATGGTATTAGTTACTTAAGATTTCACACGCACACCGCTCATTAAATGCTTAAACGGTTTCAAAATGCATCTTTTTACTACTTTGACGTTTCATTTATGGATGAAGGGTGATTCATTTACTTTTCTTTGAGCAAAAGCTAGTTTTAGTAGAATCAAGATTTAAAAAAAAAACAGCCCTTGCTGAGTTTCTTGCCGGTTCTTCTCAGTACAAGGTCTCCCGCCGTAGATTTACGAACCGATGGCGTAGCTTCTAGACATTCATATGTGCTTGTAACAACCTAAACTGAATAAATGATTTTGATTGATAACAAATTTGCTGCAAGTGGCCCTTAAAGTGTGGCAACAACCCCCCCCCCCCCCCACTCCTCCTTCCTTTATACCCTAGATCCCTGAAAACTAACTACACATACCTCTGTGGAGTTATTATTGTGTCCTCCGTGATCTTGCCCGTAGTCGTCGTATGGTCTCGCGGGCATCTCCTTGTCGGCCAGCAACTCGAATACTAGCTGCTTGGCCACCTCCACCTTTGAAGGCTCCCCCGATATACGCAGGGGTTTCTCCTGAACGACAAATGTGTACCCATCAATAACGATTACACATAATTAAACAGCATCATCATCACCCTATTAATGTATTATATTGACGACCTCCGTGGCCGAGTGGTTTGTACCGCCGGGTTTCATGGCGTCGCCGACTCGAGAGGTCCCGGGTTCGAATCCCGGTGGGGGCAGATGTTTGTGTGATGAACACGAGCATTTGTACTCCAGTCATGGATGTTTACTATGTATTTCTATATAAATATGCTTATATATGTAAAGTATATGTATTCTATCCGTTACCCTAGTATCCCATAATTACAAGCCTTATAGTGCTTACTTTGGGGCTAGGCTAATTGGTGTGAGTGTTGGAAATATCTATTTATATTTATTATTATTTATTAATGTCCCCACTGCTTGGGCACAGACCTTCTCTATGTGGATGGGATAGGGAGTTTGGGCCATGACCCACCACGCGGGCCCAATGCGGATTGGTGGGTGCTAACGACTGCAGATGCAGCGGGGACAAACGGCTTAAAGTACCTTCCGAAGTACAAAGGACATCGAGATAATAAATTTTTGGTCACCCATCCAATGACCGAGCCCTGCGAAAGCTACTTAACTTCAACGATCGCAGCCGAACGCGCTAACCACTTTCGCCATGGAGCTCCTTATTTCCATAATGACATTTTCTTTTAATTTGAGAAACTACAGCCGCAATTTATTGAGTAGTACATTTTATTTAACAAGGCCAATAAAGAAATGTAATTACCTATATTCAAATAGACTTACAAGAAAGTTCTTTTGAATTGTAAAATTTATACTACCACCCATACTTTTGGCTAATAAGAAGCATAGATCCCATCCAGGTCATCTTTTAGCTTATTAAAATAATGGAAGCTAGAAACTCATCAGCTTTTCACAGCGACGTTTAGATAAAGTTACGTCTTTACCATAATGGCCATTAAGATTTACAAAAAAGAAATGTTTAGATAACCAATAATAATATCCCAGATAAATTGGTATCTATTGGATTATACAATCCAATTGATTAATATAAATAGATCAATGATAAATCATTATAATGCACACATTAAAATTAATCCTATCTTATAATAATTTGTCAGTAAAGTACATTTTTAACAAATAAGAAATTCATAAAAATATATACAGCAGAATATTGAATAATTTGTAAACTTAGTATTTTTAAATACATCTAAATGTTTGTTTTAAACCGAGAGCTGTAAAATAGAATTTTAGCTGCTGGATAGTCGTAATTGACCAACAAAGTTGACTGAAAAGATTGTATTGTTAAATAAATATGTCAACTAATTTTTTGAGCTGTTATTTAAATATTCGAGATGTTATTATGATCAGTTGAAAAACATTGAACAGGTGAGCAGTAATTTGATTTAATGGCGGTTGATTAATTATTGCGACAGTAAAAAGTGGACAGTAATAAAAAATCAATTAGTCGTTTTTATTTTATCATACAATGTCAATTTTAAAAATAATTGAGCAGTCCCTTAACTGAATGAGCGGCAAAAATGATAGAATGAGCGTTTCGATAAATAGTTCGGCAGATCATAACGAGCGGTGACACCCGAACTCAAAATTCATTGAAAAGAGAGGTAAATGTTCGTTAGTCGGGCGGAGCTTATTAGCGCGGGTGGCCTGCTCTTAATATACAATAAGTTTATTTTAGCTGCTACTAAGCAAATTCCATGTCAATTTAATAACTTCAGTATGAGTATGTATATGTTTCGAATTACAAATAAAGTTCCTATTATTATTATACATTTTTTTTATTTAATTCCTTAATTCAATTTGGTCAAAGCAAAAGTAATTTAATTTTGCATTACTATTTAGGTTCTGTATTTTTTTTATTTTACCACCTCATTGTTTATAGAATTGCTTAGAATGTGATTTCTTACCGACAAATTCCGATTTATTACTGCCCACACGTAACCGCTAGTTTAATATTTTTTACTGCCTATTTAATTATTTTGCCTGCTCAATTATATATTCACTAACCCATAACATTATTTTTTATTACTCTATTTTGTTAAATTTAGTGTTTAGTTTTAACTGCTGAACTAGTTATTAAACGTGCCATTTATAATCTTTAACTTACCAAAACTTCTATTTACAACTGCCTCTTTAAAACAGTGCCAATAAATATTGAGCTGTGTATTATAAATTACTCTGTTCATTCTCTACCGTTTCATTTTCTGTGCACCTTCTTCCCGGTCAACTGGTCGAGAATGCCATACTGGCATTAAGTACGCCATTTGCATTGTAAAGGCAATAAAGATTAAATAAATATGAGTTGCCACTTACATATTCAGTGTTGGGTCCATCTTGTATGACCACCATCTTGGCCCCCGACTGCTCTTGCAACTGTTTAATTGTTTTTCCATTTTTGCCAATGATCAAGCCTACTTTGGGCCCTGGCAGCATAATCTCTTCCTGTTAAGATAAACTTATGCATCACTTTTTATATGGACACTAATTACGGAAAAAAGGGATCAATTTGATAGACAGACAAAGGAAGTTTTAATTATATTTTGATGAGTAATAAGGAAAGTTTTAATTTTAAATTGATGAGTTAAACATTGTCGCTAGATTTATGAAATTTATTTCCACAATAAATCCGTAATTACATTTTCTTCATAATAATTAAGAAACATAGACAATGACTATAATAGATGGTGTTAAGTAAAAGATTCTTCAACACTGTTTAATTAAAGTAAAACATTGTTTAAAATTAATGTAGCAAAAGCAGATAGAGATGGTATTTTGAAGTTTTTTTAAACAAGGTATAAATTTTTCAAAGGTTTCAATTTAAATTTAAACAATGTTTAACACTTGTGGTTTTTGTATTATTTTGAAATAGGAAGTCCTTTATTTCCTAACCAACTATCTAACTAGCAAACAAGAAACTTGTGGAAAAGCAACCAAACTATACATTGAAGAGACTAAAGAGACGTGGTGCTCTTCAAGATCTTCTCCAACACAAACGCAGAAAAGTCAACATAGACGGGCATAGGATTGGATCGAGATTATGCTTTGTAGTACAACATATTTTTTTCTAAATTCATAAAATCGAGCTTAATATCGACAAGACAGATTTCAGAAAAAAGGGGACTTAAGAAAAACTTATGTGGTAAGCTTAGTTTGAACAGGAACGTCATTGTTTGTGTTGTATTGTGTATTTTTATACTGACCGTTGTAGCCAAGCCACCACCTCCTCCACGAGGCATGGGGGGCATGTTGCCCACATTCGGATTGCCGTCCTGATGCTGTGGGGCGTTCTCTCTCCCTCTGTGGTTAACAATTTGGTTCACCAATTCCCTGTGTAACATTGTTATGTTGTCATAAACCTTGCTTACTTACTTAGGCCGTATACAGAAAAAAAGCCGAAAGCCGATCGGCGCTTATCGGCGCCTTCCTACATTTATGTACCTAAAGGAAGCCGATTAAAGCAGATCAAGCAAAATGTCGGACTCATCAGACGATGATTTGGTTTTGTTAGAAAATGTGTATTTAAAAATGCGAAAAAAAGCTATACATCCTATAAATAGAGAAAGAAAACGTTTCGGAGAATACCATCATTTATTTGTAAAAAAATTGAAATTTGATGATCAAAGATTTTAGACATATACAAGAATGACTCAAGAAACATTTTATTACATTTTGGATTTAGTGAAAAACCGTTTGATGAAAAATTGGTGCAATTGGCATAAACAACCAATCCTTCCAGAAGAAAGACTTGTTGTCACCATTGGGTAAGTACGAAACAAATAATTTTAGCGCTTAGTTAATAAAAGATAAAGTTATTAGATTTATAAAAAGATTATAACTTAGATTGATTTAATCTAAGGATAATTATTCAAATACAAATTATTTATTATTCGGACAACATAGATCATAATGATCAGCTGACCAGCGCGTGTCACGCTTATCAGCACTGGTCCATAGAAAAAGGATCAGCGCCGATAAGCGGTAAGCGGTAAGCGATCGGCTTTCGGCTTTCTTTCTGTATACGGCCTTATATAAGTAATAATCAAGATACAGCTAATTTCAGTTTAAGCTGAACTATTTTTCTATACCAAATTATGTTTTAGGCATGAATTTTCTTAGTTAGCAGAAACAATAATGCTTTGTTGTCCCCCAGATTAGTGTTTCTGTATACACAACTGTATTAAAAGTCTAAACTGTTTTTTTTTTCTAAACTAGCTTCCTAAAAAATTGAAGTACATATTTTCTTTTTTCTGTATTATTAGCACTATATAATTAACTATTGAGACACTTTTAAGAAATGATTGTAATAAGTATTAATTACATATTAAGTATTTGAAGTTTTAAAAGATAATTAAATTAACACAATATTGATTTAACAAACAATTAACTAAGTTATATAATTACTAGCTGACCCAGCGAACTTCGTACCTCCATAAAAATATGGGCAGGTGGTAGAAGAGAAAATTTAGGGTTGTATGTATTTTTTAAAACCACATTAATAAAGAAAAAATTTTAGGGGTGTGTAACCTAGTGTTCTATCATTTTCCTGGGATATCATTCCTCCTAACCCATATGAGAACACTATGTTACAATGCCCAATAGTTTGAATTTTGAAGCGAAGGCGAATTGTAGGATTCAGAACACTACATTACAGGTGGACAACCATTATCACTTAAGGATATGAAAAATAGATAGTAGCCGATTCTCAGACCCACGGAATATGCACATAAAATTTCATAAAAATAGGTCAGGCCGCTTCGGAGGAGTATGGTAACTAACATTGTGACACGAGAATTTTACATATAAGACTAGCTGTCCCAGCGAACTTCGTACCGCCATAAAAAAAAAGGGTTGATTGTAAAGGGTTGAAAATTCAGGGTTATATGTATTTACTAATGCTGTATCATAAAAAAATTCAAAAAAAATATCTAAAATTAAAAAAAAAAATTTAGGGGTGGATTACCCTTAACATTTAGGGGGATGAAAAATAGATGTTGTCCGATTCTCAGACCTACCCAATATGCATACAAAATTTCATGAGTATCGGGAAAGCCGTTTCGGAGGAGTTTAACCACAAACACCGCGACACGAGAATTTTATATATTAGATGATAAGAATACTGACTTGGCTCTCTGTATGGCCTCCCTGGATCCCGTGAGTGTGCAGACGCGGTCAGGCTGTCCGCCCGAGTCTGGGGCCATCTGTATCTTGCACCCGGACTCTGCCTGCAGCCGCGTGATTTGCTCACCGCCGCGTCCTATTACTGAGGCAAATTGTTGCGCGTTTAGTCATATATATCGCACCGTAGGAGCAATCACGTGATAAAATGTAGATGGGAGGCAAAGACTTTCTCAATAAATCAAATAATGCAAAATTTATACTTTATTACTAGAAAACTTGGTATTTTGGTGTGGCAAAAAGATTAATAATTATATTATAATACTCTGTAGGAAACCGCAAGACATATTATGATAGTAGATTACTGTCTCCACTGCTGGGGCAAATCAACATTATCAAAGTAATATTGTTATTATGTTATTGTACTTAGATTTATAAATGTAGACATTAGCTTTCCCAACTTCAGTAACTATTCAACTATTCAGTAACTAAGTATTGGAGAAATAGTTCATAGTGGAGTAATTGAAGAATACATAAAAAAATAGATTTAATCATGTTCATAGTTCTATTTGAACAATGAATGGTACAGAAATACCGACTTCCAAAAAAACAACATTCAGTGTTGTTGCATGTTATGTGGTCCAACAGTGGGGACATAAAGCCTTATATATAAAAAATAGAATGGAATAATATATATCAGTGACTTACTAAGTCCGACCATTTTGTCGGGCACCCGGATGTACTCGTTGATGGTCTGGTCCTGCATAACGTTGGGGGGCCCGAGGGGGGGCGCGGGTGCTCCGCTGGATGCTGCGATGCGGGCCGAGGCCGCCGCCGCCGCCGCTGCTGCTGCCGCCGTCGCACTGGAATTACTCATATTGGTAAAACACCAGTTGCATTAGAGCAGCAGCATACATTGTTGCAAATCGTGGATTCAGCAAAGCCAACGTGAGTGACACAGTAGCTTGGCCTGGCAGTCGTATACGCAACACTGCCTCGCTAGGTCACTACAGAATAACATTAGGGGGCGTCCATAAATTACGTGAGGTGTTTTTTTGAATTTTCTGTCCCTCCCTCACCCCCTGGTGAGATGTCGTGAGATTTTATTCAACCCCCTCCCCCATCCACCTATCTCACGTGAGATTTTCCAAAATGTGGGTTTCTTACGTAAACGCGTTGAATTGTTATTGTAAAAAGAAAAAAAAATGCTTCATGCTTTATTTACGACTAGTTAGTGCTAGTTATCAATATTGCTGAGAGTTAACGATTATGCTTAAGATTAAATCATAAGCATGTACAATCTGGATTAAATGGACCAAAATAGTATATTTCTTTTTTGTTTCAATCAAAAAAAAATTGTGTGATATTTGCCGAGACCCCTCTCTCTCCAACGTAAGATTAGATGAGATTTGACTCGACCCCCTACCCCCCCTCAAACATCTCACGTAATTTATGGACGACCCCTTATGAGACTATATCTATAGCAAAATTATAATATTTAATATGTGTACCCATGTACAATCATCATCATCAGCCTATTAATGTCTCCACTGCTGGGGCACAGGACTTCCCTATGGATATAACAGGCACATTTGATCATGACCACGGCCTTGTGTGGATTGGTGGGTGCTAACAACTGCAGATACAGCCAGGTCCAACGGCTAAACAATCCGAAGCATGGAGGAACTCGAGGTAGAAGATTTTTGGTCACCGATCCAATGACTGACCACTGCGAAAGTTGTTAAACTTAAACGATCGCAGCCGAACATGCTAAACACCTGTGCCATCGAGCTACTCTCACGCGTTGACAACATACCTAGTGAATTACATTGAAATGTTTAATTTTCTATTTGTAACTTTAGTAAGGGTCCCCTAAAATTGAAAAATTATGTTTACTACAAAGTTTAGGATATATTTTACTATAAAATTAACTATGATTTTGTCTTATTTCCGCCCTGGCTGAAACTTCTTCTAGACCTGCAAAACATGAACTCGGGACCCAGAAGATGCCAATTCACAACAGGCTAGTGAGTAGCCACTCCCTCCTACATCATCATCATCTTCAGCCTCTTAATGTCCCCACTGCTAGGGCACAGGCCTTCCCTATGGATGGAATAGGGAGATTGGGCCATGACCCACCACACGGGCCCAGATTGGCGGGTGCTAACGACTGCAGATGCAACTGGGACCAACGGCTTAACGTGCCTTCCGAAGCACGGAGGAACTCGAGATAGAAATTTGTGGTCACCCACCCAATGACCGACCACTGCGAAAGTTGCTTAACTACAACGATCGCAGCCGAACGCGCTAACCACCTGTGCCATCAAGCTCCTCATACACTCCATTGTAATCAAATTATCCCAGAATCAACACCATTGATAAGATAATTATATCTATGAAGCATTTCATTGTTTATGATTTCCATAAAACAAATGCTATCTGATCAACTCGGCACATTCATTGGAATTGTTCCCTTGACATCCATGTAGAATCCAACCCATAAAGTATTGACAATAGCCAACTACTGGGCTTAATATTTCAATATAATGTAAAGACATGCTAGTAGATCCTAAGCATCCCCTAAAGGCGTGTTTATATGACACAGAATGTCACAGGGTGGCAGCCGCACTTTCACTGCCTGGTGGCCCCGCCCCCGTGAGCCGGATTCATTTAAAGATGATTTTGTTTTTTTTTTAAAATTCACATGTGTTTGTTATGGGCTATTTGACTAAGAAGAAGAAAATTATGATTGAATATTACTTGTACTGACAAAGCAAAAAAGAAAAGTAGAAGATTTTGGAATCATCCTATTTTAGTATGGCGAGAAGAGTTTGGTAAATTTCATACCCTATACAACCAACTGCGAGACGATGAAAAACAATTAGCAGATTATTTCCGAATAGCTGTTAAAACATTTGATACATCAAGAACATTCGAGTGATTCGAACGAGGTGACCGTGCGGCTGCGGTGTGATCGAGGAGCGGACGCCGCGCGATAGTCGCGCAGTTAGTTACAGTCAAAACGCGCAGTTAGTTACATCAAAAACCACGCGGTCGCCGCGCGGCAGCCACAAGAATTTTCGCGTGTTGTCTAACTGCAGCCTGACAAGGCAGCCACATCAGGTAAGTAATAAAAAATTACATTGTTGTGCCTTTGAATTTCTGGCTCTTCAAGACATTTTTGTCACAAAGGTTTTATGTAATGCAACTTTTAGGTTTCAAAATATTACCATCCTAATAGTTACACCACATTAGTTGTATTGGTTGATGTTAAAAAAGGAGTTATATGTGTTTACATTCTAATCTTTATGTTACCAGCCCCACCTCATTGATTGTTGTTGATAGGAGTCGAGAGAAGCTGATTTTTTTGAAATAGGTTCTGATCCGTCTTCTAGAGGTCTCTTAGTACTGCTTATTTTAGCCGCCACCTGAAAACAACATAATAAAAGATTAGTGTGCATGTACTTCTAAGACTTCGTGCTATGACCAGTAAAAAAAAGGTTATTAAAAATGATAGCAATAAACGTAGCCGAAATAAACGAAAAAGAACTAAAGCTTGTTCATATATTTGTACTATAATAAAAATTCGTTGGAATATACTAAACTAGCGGTAAAATATTAACACGAAAGTGAAATGAAATGCGTCAAGACAACGCTTACCAATTTTGCACGCTGAAGAGCATCCACATATCCCGCCGTTTGACTATTATTTTGAAGCGTAGCCATAGAAGGATAGTCACTCATTTTTAAATTAGAGTACACATCAATCGCAAAATATGACTGCCATCAAAATAGATCTAAAAAGATCCAAAAAAAACGTCACAGTTTTGCCTCGTACTTTGACGAAAAGACGCTAACCACAGACAACACACGTTGCATTGCATTCTCTATTCTATATTGGCAATGGCAAAATTATAGATAAAGAATGAAAGAAATTTTATTATTTAATTTTATTTTGCAGAAAATTTTAATTTATGTATGTAAACTGATATAGAAATAAACTCAAATTCAAATGTAGGTGTACAACTCAACATTTTCAGTAGGTGGCTATTAAAATTTTGATCCCGATAGCTATCTGATTGCGTTTAGTTTTACCTTGAAATTTTCATTGCTATTTTTGGTAAATAGTTGAACGTGTATGAAGACTGTAAAATTTGCAGTTCATCTTTATACACATTAATGGACTGATGAGGCTCATTCAACCATGCTTGTATTATTCAAGAAACATTGGTGTCAATTCTGGCACGATTCTCTAAACTTAAACTTAAATTTGACAACAGTGGTGCCAATTCTGGCGTGATTCTTTAAACTTAAAATTAAATCTAACATCAGTTTCTCCTTTTTACTCTGTATAGCTAATGACAAGGTTAAACTGCTGTCAAATTTAAGTTTTGGTTTAGAGAATCATGCTAGAATCGACACCACTGTATCCTTGTCATTCTCTATGCAGAGTAAAGTAGATAATGATATATAGTATAAAAAGGAGATAACTTAGAGCACGCGGTGCTCATGCTAGGAGGGTTGAAACAGAAACTAACCTCACAATATGACAGATAACCAGATTCATCTTTCTAGTCGGTCAAAATACTCCGAGTTACCAAACGGTTCAGATTTACTCTAGCTGTAATAAACGAACGATTCGGATTAAAAAATATAACAATATACAAATATCGAGCGCAGCTACAGATTTAAAGGAAAATATTTATGATATTTATTTAAATGCATGTTCAGTTGTGCCCCTCTAGCATGACCACCAAAACGGGATATGATAAAGCTTCTTATCGAGTCTCAACTGTCAAACTCCACTGCAGTCTGATAGTGAATGCCATTAGGTCGTTTTATCATATCGGTGGTCATGCTAGAGGGGATGTAGCAGTCTCTTTTCGCCGTGCTCCGTACCTACCTTTTATATTGCCGACTGCGCGTCCAGAATTGCTATATAAAGTTATAGAAATAAAGTCTATATTCTTCTACCTATAGTGGCAGACAAGTCGTAGAATTTTCCTCATTGTTCATGTTATCTAAAATTAAACTTTTTTTTATTACATAGCTACTTTTTTCGTTCTTCTTTATCACATCGCATCACATTTTAATGGTTATTAAAAATTCAGAGCTTATCAACGATTATCGGTGGTTTAGTGGTAGAAAACTCACCTGCTGCGCGGGTAGCCGGGTTTCAATTTCCAGCCGAGGAAATCCGTTTTTCTTTATTATATTAAAAGTTTCACTTGCATCGTGATTTAATAAATTCACACTTTTTTTTGTTATTATTAAATGCATAACATATTTTTATATGCAGACTATAATATTTTCCCCCCGACTGTACAACATATTTCCTTTGAAAATCCATTGCTAGATGTGTAACGAAACGCCAACTTTTTTTTTCTATGTTATGGGTGCGTGCATTTGTATTGTCCGGTGTTTGAAGACGCTTTGGAATTCGCTTTCAATTTCTTCGTAGGAAAAATGTCGGGTGATACCGATAAAGCGAAAATCAGTGACAATCAGGTATAGTTGTGAATTATGATTTTTAATTAATTTTCTTTATATTAGTGCGCGTGTAATAAGAACGTTTTGAATAGTGAAGTGATGTTATTTCCGTGTTATATCATGTAATGTTTGCCTGCGTCTCAACATGGCTGACAGAACGTTCGCTTCCCGCTAAACGCGGGAACTACGCCACGGAGGGTTGTGATTCAAGTCAAGATTTTGGATTTAAAACTGTGAATGCTGATGTGATCAGTTATCGAAACTGAATCTAACGGGATATATTTCGTAATATCGCATATTTTGCCACCCCCGCCCCTTTGCATTTGGCTGCAGGGCCTTTGTTAATGTGTGCAAGATATACTATGACATTGATAGGAAATCCGCATGACCTTGATATTTTAATTTCTGCTGGATTATACAATTTTTTAAGACGGCGCGATATGTTTTCTATCCAACGCCGCCGTCTCATAACTCATTAGCGGCGCTTGGAACTCGACGAGCGATGTAAATAAAACATGATCTTTCGGGGGCCTTTATTGCTGACCTCTTTTTTTTTTGCCCATAAGTTTTTGCATGGATTATTGAACGGTATTATATAAGAATTGTAATTATTTGGGAGTACTGAGAAAACCTTAATAATATTGGTCTATATTAGAATATGACATTTCAAATTTTATCGATAATTCGTCAATAATGTTCATATATGTTCACATGTCAGGGTTGCCAGTATGTTGGTCCCAAATATTTTGCATTGTACAAATATTTTTTTATAGCAGATTTTTTATTTACACCACAATAAAAAAGTACAGAGCACAAATGATGTGTGGAATATTGTTATAAAAACACTATTTTTTCACCTTGGCATGGGAAACAACATTTATAATATATGTATCGGATAGTTATCAATCTATTTGAATAATTTATTGTTAAATTCCATAAGTTGCCCATAAATAATATGCAGAAATAATGATTTGGATAATTAAACTCCAACCTTTTTATTATTTTAACCTTTCATGGTTACTAACATTATAATAATTTATGGTAAATATCGGGGACTCACCAAAAAGTCTCAAAAATAACATAAATTACTATAATAGTCTACTCTATAAGGAAACAAAATTAAAATATCCAATATTTATACTCAATATCGATCCTGAATATATATAAACTAATCAGACAAGGTCAGTCAGTAATCCTGAAATGTTGGTGTAAAACTAATTCAATTATTAGTTTCCTAACCCTTACAAAAATTAAAGAAAAAATTAAAAAGACAAAACATTTTTATGATTTTAACATTCTGATAATTTTCGTTTTTACGTAGCTCCCAATGAACCCAATGTTACAACAAAACAAATATGTTGTATCATTTAAAAAAAGAGACTGCTCATGATATCTATTTTTTTCTCTCTAGCAGATCATTTATGAGTAAAAAACAAGTTTTTGTATTTAAAAATTAATAACTGATCATCTCATCAATTCAATCTCGATCACATTGATTTAGTACGATGATATGAAAAATCAAATTTTCGTGAAAATTCTAGAGATTTTGCTAAAACAAGAATAATTAAAGACAATACTGAAATTATTTATTTATTTGAAAATGGTACACAGACAGATTACAGTCAAAACATAATACGATTTGTAGCTTATTTTAGTAGATAGGACTATAATCGATAAAGTTAGTACACAGCACCATTAATTGTCACATCTTAATGAATCTTGCTGTTAATGAAATTTTTGCAAACATCCCATCTTTTTTCAGTAAGATGAAACATCCCATCTTTTTTCAGAAAGATGAGGGACATCGGCGATTTTGCAATATACCTAGGAGTCGTTAAAGCTCGATTTAAATGAGAGGTGTTAAGCAGAAACTGACCAGTAGGCATTTTAGTAGCAAACTGAAAATTGTTCTATGAAAACATGTTTAAGTTTGATCTCGAAAATGCCCATTGGTGGCCCTGTTTAACACAAATCATCCTATGACTTAAACCGTAAATTGAGCGTTGTTGAAAGCAGAAAGCGACCAATGCTATTTAGAAGCAAGAGAAGTTTTGATTCTGTTGAAAATACGCTGGTTGCTTTCTGCTTAAGACTGCTCAATTTTCACTTATCATATTAATAAATACAAAATAGATATAAACTGTAAACTTACTATATACCCCCATATAAAGTATATATCGATATCATATACAAGATACCCTGCAAACGGCGCAAAGGACATGTTCTTTTTGGCCTAAAAATAAATTTTATTTTTGAACCATCATCATAATGTGGTTTTTCTGATACAGAAAATGATCTAGGATGATACTACAAAAACAAAACATCATTTAGTTTAAAAGAATATTTTAAAGTTATTTTTATTTTAAGCATTTAAATGATGCTAGATGCTTAAAACTAAAGAAAATTTCACAAGAATTATTTTTCCTTAAATTGAAAGATTTAACAGTTAAATGTTAAATATTTGCACAATTACAAGGCAAAATAATTTTCAATATCATTTCTAAATGATTATAGAAACATCTTTTTCTTATTTAAAAATTTTCATAACATTAAATAAATGGGTAATTAAAAATTATCTGATTTTATTCATAATAACAGCCTTATTATAAATACTTACAAGTTTTACATTAATTAGTCCCGCAAAACGTGTAATCCCCCCCCTGTAATGCCTAGCAGTATCTATTCATGCGTTGCACCAGCAGACTTTCTGTACCCATATGTTTTGTGCCTGCATACAATACTACTGGGGATATCATTAATTATTGCGACGATGGAGGTTTGAGGTACAGTACGCGCGCGATCTAAGTGCAGCTCTGAGGCATACGCAAATTGCAGAAAGATCAGATCAAGTTAATATACTGCAGGCGTAGAGTGTGGCCCCTTAACTTCATACCAGATACACGGTAATAATATCATACAGTATTCTATCTTTATACAAACGGTCGGGAAGCGAGTCATACCTACGTCACTCGAGTTCGATGTGCGCTCGGCGTGCACCCAGTCGCGAATGCGCCGCCGCGCCGCAACGACGACCGAACGGTCTGAATTGTTTTTTATGCAGTTAGCCGTGCTTAAACGTGCGTTTTGTATTGTAAATATTTGATTTAATTAAGTAGATACCTACATAATTTAGTATGGAAAAGAACAAACGACGATCAATATCGTACAACAGCACAATTGCTGTTTTTGGTTGCTTGAACTCTTCAATAACACACCCAGAGATATCATTTTTTAAATGACCTGAAATATTGGAAAGGTGTCTTACCTTTATAGAATATTTTTTATATACCTATCTACTAGTACGTTATTTGTTTCTAATATTTAGGTATTTCGGTTCTTCCATCGGGCAAAATATCTGGAATAATATATAAATATGTAAGTGGTTAGGATGAAAAAAGAGACAAACGAGTAATCTACCTACACTCGCGTTAAAAACAAAACTACATAAAATACTGTAGGCTGGCGGCCCTACCGCGTGCCAACGCAGCGCTCGGTGTAGGCATTTATTTTCAAGGACAGGGCGGAGTCACAATACTGTATGGATAATATTACCGTGCTAGATAGCACTCAGATCGCGCGCGTACTGTACGTTAAACATCCATCATCACTATAATTATCGCATATCCCGTTAGTGTTCCCGGCATACGCCCGCGATCTGAGTGCAGTCTGGGTATGAGGTGCGGGGCGGAAGCACCTACCCCCTCGCCCACACCTGCAGTTTAGTGCTGACCTTGATGTCATTCGGACGCGTGTTTTCGTATTATTTTATAGTTTAAATATGACTGATCCAAGTACTTCAAGTGCAATTTATAAAAAACGTGTCATCATACATCGTCAAGCACGGGAGATGGCGAAACATGTACTCGATATGTGTGCTGAAGAAAAGCAGAACCAATGTTTGACCTTTCCTTTGAATAACGCCTTCGACCGTGCTACCCATTATACCGGTATTTCTAAAAGAACGTTAGCTGCAATTCAAAACGAAGCTAAAAGGGGGCCACTTTTTACGCCTACCATTAAAGGTATATCACATAATAAAAAAAACAATTTAAACGTCGACGACTTTGATAGAAGTGTGATACATCGAACTATAGAAGAATTTTATTTAACAAAAAAGGTTGCACCCACTTGCCCCAAACTTCTTGCAGCTATTAGAGAGAAAATATATTTTCCATGGGGTTCGACGAGTTTAAGAAAATTATTGAAAGATATGGGATATAAATGGCAACAGTGTGATAATAATCGTCGTATTTTGGTGAAAAGATCAGACGTAGTTTATGTACGTTGAATAGTTTTTTATTTGTAAACGTAGTTGCCATATTATTGTAGCTACTACATGTACAGCATAAAGCCTCTGTTTGTGTTTATAGTGTGCATGGCAAATCATGATCCAGAAAAATCATCAGTTAATTACGAACGTATCGCATTTGTATTAGTTATAATCCTATAATCTTTTGTTTATTTTGTTACTCCAATAAGTTACTTTTAGTATCCTCAGCACGAAGCAATATCGACTTCGAATAGTTAAATACGATCACGATACGCGTCAAAAAAAGTCAAGTAGTTTCGTAATACATATTAAGGAAAAATACATTGGAGAAAAAAATTTGCATATAAAAAATCTAAAAATTCTACTTGCTTAAAAATGTCTGAAGTTTTTATTAAAAAAACATACATATGTAAATAATAACAATAAATAATATAAAAGTACTAAATAACGTCTAAAAAAGGTTATTTTATAAGGAAATAGCTTTCAATTACATGAACCATGTTCTGATAAATCGAATTTGTGCACAGGATGAAGACAAGAAGTCGGGTGCTGGTGACGGACAGACGACGGAAGACGAGTCTTCACAGGACTCTAAGGGTGAGTCGCTGACCGCCGAGCCAGAGGCCCAAGGTACTGCCGATGTAGATCAACCAAACGCAGACAAGAAACCGAATGACGAAGGTCAGGATCGTGTGTGAATCACCCTCGCTCACATGTTCACCAAGAGTTCATCTACATCGCATACTAACCAATGGGCTGCATATTTGTTTTTTTCTTTTTCATTCAAAACTGTTCAGTAAATATCAATAATAGGGATGATGACAATGTTTATCTTCCTCTATCACAGGGGTGGCCGACTGATCTCTGAGTTTCTTGCTGGTTCTTCTCAATACAAGGTAGTAGTTTTTCGCGAACCGATTGCGTAGTTTTCGACTTTCACATGTGCTTGTAAAAGCTGCTTAAACTGAATAAATGATGTTTGAATTCAATTAGATCCAAGATCTACTGTTTACTGTCAAAACCCTGTGCGATCTACCAATAAAATACTTCTTGAAATCTTCAATGAAACAGCACAGTTCAGTACTCAATTATGTAGTATATTCTTATTTTATTAAGACGGCAAACATAAAACTGAATAATAGCTTTAGTAACTACTTATAATAATAATAATAATAATAATTGTTTATTCCAGGCATAAAAAACCCAATAAAAAGTCATATACAAAATTAAAAAAAAGTAAAAGTGTAAACAAAATAATAATAAAAAATAAAATAAAAGCATAAAAGACAGTAAAAGTCAAACAGGTATAATATTACCTACGTCATTTTCGGTTCTCACTCTGGTGCACTGAAATCCAGTATTTGAATAAAGGATTATCAAGTCCTTTGCATACAGTTTTGATTATGCTGTTATCAGAAAGACATATTCGTGACCAAAAAGAGGCTATACGTCTTCTCATAACAGCATAAAAGTCTGATATACGAGCATCAGCACTTATATATATTGCTGCGCAGAGTGCGGAACACAGAGCCGTTATTACATGTGGTCCATTTGAAATGTATCTGAAAATTTTGTAGCCTTTTAATAGATATCACTATAGCAGAGAGGATAAAGATACGTGCAGCAGTTGTTGATTACGATGCGCAGACTATTCTATTTATTCATATTTTTTGCCTTGCCACTATCGACTACTAAACTGATAGTCGCTATCGACAGGTGGGCCACCCCTGGTCTATCAGGTAGATTGTCGAAAAGTATAAATCGCGGCACGAAACTAGCGCTGACCGTTATTGCGCAGAAGTAAATGGGTGTATTCCGTAAGTTATACCAGTATACTGGCCAGTGCTAATAACGTCATGAATCGACGCTATACTGGTGAATTGATCCGAAATATACAGGCCCCAGTGTATTGACGTCATAAATCGACGAATAATTCAAAAAAGTGCGAATAAAGCAGATTTTTTATTCACCTCATTAATTAAAAGGATTTTTTGTTAGGATGCCATTATTGTTCTGAAAATAAAAAAGAAGTAAAATTCGAATGCATCTCACGCACGCTCGGTCATACGTTATATCCGTTTTCCCGGTAAAAATATGGTGGCATACCAGTACAATATGGCGTCGGATTCGTGACGTCATTACCACTGGCCAGTATACTGATTTTTTTTTTCTATATGGCTTCACACGGTTTGTGCATTTGGCCAATGTCAAGTGTAAAATGTTTACATATTCTATAGCACTCGTGGTCAAAATATTAGTCAAGTCAAAGTAAGTGGCAGCCAAGTCAATCCCCCTTTCCCTATGTTTCAGTAAATGTGTGGGGATTTACTGGAACCTCCCCGTGGACTGCCTGAGGGAACGTCGAAAGACACTTTCCGCTATTTTGTTTCACTTGCTAACACTTGTGCATGTTTCCGAACACTTAGTGGTTAATAATCCACCATTATTAGACACTAACACCCGCCACAACACAATTTTTAACAAGAAAAACAAAACTACTAAAGTGACGCTTCCCGATCCCGCCAAAAAGTCCGTATACTGATTTATATTTCGGAATAGACCCAAATATGAAGGTGTTGGGGGGAAACGAGGTGCGCGGGTGGGCGTGCGTTGCGCCGATTGTCTCTCCAGTCGTACCCATGCGCTATCCCAGACGCGTTTTGTTCAGCGCTAGAGTTACGTGCCGCGACTTGTATTGGACACATATTTTTTCTTAGTTCACATAATCAAAACCTATCAGAGATATATTGATGTGAAATGTCGCATGACGCCACGTCTTGGTACAATTTTTACTTAGAAGTGACGTCGCTCCTAAACTTTGGCGCGCTTTATCTTGCAATTTTTTGGTTGATTGGCAAATGAAAAAATGAGCGTCCATTATTATTCGATAATCTAATTGACGGACTAAATGGAATTCCGTTTACTTAACCCCGTCATCATTTCTATACACCAAAAATCTACATAATTAAATAAAACTAAAAAATAAAACAAGGAAAATGCACTACAATTCAATAATATCACAAAAAAAAATTTTTTTAACCAATTGTGTGACTAACTAAATTAACATAGGTATTAAGTCATTTCATTACGAATTGTGCGATAGTAACTAATAATTAATTATCATCACATTAAGAGAGATAGTCCCGTCGTTGACTAATGTGTAAGTAATGTTTACAAAGTTTAGTCTACCTCAAAACCCACAAAGCCATAGAAGAAATTAAAACTCGCGACGTAGAGTGAATCTACTAAATTATGAAGATGCCTCTTCTTGGCTTTAAAATCTTAAGAGACTCGTTAAGGATGAGTACCAGTACCCCTAGTACGAGTTTGAGCTCACGAAAACTAACATAGTTTTCGTAATTGTAAATTATGTTTCTATGTCCATTTTGGGAAAAGTAACCAAATATATAATGCGATTCAAATAAGAATAGGAAAGCCAATGACCTCCATCTGTCAACTGACGCTTGAAAAGTACGGTTTGCAAAAAATCTTGCAACTCTTTTTTAGCACTCAGCTAATTCTAGAATAAAAAAAGCAAACATTTGTAAACAAACATGACGACGATGACAACTCCGATAGTTATGCAGAGCTAAGCGGAATTGAAGAGCTAGATTCCGATTAATATTTTTACTCACACAGTCATAAATGTTATTAAAAATCGGTGTTTTTTTTTCTCAATCTTAGTAAATAAATTTTATTAATAAAATCTGATGTTTTTTCTCACTTAATCTTAGTAAATAAGTTTTATCGAAGAAAAACTTTTATTGCTCACTCTACCTATTTTGTTTCAATTGACAGCTTTGAAATCACAAAATGGCGCCCAGTCGATCCTATTCTTAGTTGAATCGTATTTTATACTTGAAATAAAAGAAGACGCAAATGTTGTAATGATGGAATTTAAACACTGTCTATTTGTATTGAAACTAAAACAATAAAATCAGTACCCTTAGTACGAGTGCGAGAATTGCAAAACTCGTACTAAGGGTACAGTACCCTTAGCACGAACCAATATCGAATTCGAATAGTTTTATTCGAACTCGATAGCGTCTAATTTCAAGCCCCTTATTAATAAATGAAGACTACGCTTGGATTAGTTACTTCATGTTTTGTCTTTGTATATTGAATGACAAATGCATTTGAGTGGCATGAACAAAACACGAGTAAGTCACTAGTCTTAAGCTTATTCCTTGTTTATTAACAAGGGGGAAGAAGTTTAGTATGGAAATTAAGAAAAACAACGGACGTAAGGAGATTTAAAAATCGTCCATACAGAGCTTCTTTCCGTATCGTGATCGAATTCACTTAATCGAATTCGATATTGGTTCGTTCTTAAGGTACAGGGGGTCTACTCTCATTCTCCGAAACTAACTTTCTATAACGAAGATCAAACGACAATAAATATTATTATCTTCAATAGGGTATTTGACAATATTAAAAATAAAGTGCCAATTGTTAGCATCTGTGTTTAGATTGAATATTGGCAGGGGTTTTTACTATTTTTACAAAAAAAATATTCTTAATTTTACTAAAAACTAACGAAAAAGAGAATAGTCTTTTTATCTATTGTCACGTGACCCAAAACGCTAGGGATTGGCGGAGCCTAAAATGACGTCACACGCAAGAAAACTTCCGGTTAAAGTGACATTACATTGTATCGTTTGAGGTTTTAATAACAGTCGTGTGACGTCACACACTAGTAAGACGCCATATTGTCCAGAGAAACGTTTTCGCGGCAACTTGAAAATGGAGTTTTTGATTTGGTTATTTTTACTGAAATACACAACAGAATGATGAATATCCACTTTTTACGGACTCCATAAACATTAGTCAATAACGAGAGATTGTTGCCTAAAACTTGTCAAATACCCTATTTAAGGTTATACTTAATTTGAACGATAAATTATCAAATTGAAGCTTTCTTTGAGTATCTTTAGAATCTATATTCAATCTATATTCCGACGACAAAAATGGTTAAAATTAAAAACGAAACCTTATTAAAATTGCTCCCAAAAATAAAACGGGCGCACCGAGAATTCGAAGCAGAAGGATTCTCCGTTATAATTCTTCGAAAGGTAAGTGGTAATATTTTGTGGTGTAGTAATGTTTATTTACATTACACAAGTACTTCCTTGCAAATTATTTGATGCATTGATTTTCTGCGGTAAGGTAACCGACAAGGTAACGAAAAATTTCACTTTGGCATAATATGTTTACCTTCCATATTTTATCGAGAAGTAACTGACCCGGCGAACTTCGTACTGCCAATAATTATATCTCAATTTTATTAAAAACTAGCTAACCCCGCCCGCTAGCTGCCCTGCGGTGTTACCCGCGGATTATTAGGGATATTTTCCCGCAGTAAAACGTATCCTATGTGTTAATCTAGGGTATCAGCTAACTCCATACCAAATTTTATTAAAATCGCTCTAGCCGTTTAGACGTGAAGAAGTAACAAACGTACACACACACACTCACAAACTTTCGCCTTTATAATATTAGTGTGATTTCTTTTAAACAAACCTTGTCCTGACAATAATGTACACAGAAACAATAATATCCCATTTGGTGCAGTCGTTCAGAAGTTATGAGCGAAAATA